CTGTAAAAAAAACCTTTTCTTTGCCTTAGATGAAATCTCCTTTCTTCCAGCCTAAATGTGTGACCTCGAGTCCTATGTATAGCCCTGTTTATGAATAGATTTCCAGATAAAGGTTTGTACTGGCCCCAAATTTTTATATTTGTATAAAGTTATCATATCCCCTCTCAGGTGCCGTTTTTCCAAACTAAACAGATTTAATTTTTTTAACCTTTCTTCATAACTAAAATGCTCCATTCCTTTTATCAATTTTGTAGCTCGTCTCTGGACCCTCTCCAGTGCCATGATATCCTTCTTTAGAACAGGTGCCCAAAATTGCACAGCATATTCAAGGTGTGGTCTTACCAGCGATTTATAAAGAGGCAAAATTATATTTTCATCCCGAGAATTTATGCCCCTATTTATACATGACAAAATCTTACTGGCCTTAGCAACTGCAGATTGACATTGCATATTGCTGCCTAATTTGTTGTCTATAACAATTCCCAAATCCTTTCGTGTGTGGTTATCCCTAATTCACTGCCATTTAGTGTGTAAGTTGCTTGTGCATTCTTAACCCCGAAGTGCATAACTTTGCATTTCTCTATGTTAAATTTCATCTGCCATTTTAGTGCCCAGTCCCCCAATCTATCCAAATCTCTCTGCAGCAAAGCAATATCCTGCTCACATTTTATTACTTTACAAAGTTTTGTGTCATCTGCAAACACTGATACATGGCTTTCAATGCCTATTTCAAGATCATTTATAAATATGTTAAATAGAAGTGGTCCCAAAACAGAACCCTGAGGGACACCACTTACCACTTTTGTCCAGCATGAAAATTTACCATTAATTACAACTCGCTGTACTCTATCCTTAAGCCAATGTTCTACCCAAGAACAAGAATATTAATCTAGAGTTTTGTCATCACTAATGACAAGTATGCCCCCTCTCAAAGTGAGCATGTTAGTTCAATGTGCAGAGCCCTGCTGAAGAGCTCTAGCATCAGAAAAAGGCCCTGTATTTGTTCTGCGCAGCGCAAGCAAATTTAATAACATGCTTGTGCTGTGTTTGCTTTTAACTTGTCTCTGGTGTCTCCATAAGTGGATACCAGAGGACAAAAGGGCCAGGAAAGCATATCATGCTAAAGGCTGTAGAGAGTGTGTGTGAATAGGGGGCATAGAGTGTATTGGGGATGTAGCGAGTGTGTGCATACGGGCTGTAGTGTGTGTAGGGGTTGTAGCGAGTGTGTGTTTAGAGAATGTAGCATGTATTTGCTAACAAGGAATGTAGTGTGTGCATAGGGGATCCAGAGTTTGTATGTCAGGAATGTAGTGTGTGTAGGTGGTGCAATGTGTGTGTGTGTGTGTAGGGGATCTATTGTGTAAAGGATCCAGAGGGTGTATAGGAGATTGTGTGTGTGTGTGTGTGTGTGTGTGTGTGTAGAGGATTTAGAGTGTATATAGGGATCTACAGTGTGTATGTATATGTGTGTCTAGATTAGATAATCTAGAGTTGGGTAAGGGACCTAGCGTGTATCTGGAGCGCAATGTTTGTAGTGGTGCAGTGTGAGGGGTGCTCTAGTATATATATATATGTTTGGATGTAGTGTATGTGTGAGGGTCACAGTGTGTTGGGTATGCTGTGTGTATGTGTGATGGGTGCAGCATGTGTGTGTGAGGGGTTCAGTGTGTGTGTAAGAGGGGTGCAGTGTGTGTGTCTGAGGGTGCTGTGTGTGTCTGAGGGTGCTATGTGTGTCTGAGGGTGTTGTGTGCTTGAAGGTGCTGTGTGTGCGTGAGGGTGCTGTGTGGGTAAGTGTGCTGTGTGGGTAAGTGTGCTGTGTGTGTGAGGGGTTTGTGTGAGGGTGCTGTGTGTGTGTGTGAGGGTGCTGTGTGTGTGTGGGTGCTGTGTGTGTCTGAGGATGCTGTGTGTGTGAGTGTGCTGCGTGTTTGTCTAAGGGTGCTGTGTGTGTCAGGGTGCTGTGTGTGTGTGTGAGGGTTCTGTGTGGGCACGAGGGTGCTGTATGTGCAAGTGTGCTGTTGGTGTGAGTGTGCTGTGTGTGTTTGTGTGTGTGTGTGAGGGTGCTGTGTGTGTCTGAGGGTGCTGTGTGTGTCTGAGTGTGCTGTTAGTGTGAGTGTGCTGTGTGTGTGAGTGTGCTGTTAGTGTGTGTCTGCTGTGTGTGTGAGTGTGTGTGTTCTGTGTGTGTGCTGTGTGTGTGAATATGTCTGGAGGGATTGTGTGTGTGGGGGGGGCAAGATGGAAATATATTAAATGTTTGCTTTTTTTAATAAAAACTAAACTTCATATCCCCCTCCCTTCTTATCTTTAGCTTGGGAGGGGGGAGCCGTACTGCCATGGAGGAGGGCCGTGCTGCAGTGCCTGGTGGTCCTAGGGGTGAGTGAACTCTACCCTGCAGTTCCTGGGGTAGAGTTTACTCTCGCGAGCTCCGACCTCACGAGAGGAACCCGACGGAGCTGCAGGGTAGAGCTCCACCGGGTCCTCCTCTCCCTCCCCAGCCAGCAGCAGTGTTACAGTGCCTGTGAGCCAGTGAAGGCACACAGCAAGGCCGGCACTCTGATAGTGTCGGCCCTGCATGGGCCGGCCGGGGAAATCCTGTGATCTCCCCTGCCGGCCTCAGCCCCTGACCATCGCGGCCCACCGGGCATTTGCCCAGTATGCCCGATGGCCAGTCCGGGCCTGCTTGGCATTATCAATGCCGGAGGATTTTTTACTCTCTTATGTAAATCACTCTACAACCACGTAACTCTTGAGCTCACCTCCCCATGTCTCAAAGCCCTACCTGTCTTCCCCCCACCCTCTTATCCCCAGATCGTTTCATTCACCTCTCCTCTGTGTGCGTCACACTGGTTTCACTCATTCTCTCACTTCTATCCCCGTACTATTGGAAGAAACTGCCTTGTCACATCCAATATTTCTCTAAGAACATTTTGAATGTTATTGTACACCACATATTTACAAATATTATCCTTTTCTCTGTGTAGTTCTTCCTGATTCAATATTTACTATGATTTACCTAAGTGTAATATTTTATAAACTCTCTGATGTTCATATAATTAGTTTGCTAATTAATGACTGTATCATTACTACATTACAATTGTATGCAAATCACCCAGAAGTCTTGTTTAAAAAAAAAAAAAAGTAAGCAAACTTTTATCAACAACCTCCAACCATCCAGTGGCTGGACTGCAACTCCTATCAACATAAGCCCGTGGCACTAGCTGTCATGATGAGAGTGGAAGCTAAACCACAGCCTAAGCAGCACCTCCTTGGCTTTATAAAAGTACTTAAACTGATTTGAAATAAAAGACATTAAAAGTTGGTATTAGGCTTTCAATAGATTTTGTTTAGGCTGGGGCCTTTAAAAGCTGTAAACCATCACAATTCCGGACTTTAAATACACCCTCACGCTAAAAGCATTAAAGTGTAATATGATTAAATTGTTTTCACTCCCTTATTTTTAACTTGAGATGCAATTACAATGCTTTTTGTTCCTTAACCACAGGTTATCCATCTGCCCTAGTCACTAATTAATCCAAAACATTTAAATTTTAAGACAATTACCTCCACAGATCAATAAATGTGTGTGCCAGTCCTAATAGATCACAGCCCATGCAGATGCCGTTGCTAGAGAATGTGTCACTGAGGGAGAGAATTTATGCTTCTATCTCTGTTTTAATTCAGATATCCACTTGTTTTTGTTCTTCAGTGAGCCAAGATAACAATACAGGAATACAGACTAGTGTGTTATATTTTACTGTGTCTGCATGTTACCTAGAAATTAGAGATACAACCCTATTGATTTCAATAAACCATTTTTAGGAACATGCCAAGCACCATAACCCCTACAATCCTGGCACGCCATCTCGATTGTAAAAAGTAAAATTGTTTTTGAAAGGTGTGACTTCTTGCCTGGGATTCGTCAGACTCTCCCAGACGGTGGGGAGGTGGGGAGTCTGCATCGCTAGGACTAGATCAGATACAGGACTTCTGGCTCTTTTACAAATGTAGTGGAGTGGGAAGTGCCCAGGTAAGTAGTTAAACTGTTCTAAAATGGTTTGACTACTTACAGTGGCGGGACCCCAGGTCATGTTGTAGTGAACATGACATTTGGGGGGCTCCTTTAACACTTTCTCAAAGTATCTTCATGATCTTTCAACATCTTTCAATTTGGGGGAATTGTATAGAGCCCATTCCTCACACAGACAGTGTTATCGACTAAGGCAGGCATAGAAAACCTATGGCACTCCAGAAGTTGTAGACTACATCTCCCTTAATGCTCTTACAGCTGTAATGTTGGCAAAGCATCAGGGGAAATGTAGTTCACAACACCTGGAGTGCAAGGTTGCCTATGTCGTGTGAATTCTCTGTAATTCTCTATAAGTGAATTTTCTGCCAAAATAGCTAAACTAAAAACATAACTGACTTGGAGAAATTTTCCATCTCAGCTATTATGGCCTAAAATTTGGCCAATTCTGCTTGTTTATGACAATTCACAATTTGGTGGGAGTTGATAATCAAGGTTCAGCTACATGTTTTTGTGTTATTACCCACAAAATTTCTTAACAGCACAAAATATATCTCCTGTTTTGGAATTCCAGTCATCTGTATAAATCTCAAATTTAACGGTGCCACAAGGTCCAGGATAACTCCTTAAATGGAGGATCAATGCCCAGACACTCTACAGTCTAAATGAATGCTGAAACAAGTCTGTCATTGGCTCCAAGATCCCAAGGAAAGACCAAAAACTCAAAAACTATATAATGGGTTTATCTGTGCCAGCCCGCCTGCAATGTCCTTGTGCTCTGAACAATGTGAAAAATCCAGAATTATTTGAGCAGGGTGCAGGACCAGAGCCCGAGGAGGCGGCCAAAGGCTGGCCAGGTAAGGTGCATGTGTGGGTGTGGGAAGGGGAAGGTGTAACTGGGGAGGAGTGTTAGGAAGGGGTGTGGTAAAGGGAGGGAAAGGGGCTGTGGTATATATTGGCGGGCATTTCCCCCCCTTACCTTAGCCAGTTTAAAAATTCCTGCATGGTAACAGCTTTCCCTGGCTGTTATCAGTGCTAGTTGGTCAGCTTGATGGATATTGAGACCATTCTTACTGTCCTCAGGGCCGAGGCCCTGATTGACAGTGGCCAGCGTGGTTCCGGTCCTCGGTCTCGGATGCTACCTGGACCCGCTATGGTAAGGCATAGGGGGAGTGGTGGACCTTTGAACAAACGCTCCGAGGTTTTCATTTGGAAGACGATTGGCTTCAGAGCCTCCTGTGCCTCTTATGGTTTTGGGAAGCATTGGGGAGTTTGCCATCGGCGGTTTCAGCGAAGTTGTCTGGCTTGAGCTTCTGGTTCAAGTTAACCAGGGTTCCAGGTGTCACGAAAGACTACATGGTCATCTTGGCTATGCGGGGTTGGAGGAAGGAGCCTTGGATGGCTGATTCTCGTCGGCCGATATCGGGGGCTCTGCTGTTTGGGATTTTGTCGGCTCTGCCGCAGGTGTGCTTTTCCGTCTTTGAGGCGTTACTATGTCATGTTGCATTTACCTTTGGTTTCAGGACGTCTCCTGCGCAGAAGGGCTGGTATGTTTTTTGTTACAACGGCCCAAGGCCAATGTTTTCGGCCGGGGGACTTGGGTTTCACTTCACGGGATTCCCAGGTCCATAGCGTGTCCAGTTGCATGTTACCAGCTCTACTGTGCCGCTCCAGGCCCGTTCCTGATTCACACGGATGGGGATTCTTATCCAGGTTCCAATTCATCTGGGTCTTTCATTTGGCTTTGGATGCGCTGGGCATTCCAGGGAAGGAATTTGGAGGTCATTCGTTCCGCATTGGGGCGGCGACTAAGGCATCTCACTTGGGCATATCAGAGCAGGCTATTCATGTGTCCTACGTGCGCATATCTGGGCTGATTGCTTTTTCCCCTATGTTTTCTCCACAGGGTCCATTCAGAACATCCTGCTATTCATACACTCTTATATATACTGGGTCCATCATCGGGCAGGGTTCGCCCTGGTGGAAATCGTCTTAGCCTTTCCCCGGTGGTGGCGGAAATCCGCTGGTTTGGGACTCGGGGGTTGCGCTGGGTACAGCTACTTAAAGAGTTGGTTTAACTGTGAGAGCTACTGGGTGTTCCGGATGTGTTGGTAATACACCTGGGCGGTAATGATTTGGGCACTTGTCTGGTGTGGGGTTTAGGGTACATGATCAAATAGAATCTTGCGCACTTGCTACTCTTGTTCCCGAAAGTCTGCCTGGTGTGGTCGGAGGTGGTTGTGCGCAACTACTGGAAGTGCGCCAGCGACCAGAGGGCAATAGAGTGCTGCAGGATCAAATTGAACATGCGAATTTCTCAGTTTGTATTGCGGATCGGGGGTCTTGCGGTGCGCCACTGCATTTTTTAACGAGACGCAGCGGTTTATTTTTGTAGCGATGGTGTGTCTTACTGATGTGGGCCTTGATCTGTTCAACCTAGGCTGCAAGATGTTCTGAAACAGGCCATGGCGCTGGTGGGGGGTCGCTACCACTGAGTTAGGCGTAAAGCAGTGGGGCTAGTGGAGGGGAAGGTCCTTGTCAATCGTGAGGTATCAGGAGCACATGGGAAGAAGGAAAGTCGGGGCTGATTCCTCCCCTAATCTCTGGTACATGGTTTGGAAAAACGGAGGTGCCCACTGAGCCAAAGACCGGCTAGTGGTTGGCATATTTGTTCAAGTGTAAATAAACCTGTGGCCTATTTTATACCACAATTATGTCTCAGGTTTTTATTGTAAAGAGGGAGGTTGAATGGGGGATATTGGTGTCACACTACACGGTACCCACTACCTACACACAAGATAATGCAGGACCTCACTAGAGATAATATCTAAAAGGAACAGTGGTACAGTTGTTGCCCACCTGGGCAAAGAGCCAACAGATGACTTTCTAAATGCGGAAAGCACTGTACATTTTTAATGTGTCATAAACTGGGGTATTGTGAAGGTCTTTGCCAAGAATGCCGGTGAATGACCTGGCTAGAACACCCTTTCGGCAAGGACAAATAGTACCCACATTCTGTTTTTACAATGTGTACCCAACTCTGAAAGACACAGAGAAATGTTCAAAACTGGCATGATATATGTGCTCAGAGCAAACATATTGCAATGGCACAGTAAGTGGTAAAAAACACAAATTAGGTGAACTTAAAGGGACACTATAGTCACCTGAACAACTTTAGCTTAATGAAGCAGTTTTGGTGTATAGAACATGCCCCTGCAGCCTCACTGCTCAATCCTCTGCCATTTAGGAGTTAAATCCCTTTGTTTATGAACCCTAGTCACACCTCCCTGCATGTGACTTGCACAGCCTTCCATAAACACTTCCTGTAAAGAGAGCCCTATTTAGGCTTTCTTTATTGCAAGTTCTGTTTAATTAAGATTTTCTTATCCCCTGCTATGTTAATAGCTTGCTAGACCCTGCAAGAGCCTCCTGTATGTGATTAAAGTTCAATTTAGAGATTGAGATACAATTATTTAAGGTAAATTACATCTGTTTGAAAGTGAAACCAGTTTTTTTTTTCCATGCAGGCTCTGTCAATCATAGCCAGGGGAGGTGTGGCTAGGGCTGCATAAACAGAAACAAAGTGATTTAACTCCTAAATGACAGTGAATTGAGCAGTGAAATTGCAGGGGAATGATCTATACACTAAAACTGCTTTATTTAGCTAAAGTAATTTAGGTGACTATAGTGTTCCTTTAAGGAATCTGAGGGCAGCCTCACACTCCTGTGTTGCCTAGTACCCAAGAGAGCAGATCTGGATTTTGGTATGTGCTACAGAGATTTTGTAGTTGAGGTGATGATAGTGATTCCAAAATATAAATCACTCAACAGCAACCTATCAAAAGAAATTGTATGTCTTCCAGTTGGCCCCGGTTTTTGTCCTACATCCAAACATGGTGGCCCACAACCTTACATTTCCTCCCAAGACCTATAGAAATGAACACAAAGCAAATCGGCAGCTAAAGTCTGATGGAAAATGTATAGTAGGAAGTTTATATCTGTTTTTTTTAGAAACAAAATTGTAGGATGTGTTCATTGAAAAACATTATTTTTGGTTTATATCATAATAAAGCTAAGATTCCATTTACCTTCTGGATTTGAGTTCAATGAACGAGATTGAATAGAATTGCGAAACATTCAAAGCAAAACACGACACAGACAACTGGCATTGTAATAGTTAACATACTGCTGTAAAACCAGAAAACAATTAGAAACATCCTCTTTAACAAGGACTCTGTCGCCATCTGCTGTTCATTTTAACTGTTACCATGTGAAATATAACAATATCAAAGTTTAATGTACACTATAAAACCAGAAGTTTTTTATTTTTCGAAAGTTGATTTGTGCTTAGAATTGATTGTCGGTCATGATTGGTTTACGTGAATAATTATGATGTGACTAAAGCTTCCCTTATGGAAAGTCATAACAACAGAGCAAACAAAACCGAAAAAAATAAATAAAAGAAAAAAACAGTAGCGCAATGTCCTTGAACATCTAATGCAATATGAAGAATACACAGACGTGCCTTAGAAGCTTGGAGACCACTTTAGATGCACTCAGTCTCTTTGAAAATACCATCTCTTTGAACAAGTTGAATATCAAACTATTATTACTCGAGATGGGAGTATATATACATACCAGTTGCCATTATGCAATTAATGCATTTGGAATCTAAACCTAGGTAAAAATGTACAGGATTTCTAACATTTAAAAGATTCAATTTGCAGATAAAATGGTAAAGTTCTTGACTCAGAAAGGATTGTTGTCTCCTCCTTTCTATTTCAGAACTGAGATTGAGGTTTTAGACAAGGTGTAAAATTATGGGCAGTTTTATGACCGCAGTTATGTTTGTATATATGAGTCACCTTTGTTTGATATAGCTCATCAGTAAAGCTAGCTTTATTACAAACATGCTACCTGTTCTACAGAAGGAGTAACAATGCCATCTTATGGCCTTCTTCGGTTTCACTTTTCTGAAGTCTAGTGAGATATCAGAAACAGATGCAGAGCCATACATTTTCAAAAAATATGCCTTTCTTGAGTTTCACGTGGCCCGTGACCTTCTGTGCTATATATGATACACTGGCATTTATTTTCATTTGAAGGAGTTACAATTAATCTTATCATAACGTATGGATAGAAAATACATAAATGATTAAAAATGGATAATCATTGCGTTTATTGTAAACTTCTGCACAGTTCACCCTCAAAGTGATAGGGAAGTATGACTGGTTATACTTGGGCAGTGCCAAACCTCGTTTTTATAAGGGGAAAACATTTATTTGCAGCAGTTTAGAAACACTAAGATTCTTTATATGGATGGGAGGGTGGTAAGCCAAAATACTTGGGGGGGAAATAAAGCGCATTAATTCTATAATCTGATTATATATCATCTATATATTCAGTTCTGCAGAGTTCCTCTCCCCTCAATTGTAGCTGTTTGGAGAAGCTTACTTGAGAGCATGTAGACATGCCAAATAAAAAGGGGCAAGTGTGAAATTTGCCCTATTTCATCAGATTTTGCACATGTCTAGACTCTTTTAAGAAGGAAGTTCCATTTCGTAAGCAGAGCCAGGTGCCCATGAGTAAAGGCAGTCTAATGACTCACAGCACCAGGAAGTGGGGTTTCAGTGCCCACATAATGTAAGTGTATAATATTATCCTTTTCTCTCCCCCAATAGCCCCAGTGACTGCCTGAAGGGATTTACTCGAATATATAATTAATATTATAATGCCAGGGAAACCCATTGGAGAGGAAACTTGTTGACACAGAGCACGGTGCTTCCCGTCACTAAAGGTTTTATTAACTCCAACAGCACATACCCTTCTGTAGCTGAGACCTGAGATAGTCATGCTGTGGCTAGTTGAAAAGTTGTGAAGCGTCAAACTGCAGGACTGGGGCTGTGACTCTGATGACTGGTCTGATTTCAATCTATTTAAATCTGTAATGATTGTTGATTGTGTTATCCATGTCAGCTAGTTCTTGGGTCCATATTACCACTCCAGATTAATTTTTCTGCCCGCTGCAAAGGTAATGAGGAGCCTATCAGTATATTGATGCTTTAACCCTGTGTAAACTAAGAGCTAATAAAGGAGATCACATGTTTCATAACAGCAACAATATTTACTAGAAAGTTATCATAGTAGAAGCACTACTGAAGATTAGATCATGAGAGGGAGAGCTAAGATGGGGCAAGTGGTCCCGCCACCCCACAAGCAGCCTGGCAGGCTTCCACCTATCAGGGTCATGCAGGGAGCACTTCCAAAGCAATTCCTGTATAGTCTTAGTGCCTGCTGCATAGCGCATGCGTGTCTAATGATGCACTCACTCTGTGCTGCCCGGGAACAGTTGCCTGGTGGCCTCAGATGTGGGACACCAGGTAACTAAAGTGGGACGATGGGACAGCACCTGAAAATCATGTGCCTCAGACAGCGAGGCAGGTGGGGGGCATGCTACTGCATCTCTGTATTGCAGCTCTGTGTAATCCTTCACAGTGATCCTGGCTGAGTGGGATACTCATGAGTATCTTCTTATCGTGCCCAGCTCTGTGTGTTATTTCTCAGAATTTTACTCAGCTCTACCTGTGGTACCGGTATCTCTGTAGTGTACCCAGCTCTATGTATTGCACAGGTATATTTATTTTGTGCCCTGCTCTATTTTTTACTCTCCGTTTGTGGCATGTTTATCTCTGTATTGTGCTCAGCTCTATGTATTTTATTGATATCTTTATGACATGCCCAGCTTGTTTTATTGTATGAGCATCTCTGTATTATGCTCTGCTCTCTGTATTGTTTGATTATTGTACAGGGAGGAGTAAAATTTTAGGGGAGATGTCTGGCACCCCACCATCTTAAAACCTCACCAGCCGCCACTGCCAATGATGCTGTCAGAGGAGAAGCTATACCTCTGTCAGCAAAATGGTTAAACTTCTGAGTTTCAAAGTGGAACGCTGCACAAACAGACTCCAGGCACCACGACCACTTTAAATTATGTAAGTGGTCATGGTGCCTGGGTTAATCCTTTAATCACCAGCATGCCACAATGGGTTGTGTGTGCTGTTAAAGGGCCACTATAGGCACCCAGACCACTTCAGCTTAATGAGGTGGTCTGGGTGCCTGGTCCATCTAGGGTTAACCCTTTTTTCTATAAACATAGCAGTTCCAGAGAAACTGCTATGTTTACCTTAGGGTTAATCCAGCCTCTAGTGGCTGTCTCATTGACAGCCGCTAGAGGGCTTCCGCGTCCATAGGAAAGCAGTGTGAAAATAGGCAAATACAAGGGTACTTTAATTAAAAGGTTAGAAAAGAAAATCATCTTTAAATTGTTCTAGTGGAATGCTATGAAATTTGTAGATGCCATAAAAGATCTTTTACATTAATACATCAGTTGTTCTTCCCCAACTGTCAATCAAATGTCAGCATAGACTTATGTGCCAGAGGCCTACGCTGACATGTGAGTGTAGTATGGTTCTCCTGCCCTCGGTCACAGTGATATTCTTCTACAGCAAACATCTTACACTTGCATCTAAGGAATATAAAAATGGAGTTACTGACGGCACTCTGTTCCAACGCTGATGTTCTGGCTTTGAAGAACGTGTCAGTGTCATGAGGGATGAATGCCCAACTCTGAGAAATGTTCCCAAGCAGGGCATGTCATTATTGTTATTATTATTATTGCCATTTATATAGCGTATTCAGATTCCGTAGCACTTTACAATATTATGAGAGGGGGGATTTAACTATAAATAGGACAATTACAAGAAAACTTTCACGAGCGATAGGTTGAAGAGGTTACGAGCTTACAGTTTATGTCATACAGAAGGGTCGGTGTAATAGACACACACTGGCACAATGGAGAGGAGGTGAGTATTCAATTAAAATCTCTTAAAGCAAATATATATCATAAATTACTAGAAAAAAATGCATATTTAATGAATGAGGAGACGTTAATGAGAATTTGTTGTGACAGGTTCTAATTCCAGTATTGGCAAATTGTATTTTTTGTTGTTCCGCAGCTCGCTGTTTAGTGAATATGCCCCTCACTCCACTTGCAGTATTGCACCTGACAGGTGTTTGCAGTTCCCTTTCTCGCTCCGAAATGCCTTTTCATGTTTGACCGTTTCCCCAAATGAGAGCCGCTGTTTTGCTGTCTACAGAAATGCAATACAACGCAGAGCAGCTTTATTGTCATGTAGCTCAACCTGATGAATTTCTAGGTTCACAATATGAAATCTAACATCGTTAATGCGGATCTGCACAGGGTCAGTAGAAAGGCTCGTGCTGCAGACCTCTATATAAACAGTGAGAAAAGGAAAAGCTTATCCTGTCACTTAGTGTTTGCCGGGGAACTAGAGCAAGATTAAAATGAAATACAGTACATCAATTGGTAAGGATGCTGTGTATGAGGGAACAGCAGTACCTTCTCACAGCTCACTTAACATCCTGCGCCAGACTGCTGTGATCACTAGCTGCACAACCTGGTGTATCTCTCCAGCCCTCTCACCCCACTAAGTTTCTCTCCAGCCCTCTCACCCTCCTTTATAGGTTTCCAACCCCTCTTTAACCCCTTTTATCCTGTTGCATGTCTCTCCAGCCCCCCTACCCTCCATCCCCAGGGTATCCCATACCTCAAACCTAACAGGATTGTAGTGTAGCCGAGGAGGACCGAGGAGAAGTTCTGTGTGGATCTGTATACTGCATAGTTCATCAGCGTAGCTTCTTGAATCAGTAGCAAGGTAATTCACTAAACCCAGAATTTTTTAGAATTAAATCTGAATGGAAAAACTAAGGCAAACATAGCTGAATTGGAAAAATTATCCAACTAGTCATGGCTGTTTTTTGCCTTGCTTTATCAATTTGGATTTAGTTTGTGAAAATCTGGATGCTAGTGAATAACCGAGTAAATTGCTTCCTTGGATCTAGACATCATATTTACTCATATATTTTCTATTTTGTGCCAGCACATCAGTCAGCCAGCCCATTGTGTTTGCATGTTTACATATATGACAGATTTATAAGTCGTACAGTTCATGCATTAACATTAGATGTTATGGTGTGAGCAACCAAGCTACTTTATATTCATCAGTAAAGATCCTGGACCGCTTCTGTTCTCAACAATGACTTATTGACTCCTACCTGAGGCAGTCTGAAACTAAAAGCTACAGATGATGATCTGTCCTTTATTTCTACACAAATACATTTTTATATAGTGGGTTAAAACTGAGAGCTTGAAGAACTTGGTCATTTGAACCGTCATAAACAAATTTGCTAAATGAAAAATTAGTAGAATGTTTACTAAATTATGTCACCTAATGTTCAGTGTATGCCCATCAGCCTAACAGATTGTGGAACAAGTAGTCGTTACGGGTTGCCTCCAGGCTGACTGGAAGTTGGACCGTAGAAAGGATGCTCCTAGTGCTCACCAAAGGACCTTCAGCACTGTAGACACCATAAGTATTGTAGACTCCACGAACCACTGCTGCTGGGCTGGGATCTCGCCGTCTGCTATCCGCCCTGTACCTATGACCAGGCTCCAGGTTCCAGTAGGTGAACCTCTTCCTTCTGTAGAGCGAAGCAGGATCAGGAACAAGAGCTCTTACAAGAGCTCAGTAGCTAAGGGAGTATGAAGAGCATAGCAATCCCTGTAGTGATTATAGCTGTCCCCTACAAACATGAGTAGAGGCTGCAAGATAGAGGGTCAAGTAGTTCTTCTTTAATTGGCACCAAAGGGCCTTCTTTTATGGAGGTCTTACACATACAGGATTGCCCACAGGGTTTTGCAGAACAACCAATAAACACATAACACAGTAAAAACACACCAATCAATAACACACAAATCCTCCCCCATGCCTGTGATATAATTACTGAACACAATGGGTTAAAGTAATTATCACAGGCAGGAAAAATACACTTTTTATACATACACTGTAACTCCAATCTTCATAATAATTACATATTCAGATTCAGCATACTTTAAATATAAACATAACCAAAAATCACACAAATCCCTTCAGTAGATAAAAAGTTAGACGGAAGTCCTTTATGACCGACCGCAAACACATTTTCCTGCCCAAAACAGTTCCATAGATTAGGGCTGTGCGGTCGGTCTATTTTACACAGAAAAATTACTAAGTCACATTCGAATGTACGAACGAGGCCATTCGTGCATTTAGCTTAGTACAGCAGTGAGTTCAAACTGCCGAACGGGACTTAGTCTCTGCGGCCTCAAACTTAATGTAGGAGAAGGTAAGGGTCAGCGGTGTTCGTTAAAATGTGCAGCTGATTTCAGTTCCATGAATTTGGCTCCACATACCGCTGACCTCGTTCAAATGAACAAAGATGGCTGCCGCCACCCAGCGGTCGGCATTTTACCTACAGCAGGCTACCAGCCTTGGAGGTAAATTGCCTGCACACTTCCACTTCTGGGTGGTCCGCCTCTGTGGTACTTGGTTCAGTAAGCCCCATTTACTGAACCAAGTGGAAAATAGCCATGAACAAAGGATTTTAACCAAGTCTGGGGACACTTGGGACACAGGCTTAGAAGGGGCAGTGTACCAAACAAGTCTGGGACACCGTCTTAAAGGGGCAGTGTCCCAATTTTCCCTATGACCCAAAAATGTGCTTAAAGGGTCAGCACCAGTCCCATAAAAGTCCATAAGCCCCAATATGCTCACAGACTGTTCTTAAAGGGCCATACACACCAGGGGCATAGTCATGAGGAAGGAGGCTGTCAATTAGGCTTCTCAATAAAGAAGGGAAGCAGGCCAATTTGTCACTTAAAGAGACAGTTACAAAAGGCATTTTGTAACAGTAGTATATGATACAATCACTCTATTTAATAGAGCGGCTGGTGACACAAACTTGTCTGATAGAAAATAGATATATACACGGGCATTGCTAGGTTCCTAAACACCTGGAGTTTGAGCCCAAAGGAAAACTCGATGACCCTGATGCTGGCAGAGAGGTAGAGATATGTCAGGACATATCTCTGTCTTTTTATATTATGTGCTGTCCTCTAAAGCCATGCTACTAATGTTGTTTGAGATCATAATAAAACCATGCCCAGAAACAAGCACATGCTGCACAGTCAGTCATTTAATGCAACCCCAGCACACTGCCATACTAATAAAGTTCTGTAACCCAGCATCCTTTGCTGATAGTCACCAGTGTAACATCATCCACTCCTCCAAGTGGCCTGACAGAGAAATATATCGCTTATCTTTCTTTCTATAATAGGCGGCTGCATCTGCCACCCCATCGACTTTGGAATTCAGCCACGACTAGAAATGCCTATAGATACGTAGGTATCGGTGCACTTATAATTGGGCCCAATTTGGACATTTCCACTTAGGGGTGTACTCACTTTTGTTGCCAACAGTTTAGACATTAATGGCTGTGTGTCGATTTATTTTGAGGGGACAGACAATTTACACTGTTATACAGGCTGTACACTTACTACTTTACATAGTAGCAGAGTGTCATTTCTTCAGTGTTGTTACATGAAAAGATATAATAAAATTTTCACAAAAATGTGAGAGGTGTACTCACTTGTGCGAGATACTGTATATCCCACACTTTGACAGGTATCATGGTAACAATATAATCAATGTTATTAACTTCACCTGTCATTGGTTTTAATGTTGTGGCTGATCAGTGTATGTATCTATATATAAAAAAACAACAATATATGTGAACACAACCCCAGTGAAAATAATATAATATAAAAACAAACTAAAACTTCCCTTATCTCTTTAGCAGATTGTCCCCTATTTTTCTGTGTATGTATCTATATATGTCTGAACATGATACCCGTGATGATATACATGAAGAGGTATTAACTAAAACACAAATTGTCTGGAATTTATCAGGGAACTGCAAATACTGGATCAAAGTAGATGAGCTTAAAACAAAGCTGACTTGGAATTTGCCATTCCCTGGTGAATTCCCAACAAGCTGTGGTTTAGTGAATATCCCAGTATGTAAATCCACTGTGATAGACCAGCATATGTGAAAATTATGATTTTATTGCTTTGGTTAATGAATTCTCACAGTCTACAAGCTCTGCAAATATTGAGTGCTATATCCCCAGGAGAAAATGATGCTTGTGATAATTAAAGAAGCAAAATATATGGATTCATTCATTTTAATGCAGTGAATTGAAATAGGATTAACAAATTTCTCAAAATTCTCGACTAAGGTTTAGTCGCAACAACATTTTGCAATTCTGTTTTCAATTCTCTACAATTCATTGTTTAGTGAAAAAAAAACTCCACCATGTTTAAATTATCACGTTTTCCCAAGCAATTTAATTTTATTTATTTTTTAAATTCTATTTCTGTAAATGTACTTGTTACAACATTGCACTTAATAAATCCATTATGACTTTTGGAACTGCAGCACAAAACTAGATTTTTTTTTATTCCTAACATTTAACTTGCAAAATCGGGGTTAAAAAAATTAATATCCACCGTCAATTCCCATTTTAGTAAATATCCCTGTTTTAGTTAATACATTTTTTTTTTTTAAAGAGTTTTCTATGGGTTCTATGCTGCATAGTGCTCATACTCTCAAATGGGCATCTTATTCAAACCTGAAAAATATTGTAATTTATTTATTTACTCAGTACAGATGAAACAGTAAAAGGATTACAAAAAAAAGAAAAAATATATATATTTTTGGAGTTGCCAAGGTCCGTTCCAGCAGTAAACGAGTTACGAAAACATGCAACAGGGACCAAATGTACAGGTATCAAGGATGGTTTATTTTTTTTGAAGCTATTTGGGCAGCTACACAGTCATACACATTATAATTGGTGTATTTAGTGACAAACTGAGATTATCTCCATCTGTTTAAACACCAGCTGTGTGTTTATACTGTGCAGGTCTATCTCAGCCATGCCACTGCTTTATAGCAATATTAACTTTGACCTGTGATTTCAGCCTTCGCTTACCACTGCTTTCAACAGAGATCTTATTCCGAGCAGCAAATTCTAGAAATAGCACGTCAAGCTGCTGTAGGGGGTTCTGAATACCATGGGCTGCTGCCTATTACAGTAATCTGATATCCAGCTGCACACAGGATATGGTCCATTTTAAGCACTATTATATTGTAACAGTACAATTCTAAAAGAAATATAGCAACAGGGCAAAGCACACACAGAAAGTAGGATTTTGTCTAAAAGATTCTTGGATTATTTAACATACGTTAAATAAAAATGCCATATACATGGAGTATAATGTGTTACACTCTAGAAAACTCACTATGTGGGTTTTGAGATGGGGTGGGGAGCATTGAGGTGTGGTGGTCAGGGTTCATCAACTCTAAATCACACACCATACAGAACAGAAGTAGTCATCTTACCAAAACATAATTAATTACAAATTGGCCTTCATTTTCAATCAGAGATTTGTGCAATGCTTTAGGCATCGCCAGAAAAAGTCGGGTAATGGTCCCAGTAAAATGGAGAAGTGGGTCTTTATTCTGTTTCATGTTACTCCTGAATACAATACATTATAGACTATAGAACATAATAGGAATTTGGATCTACAGCTCTTTAATCCTTTAAAAGGAACGCACATGAAGGGGGGGCAACAGGCAAGGATTGGACCTCTTTCATCCATCCTTCCAAGCTATATGGGTCTCCTGCACATCAAGCTGTTCCGCATTCTTTGAATGTTTCTTAAACTTGCCTTTCTTCAATAAAGTTAAAAGATCACTCCACTGCCTGAATTTAACAAAAATCAAAAAAAAAAAAAAATCACTATTATGTAGGTATAACCCAATAAAAACATGCATGAATTTAATTATGCTTTTTTTCTTTGGGGTTATATCTAAAAACAGATCTCATCTGCAGCCTTTGCAAGCCCTACTCATCTTCCTCAACCCAGACTTTCTGTGGCTGTCCAATCGCATACTCCCAAATGCAGTTCATTGAGAAATATATGCAAGGCAGGAGCTTTTGGGCAATTGCTGCCTCTTAAATTTATCTCCAGTGAGCTAAACAACCAAGGAGTAACAGGACCGGTTGTCTGATTGACAACCAAGGGGGGTGTATGAAGGTTAGTTAATAAAACTGTCTATGTCTAGTGACATCTGCACGAGAGACACACTCTTCAGACACAGCACTTCAGCATGCTTAAGTGCTTTATATATGTGGAGTGATCTCTTTGAAGTGAAACTCGAGGTTAAAAAGGTATACTTTTAATGCACTTGAAAAAGGCGGATAGAATAGACATAACCTTAATACTAGATATTACATAGATCAAATAAAATACAGTGTGCTGAAACAAGTCTGGTAGTAATTTCTCCCATCTGTCACCAGTGATGGCTGTAGGGTGAGGGGAGCGGAATGCTCTCCCTGTGGAGGATCCAGTTATCTCATAGGAAGCTCCATAGACCTCAATGATGTACTCTTGCCCATACCTTTTACAGGCATGATGTAAATTTCTTTGTAGCACAATTTGGGGTGGCCTGAGGTATATTGATGGACAACCATCGGTCAAACTTACTGAAGGAGGTTTCCACCTGCTATCATATAGATACTAAAAACCTGCCCGGCTATGTGATTACAGTGTAACTGTGATATAGGACCGTGCTCCTCAACCCAAGGCACACCTAACAGTACAGGATTTAGGGATTACCCAGGTGTCTCTAAGGTGTTTAAACACACCTTAGACTCCAAGGTGATTTTTTTTGTTTTGTTTTTTCCTTTTTCTAAACCCCTTAGACACTCCTGAGTAATCCCTAAATCCTGTACTGTTAGGTGTGCCTTGAGGAGAGGGTGGAGGAGCAGTGGTATAGGAAATACAAAGCGACTGGGTCAGTGGCATTAAAATATTCTCTAACAGTTTCCTTACAAGCTTGTATAGCATAAGCAATCTACTATGACATAAAATAATCTATTGGAAAATAAATTTAAAAAAATTCACTTTTTTTTTTTTAATATTTAATCATACTATGCTGACAAAAGGGCTAAACACTGGCCCAAAACAGATTTTCACGGTTTTTATCTAGTCAGATGTTTACAAAAGCTGCCTGAATCCCCGTATAACAGATGGGCAGTGATAGAATCCGGTTAGTGTTTTGAGTCAGCATTGAACAGAATTGTCAGAGATTATGTATGTATGTCCTTGTAGAAAACAATGAATGTCCGCAGAGCATAGAAATAAAATATACTATGATCCTTTATTATATCTGCATAATACATTCACTCTTTTAAAATAAAATACCAGTTCTAAGCGAATGTGGAAACTACAAGACTGGCATTACAAATCATTATACAGGTTATAAATTTTACAAGGCTACACAAACAAAAACAAAAAAATGCATTGCGAACAGCTAGGATTTTATTTTGGGATTCTTTTTCCTTCAGTAAATAACGAGCGATGGCTGACCGTTCTTATTAACCTTGTCAATGCTTAGACTTTTGCAAGAAGAACCAGATAGCAAATTAAATAAAATGATAATAAAAACGTTATACTCGTGGCAAGGATCAATACAAAACCACAAAATGACCTCTGAAGAATAGATGATGCTTGTGTTTGGTTTCTAGAAATTATTTTATTATGAGAAGTTCACAAAAATTATATTCCTGCATTTGACAAGTGATAAACCTAACTGGCCTAGTCAACAGCTGAAATCATACACAATTAGAGACAATATCCTCAGGCAAGCCATATCTGTGGCCTGAAACTAGCTCACACTTGATAGATACATTTCAATTTGAAATTTTAAATGTTACTTAGAAAAACAATGTTTCCCAAACTTTTTTCTTTTTTTTTTTTAATGAAAATGTACTAAAAGATGGTTTAAGAGATCAACTGTCCACAATTTCTGTAATATACCTTTCAGAGTCAGTTAACAGAAACGGTAATGAAGAAGCAACACAATAGGGTGGCACAGCCTCATTCGTCTAAAAAGAAGCTTCTTCACACTGAAACTGGCAATTAAAAGTTTTTACTCTAAACACAGTGAGGTCCACACTGGAACACAAAATAAAGAGACTTGAGTCTCAGCCACCAAATACAGCTGGATCGTTATTATAGTTATTTCTTTTTCACAAAAAACAAACTATTGTTTCTTCTTTTGTTTGAGTCTTTTGTGGCGATGGTGCTTTGTAGGTGGGCGTTTTGACTCTGCTTTTGGTTTGTTAAGCTCCATATCAGGCTTTTTTGATGGTCCGTGCTTTTGGAGAGCCTCTTCTGTAATGGGTTCGATGATGTGCCCTTTTTTGGTAATGATTGGAGGTGCAATCAACCTCTGCACAGATCTCTCGGTGTTCCAAGTATTACCCACAGGGGCCCGGATAGTGCTCTCAAAATGTGTGTGGTTATTATATGGGAAAGGTAGCACACTAACCTGTAAACACAGCAAAATGAACATGTTATTAGTATACATAGCTCGTGCTCAATTCCCAAAAAAATCCAATATACAAAAAATATTCCATTACAATAACATATGGAACACCTAGGAAAACTAAACAATGCTACAGATATTGCACAACATAAAGACTTGATCTAACTTGATGTTTATTTGTTAACAGATAGATAGTCTTACTATATACACATTTGAATAGGCAAATACCCCTGAGCAATCAACCATAGCAGTTACATTATATTATATAGGAAAATATAAAAATAATGTTAGAAAGGAAGCAGCCCTTATTACAGCATCAGTGGGAGCTCTCCAATTACAAGTGCTATGGATGCACCAGTTCGCTGGCGTTAACAGCTGGAAATAGGAATTCTGCAATTCCACTGGTTCCCCTAGGAGTGAAAGGCAGCTTGTTGGACCATTGCTATTCATCAGTATAAAAATAAAGACTAGCCCAGAGGAGGTAACTGCTGAAGCTGCAAAAATAACCGTAATTCCAACCAGAGCTGACTAGATGCCATTTACTCCTTTCCTCTCAGTGAACAATGAGAAAAAGCAAAAAAAACAAGGCAAATTGCAGAGGCTTAGACGGTACACTAACATTTTAACTTATTGAGTACGAGTATGGTGATGTGAACTGGTAATTGAGAAGATTTGTAGAATTTCTTTTTTTCCGTCAATCTCTTTTAAAAAAATAAATAAATATTTGACGCAGGCACAGTACAAGATCTATGCATCGACCTTATACGGTATAGTTTACAAACAACACGGACATGTGCAGAACAAACATAAGAATTTATTTTTTTAATACACGTTTTTCATTCTGATTATATATGATAGCATACCGGTGGCTCTAAACTAAAAAATTTTTTATAATTTTATATTTTACTTTTCTCATTGAAACAAAAGTGGAAAATATTAAGCACCGATTCAATTAGCTAACTCTTCTACAAATACCCAACAATATGCCAACAGAAGCTTAAAACGCTCTTCTCCTCACCTGATGGGCTGCAGCCCCTGAACTCCTCTTCTCGTTTATGATGACATTAGGAAGTCGACGGTCCTTCCTCGGGCGCGCAGGATGAGCTGGGATAATAAATCTGGAACGGAGAGCAAATTAATAAGAACACAGATCAAATAACAACAAAGTGGCAGGAAAAGATCACCAGTGCGTATAAGGTTAAAAAGATAGAGGATTCACCTCTTTAGTGCCAAAGGGATGCAATGCATGATTGATATTTTTGGAACTAAACAGGTTTTTTTCAGCATGAGAAAAGCCACACTTTGTTAGCAATAATTAAAAAAAAAAATAAAAAAAAAAATTTAAACACACATAAGTGTTAGTCCGCCAGACAGCAGTACATCTGCAGTCCCTCGGCATTGTATGGCTAAGTGAAGCACAGCAAGAGATCCGTGAAGGAGCTCAACAAGGGATCCTTTCTCAATTACACTTTTCAAGTCACTTTGAAAGCAAAACATAACCTTTAGCAGCATTGGAGTCCCCAAAGTATCTCCAAGAACAAGTAATATTCAGATTAATGCAAGTCTCAGATTTACAGAATAAGAAAAAGTGCCAAAGACAATTCAACTGTGGAGACACCATAGCACTTTTTTTTTTTGCTCCAATGGCTTGCTTGATCAAGCGGGAAGGGCTTCATTTGAATTAAAAAGTCATTGTAAAAATAAAAAAATAAATAAAAAAACTATAAAGTTGCAAATAACAGATCAGTATGTTACCTTGCATGATTCCACAGACAACTGTAGTAGTTTATTAAAAAGGGTATTTCAGATTGAAGGGGCAGAGTGAAATTAAATTTAATTGCTTACGCATTGCATTATTTTTATTTCATTTATTCTATATACATTTCTTCTACTGTGCGTTACAAAATGCTCTATCTATACAAAGTGTGGTTATAGATAGAGGGGTAAATAATAAGACATACTGGAACAAAACAACTAGCGAACCTATAAATCAATTTTTTTTATACAAAGTGTAAAGCCCTTCAAACACATATAAACACACTCTTAGTTTCATTTTTTCAAAAGCTAAAAAGCTTATGTCACTCGTTAATGGGACACTAAGAAACAGAACGACTACTGCTCACTAGTGGTTATGTTGCCTAGATAGACCTGGAGCTGCCCTGTGGTTTAATGTTAATGTTAAACCATTTAGGAGCAGATTGACAAACTGGAGACGGCCTAATACTTTGGTGTGTGGATAATGTAATATAGTTACTTAATTTACATTTTGGGCATTTCTTAACAGCTGTTTGTATGTAATTCTCCATATTTTTATATGTTAAATGATGTGTGCGCATGCAATCCTGGAGGTTCAGGAGGACAATATGAAAGAAACACTAAAGAGTCAGGAACACAAACGTGTATTCCTATAGTGCAGGGGTCCTCAAACTTTTTAAACAGGGGGCCAGTTCACTGTCCCTCATTCACTGTTGGGGGCCGGACTATAGTTTGAAAAAAATTTAAAGGAATTCCTATACATACTGAAACAGACATATACAGACACATACTAACACACATACAGACACAAACACGCATAAGGACATACATATACACACACACACTGACAGACATACACCCAGACAAATACTGAAATACATACACAGACATACAAACACTGACATACATGCACACAGACAGACATACATACATACACACATTTAATTTTTCTTACTTTTTTTGCAGGAGGGTGACAATGGCTGATTTGAGTCGGCGCGGTTCTTCCGTACTCGCGGCCTGTCTCTATTCCTTCCCGCGCGGAGGGAGCTGGGAGGAAGTGACCGGCTGTCACTTCCTCCCAGCATTACTTGCAGCTGCAATTTTTTAAAGGGGCCTGGTCGCGCTATTGCACGCCCGCAGCGCTGACCGAATCCCTCAAGATATAGGGCCCATTGAGTGGTCCTAAATGCTTGGGCCGTGTTAAGGACCCTGGCAGGCTGGATACGGCCCACGGACGTAGTTTGAGGACCCCTGCTATGTAGAGTCGACCCTATAGTGTTAAACATGCTTGCCCCCCTGGCATATTGAGAAAGCTCACCTTATCTCCAGAAATGCGTGGTTGACTCCACCCCCGAAATGCCTCCTAGGCTGACATCAGAATGTATGATCTTAGCTAATCACAATACTTTCTCATGAGAATGGGGCAGAGCCAAACACCCCCCTGGTCAATCAGCAGTTCCTCATAGAGATGCATTAAATCAATGCATCTCCATGCAGAGTGAAGAGACGTTGATGGACAGTGCTACACACTGTGCAGCGCTGACCCAGAAAGCACTTCTAGTGGCCCTCTGTAATGTAAACACTGCCTTTTCTCTATTTAAAAAAAAAAAAAAGTGTTTACTACAAAAAGCCTGCAGGGACTGACTATACTCACCAGAACTACAATAAGCTGTAGTTGTTCTGGTGACTATAGTGGCCCTTTAATTGTGTAAGCATCCAGTGTTCGCTCAATATAATGCACAGTAATTGGGCAGCTTTAAGGGACACTTGACAATTCCTTTTTTTTTTTTTTTTTTTTAAACCAACAAGCAATCACTTTTAAACAAATATACAAATCAAAATAAAGCAAGAGACTTTGAAACCTTTGTTGAAACTATGTAATAAACATTTGTAAATTAACTATAAACTAGGTCAGATTGCATTATGGGGCACACCTCTCATTTAGGGGAGTTTCTTGAGCCCCCACCCACATCCCAGTTTCAGACCAGTCCACTAATGACAGAAACAGGGCATCATTGTGCAGAAGCAGGACATAGAAACCCAACACTGAAGCCTGCAATGTATTAATCACACTGATCTGACTCCATTCTCTTCGCTAACTGTCAGGATGCTGTAAGGTGAAGAGATCTTCCAACTGCACATGCATAATTCTGTCAGGCATGCTCAGTGCAATTTTCCAGCATTCCTATGGATAGAATACTGATTAGTTAGATCAGTATTCCCACTGAAGTTGGTGTGGATAGAATAAGAAAGAAGCAGTGTAGGTAGCAGTCTCATTCAAAGAAAAAGTTTTTGATTTAGACAGTTGTCTCAAAGTGATGCATGATCCTTTTGTTGAGAAACTATACTTTCCCAAAGAAGGTCAAAGTGAATGATGCAGGAATCTGGAATAGACATTTCAAAGGAAATAACGACAACTAAGAAGAACTGAAATGTGAGTTTGCAGGGATAGGCTCTTAGTGTCATTGCTTAGTGACTGACCTGCATGGCATATTCACACACACACACACACACACACACACACACACACACACACAGAGACAGACAAATACTGAAATACATACACAGACATACAAACACTGACATACATGCACACAGACAGACATACATACTGAAATACATACTGAAATACATACACACACAAAAATAAATAAAAAATAAATAAAAAAATCAATGAATAGTGACATTATTCTGCTAAACCTTACTTGCTCTGCTTTCTCTTGCTGGGTTTCAGATTTAGTCCACCCCATTCTCCCCAGCCAGGCAGAACTAGGTTGATTTCCTTAGGTTTCCCAGCTTCTTCTGCGTTGCGTTTCTCCTTAAGGAAATCTTTAATGACATCATCTCCAGCAAACGCTTCTTGGATGATCATTTTTTGATCGACCTCATCGTCTTCCTCCTGATTAGTAAAATAATATTTTATATAAAAAAAATAAGTCAACGATTGAGTTCCATGGACACTCCAATGCCAAAAATTTAAAAAAAAAAATATATATAAAAAAATATATATAAAAAAAGTTGTTTAGATTTAACAATACCAAAACGATTTAGAAATCTGTAATGTAATAAGATATTGTGAGCATAGAAGCCACAGTAAGGCTTTTTTTAATTAAACTGTCTTAGGAAAAATAAAGGGAATTTGGTAGAGTGTAAGATCATTTTATTATTATTATTGATAAAGCGCCAACAAATTCAGCAGCACTGTACCATGGTTATCATACATTGCATAATCCTGTTCCTCTAACCCAGGGGTGTCCAACCTTGGTCTACCAAGTGTATTGTGTTTCCAAGAGTATTTCCCAGAATTCTTTGACCGTCAACAGCATTATTGTCCAAAAAGACCTGGAGAGCAAAGGTTGAACACTCCCAGACAAGCAAACTTTACAGTTTAAAAGTAGATGGATATTCATCACACTTCCACTTTCCATTTATTCTCTCAATTGCATTATAAATCATGATTATTGACTGATTGTGCACATAGAAAGCTTGCTTACCTCGTCTTCCTCTACAGTAGTAGGAAGTAACGATGTTTTAATTTTATGGGCCTTTACTGGTAGAACACTGTTGTGGTCAATAAGTTTTGGTTTCTTATCCTGGATCTCTGTGACGGTGGGCAAAGACTGCCTTGCACGATCCTTCTTGCTTGGTGGAATAGACTGTTTTATGGGATCATCTTGCAGTTCGTCTTGTCCAAGAGCATCCATTTCTACTAAGCTCTGTTTTCTATCCATGCTCTCCACCAGTAATGGACTTTCTTCTGCAAGTACTACTGGTTCCTCAGCATCGTTATCTTCTTCTTGTTCTACAGGGTCACTGTTTTTACTTTTTCTATTGACGCTATCTTTTTTATTTTGCTCCAAGAATCTCTGAAACATTCGGTTAAACTCTGTTACTTGTTCTTCTCTTGTGTCATCAACAATATTGCTTACTGCTTCATTGACAGCATCTACAAGAGATATCCACAGCGAAATTGTCACATGATTGATTACATAAGATGAGACAAAAACAATATATAAACGTTTTACCAAACCTTAGGTCATGCTGAAAGCTCCTGTCCAACAAAGGTTTATGGGAAAATCAGTTTATTTCCTCAGAGCTGTTCTGTTTATCACTGGGGACAATTGAAACCTCTATGTAAACTGATAGCAGCTAATAACAGTTTAAGTGCTGCTTCTGGGTGTAGGGAGAGCTTAGCCCAAAATCAGGTGTGTAATGTGGGCAGACCACACGCACAATTTCAATATAACAGATATCAGGCAGCTCGAACTGAGAGTTGCCAGCTGCATGGTTGAGAGCTCTGAGGGCCTGTCTTCGAGTTGCACTAATCATTGAAAGCGGTTTCAGACTTTGCACAAATAAAGGCATTGTTGTACCTTGGTTGCATGTGCAGCAACCTGCTAATCTGATAATAGAAGAGCATTGAATCCAGTGCTTCTGTATAAGCAGTGAACACTGTGTGTATGCGCAAGGTGTGAGCATTCACGAGAAGAGAAACAAGCCGAGTGGCCACTAGTCTTGCTGGAAAAACCCTCCCACACCGCCAAATTTTGTAGTCCTGAGGAGTGTAAGGAGGAAGTGAAAATATATTTAATAGAGCAAGAAAACTACAGTATTTACATTTAAGACATGCTCACAGCACTGTAAGTGAATACAGAACATCCATCTCCAGCGTGCAGTGTTTTATCTCTCCCAAAATAAAAATTAAAATAAATAGTGTGGTAATAAGTCACAGAAAAGAGACCACAGATTATATATATTCCAGTGCACTTAATGTCAAATCAGTTTCAAAATAAAACAGTTCTTTAACGAGACACTGTAGGCACCATAACCACTTCACATCATTGAAGTTATGAAGTCTGAAATCTTCTGGTTTCGCTCCACCGTTCAAGTGTTAAACTGTCCTGAACTGATTTGACTGAGAGCTTGGCCCCTCTCTGCAGCTCAGACCAATGCTTCCATATAAGCATGAGTAGTGGCAGCAGCCTATAGCAGGTGTAAGCAGGATAGCTGATGCAGAGTTTAATTGCATTCATAATAACCTCAAATGGTGGCTGAAGTCACAGGCTCCCAGGAACCCCAAATCAGTGTAAAGCAATTCAAAAACAGCTAGATATTGAACATTGGGATAACGCCAGGAAACGACAAACACCATAACCACCTCGATGAGATGAAGCGGTTATGCTTAGGGTCACTTTAAGTTGTTATTGTTAATTTTGCCAAGTACAAAATTAAAAAGAAATTAATTACCGCATATAATCAAATTCTTCAGCCTGCTTGTAATAAAAGAGCACCACATTTTGGACAGGGCCTACTCAAAGCCTGTTCTTATAATATTAGCCCCCTCACATAAAACAAACTTTTTGTACAAAACTTATATAAGGCCTTTTAATTGAAAAGAAAAGAAAGGAAAAAAAACTCACCAGGCTCTTTAATAGCATCATCTTCGTGCATTTTCCTGAGACGTCGGTTATCCTCAAATTCCTGAAGCAATGTCTCTTCCTCTGATAGGTCAGCCTCGGAATTATCATGATCCGACACATCTGCCGTTTTGTTTACATCAGGGTCAGTTTGACCCTTCTCTTCCTCCTCTTGATTCCCAGAGTCCTTTGGATCTCTGCTCAGTTTTCCAGTCATCCAGGGGTTGAGTCCATCGAGATTGGTTTCCGCATCATTAACAAAATCTGGGATAACTTCCTCTGTCTCGCTCTCATCACTTTCGGACAAAACCTCCACTTTCCTAGTCAAGTCCTTGTTTTTTTGAAGTTGTTCTTGTATTGCTTTGCGTGCCTAACAGAGTAACGGTAACAAGAGTTGACATTCGGTACAACTGATACAGATACAAAAATATGCACCTATTGAGCACAGTGGCAATTACACATTTAGTTCAACAGATCTCTTTGTAGCATTCATAAACCTTAAGAAACCGATCTCTAAAATGAAATACATTAAATATTTGAACATTTTATTTTAATCAAAAGGGGAAGCAGTTTGTTTCACGTAACATTTTCCGATCAGAAGGCAGATGTGACCGCAGCACTAGTTCTAAAATCAAAATGCCTTTATGCCAACTTCCCGAAACAAAACACCTCAAGCTAGTTATTCCCAATCCTGAACCAACCTAATATTCCAAATACCTAGAATGTTTAGAAAAGAGCATACATAAATTTATACTAGTGTATTTGTTTATTGTTTTAACTGTTGTATTATTTAATTTTCTTTTCTACATCTTACAGAAACAAAATGTCATGCAAGATGCCAAATACGTAACTTCTAATTTGTCATCTTTAAAAAATTTCTATATATTATACTAAATTAATTAAAATGCTCCATGACAATAATAAAAAAATAAAAAAAAGTACCATTACCATTTCAAAAAAATCAGTTTAAATAGGCACTCTAAGCGCCACTAACTAAAGCTCACGGCAGTGGTTATGGTGCTTTGACTGTATGGTTACAGTACCAAGGTCTGTTTGATAAAATGCTTTGAAACCTCTCTGGTACCGAAGGCCAACCCTCCTGTGTGGATACACTTCCTCATTACCAAATGCAATTCCATCCAACTTGGACTACAATGACAGCCAGCAAGCCCAGGTTGAATCCAACTCAATATATTTAAGTAAATAAAAATGTTATGTCACAGCTATCTACTGAAAAAAAAAAAAAAATGTATAGTACATCCATACAAAGCCTACATTTTACAAAAGCAAACTCAAATAGTCTCTAGCGATAAGTGCCCACTGACGTCTGGTCCGAGAGCTGACACAAGGTGCAGGAGAAGCCATGGCAAACATTGTTTAAACTGGCAGCATTCATTCACTTGCTTACTTAGAAGTGCATGGTGCAATATATATTGCTTGCAAAGACTATCACATGAATGAGAATTCTAAAGATCAGTACAATATAACCATCCCTCAATACGAATACAGTATGTGATGCTACAATTGTAGTATATCCATTAAATTTGGAAAAGTAGTAAATTGATAAAGATATTGCAAATTTTAGGCCAAAATTATACACTAGTTCTATTTTCCAGCTTGGAAATTGTGGGCTAAAATTTTCACAAAAAAGAATTTCAAGCTCTTTACAATTAATATATTAACGAATATAATCCACAGTGCTTGCCCAGTTGCTCGCATACAATATATTTAATTTTGCTGTAAATTGATAAAAACTACAAATTATTCAGTGACCAAATATTTGTCATTATTACACTCGCCACAAACATACAGAATACTTACATCATCATCATACTTTGCCATGATGGCTTTGGATTTAGCCCACTTGCCACTATTTTGGTGCTTCAGGGACATTCGTTCCTTTAAAACAAAAACAAAACAAAAAAAATTGACTGCAAGGGCAGAGATGAATAATATAAAACAGTACACCCATTAAATATAAAATGCAATGCTAGAGCAAAATTTGAGAAGTGAAGTACTCATGCCATTGGTTTTCAAGGCAATGTCTAGCTATTCAGATATATATAACATTGACATTCCAAGTGTGTGTAAACTACTAAAGCATAATGCCCTACCAGGTTTAAAGGGACAGGACACTATAAGGACAGTAACTACTACTTAAGTCTACTGTAGTAGTTTTGGTGCCAGGAGTCCTCTGGCGTCAGAATGTTAAGAGTCAAATAGTTTTGGACAGAGAATGATACCTGGGTCACCAAGGGACACAAGGTATAGCCCTTTTCACAGACAGCATCATCCCACCATTAAGAATGAAACCATTTTGAATGGTTTAACACTTACTGCTTAATTCAGGTGCCGTCATCTAGCCCTTCTTCACGTTTACCAATAAAGCAGAAGTTTAATTTTCACATTATATATATGTTAATACAACCGAATTCTAATAAAAGTTGAACAAAATTGATACTGAAATTAAAGTATAACTTCTGCGTTAGAGAGGACAGTAAAGTGGGGCCAATCGGCAGGCACATGGGACATTCAGTAGGTGTCCAATCTTTAAAAATAAAAAAATAAAAAATCTGACTCTGAACGTTCCAGGGAGTGTAGTGGCTACTGTACTTTACAGGCCCTTTAAGCCCATCTTAAAACTAAAGAGCATCATGCTAGTATACAAAGATATGCCCCATTATTTGACTTCTTCGGTCACCTCCATTCTGGTTCTTTCTATCTTCTGCAATTCTTCCAACGCTGCCTCTGGATTGGTTTTCCTCAATTCTTCAAATCCCTTCAAAGCTTCCTTCGTCTTGCTCTTTTTTAGCACTTTGTGGAACCTGAGTAAAAAGGTCATTCCTCTTACTTTCAAATGTTTGCTTCTATTACACATATGCATTTTTACGTTTTTGTTAATATTATTATTTTATAAAGCAAGGGCCACAGATAAAAAGAAGCAAATTGTTGAGAATACATATTAAATATTTCAATGCGATAACTTGTTAATAGTTTAAGTAGTCAATCCGTTTTTCAACTATTTAACTGAGGTCCGCTAAGCCCTACTCTCTGCCTTCAACACCGAAGCGAGAGAGCCAGGTCCTGCATAGGAGAGCAGAGTCAAGTAGTGGAGTGCTTAGCTCGTTGGCTGAGGACATCAGTTGACTGAGGAGTTCAAAAACGGTTTGATTACTTACAATGGGTTTTGCCAGAGTGTAGTGGTTATGGTGCTTGGAGTGTTCCTGTAATGAGATGGTTTTGATCCAAGGAACCCATATAACATTGATGTTTTGGGGAAATTCCAATGCAAAATAGACAACACCTTCAAAGATGTCACACTGAAGTAAGTTCTCACTGTAGACCTTCACATCCACTGCTTCTCACAGAAAGGCACTGGATTCCATGCTTTACTATCCGATGAATTGCAATGGTGGAGCACAGTGAAAGCTTTATAAAAAGCACTAAATTGGACAAAAGTTATCAGAAAAGGCTGCAGAAAACAGCGTATCCCAGCAGTGAATGACAGGCAAGTCTAAAAATCATTGAAATACCAAAACAATCAAAAGATATTATAAGACAAAGTAGGGATTGTATTTTTCCTACGCTTGACAAAAAGGCAGAGGAGCCACTTTGTACTAGTAACGGTTGTGGAGACAAAGGCATTGTCTATGGAGATTCCCACAGTCTCCTTCAGACATCACTGCACGTGTGCAAGAGTACAGCACAGACGCGCCAGGAGCTGAAGAGGATCCCAAAGAAGAAGATGGCGGAGACCACGAGGGACAGGTTTAACATTAGCATGTTCTCTCAATAGTAAATTGGTTCATATAAATCAAATTTCAGCTTTATTGTAAATATTTTTATATATGTACAAACATCTGCTTTTGAATCCAATAGAAAAAGATGAAATATAAAAATAAAAAAAATATATAGTGTTTTAGCTTTTTGCAAATTTGTGTTGTACAAAATAAAAATTCTTACTTTTTGCTTTTAATCTTCTTCTCCCTCCGAGCTTTTGACTCATAGTAGGACTGCAAGGCTCTTGCCTTCTGAAGTTCAGCTCGTCGAAGCATTGCCTGCAAGACACAATCCAGCATATCGGCTTTGCATGACGCATTGTACAGCAACACTTATATCAGCAGAGGGCAGCAAAGACCAGACACGTTCAAAATACATATAATATAGATCTATCTCTCTCAATAACTATTTCTCCACACCCCACCCCCGAAAAAAAAAAAATTAATTGATTCAATTTAAATAATTTGGTGAAAAATCCTTCAATATCTGCAAGAGGTCTGTTCACTTCTCACCTCCTCCAGGCTCATTGCTTTTAGTGATGCTTCTTCCACATGGGTGAGTAATGGATCGATTAAGGGTTGATTATTTTTTTGAAGAATATTGAATATTTCCATTTCCAAAGGTGTGCATGCCTAGGTGGGGAAAAAGCCAATTAACATCATGTAAAGATAGCCAGATGATGGCAAAATATTTTCACACTTTCATAAGGGGAACTGCCACTTTACGGTTTTCTTTTCATGTTACATTTTGCCTATATTTAATAAATATGTAAGAGTGAATTGTAAAAAAAAAATAAATAAAAAAAAAAAATTAAATGTAGAAATCAACATCTATTCTGATCTGGTTTCCCTGTCAATTATTGTTATAAGCTGGGTCCTTTGCACCCAGCAGTTGATACAGGAAAAGTATACAGAGAAGAGGAGATATAAAAATGTAATAGTTTCTTTTTTTAAGGGGCACTGCAAGCTGTTTAATAGATATACCCCAAAGAAAATGAGAAGTCTTTCCAAGGCAGGTGTTCTGGGCAATAGTCTGTCTCTTGAGTTTAGCTTCACTGAGCTAATCAAACCAGGAAGTAACAGGAATCTTATCTGATTGACAGCCAGTGGTGGTATAACAAGTCTCATTTTTAAAAGTGGCCATTTCTATTGAAATCTTCACTTTTTGTAAAATGGAAAAAAGGACACACTCTTCACACAAAGCACTTCAGTAGCTAAAGTGCATTAGTGGCCCAGCCTGTCCCTTTAACTTTGTATCAGAAAGTCATTGACAAGATACCTTCTTCAGAGATTATAGAAATTCTCACATGTTTCTTATTCACTTTATGGTGTGCAACCTAAATTGAGAGCCAGAAGTAAGTATTGTGACTGTGATTTATAATAGTATACAAATTATTATACAGCACTGATAGCCACAAGCAGCATCTTAAAGTACATGTTGATGCGGATCACAAGGCTGAAAAGGAATATGACTAAATGCAGACATGATGGGAATATAGCCAGCTTAAAGTCTCATGTTCTGTCTAATAAGATAGATGATGAAACCGGCCATAATATAATTTTACTTCTGGATCCAGCAGGATTGCATAGTACATCACTGCAAAATAACAGATCCACACTAGAGACCCAGCTAAATTAGACCTAAAATGTAAACTTCACTAAAATACCTTAAAGGAACACTATAGGGTCAGGAACACAAACATGCATCTCTGACCCTATAGTGTTTAACCCACCATTAAGGTGGCTTGCCCCTCCCCTTAACAGTTAATAAAACTTACCTTATTTCCAGCGTCGCGCAGGCCTGCCGGCACTGCCCCCGCCCCCTTGATGACATCAGAATTGTTTTTCCCATGGGGAAAGCATTGGATTGGCTAAAATTGGCAAGGTGGTGGTGCCAAACGCAATTTTGGCCAATCAGCGACTCCTCATACAGATGGATTGAATCAATGCATCTCTAGGAGGAAAATTCAGCGTCCCCATTCAGAATGGGGAAACGCTGAACGTCAGTGCTCTGAAAAGGCAGTGTTTGCAAAAAGAAAATGCCTGAAGGCAATGATTATACTCACCAGAACAACTATATCAAGCTGTAGTTGTTCTGGTGACTATAGTGTCCTTTTAAAAATGAGCCATTGCCATTATTTAAGAGATTGAATTTATAAAGATAACCTAATCTTATAGAAATGTTCACACATAGAATGTTTGAATGTATAAGCAATAGTTTTAGACAGGGGACTGGCAAAATAATGCCCTACACAAACCCTCCTTATTTAAACTGAAGAGACATTACTCACTTTCCAGCCGCTCACAACTTCTTCGATTCTTGTGGGCTTCAATTTTTCATCATTTTGGGGGAACACCAGCTGTTCTGCTTTGCGATTCTGTTTTACAATATGGTCCCATCTACTGACTTCCTCAGATGCCTTTTTGTAGGCCACAACTCTTTGTATCTGGGAGGGTAAAAATAAAAATCTAACATTGTACCTGGTATCACATTTAGAGCTAAACTGTGTCCTTGTATCAATTTTCCCATCCGGATTTAATTCAGAAAAAAAAAATAAAAAAAAAAAAAAAAATCAGAATTTAGCGATTAACCCTGCGAATGTCCAGGACTTTAGGCAGGGGCCCCAATCTGAAATAATTTTGTGTCAGGACACGTAGATTGGGCTACTGCTTTAGTGCCCTGAACAAGCAGACTTCTGTAAAATTTTAACACCCTGTACAATAATAATAAAAATAAAATAAAAAAGACAGGAACTGCTAAAAAAAAATAAAAAAAATAAAGGAATTATGAATTTTAGGACAAAATAGCCATATTCAGGCAAAATTCTCTTTTCAAGTCTCCACAGCACTCCCTTTAGTGAAACACCCTGTGAGAATATCTACTTACCCGGTTTGACTCCTCTTTGGTGAGAGGAAGCTCCACACTTTTTGTCTGATTTAGTTTATTCAGTTGTTTTTTTACAGTGGAAAGTTTAGTAGATTTTTCAATGGGTGCAATAAGATCAGAGAGCATTAATTTTTCCCCGGTACCTGTAACATAAATCACAGCAGAATCATCAACAATCTGCGCCTGGGAAAGGATTATGGTGTGTATTGTTCTTCAGTCATTACAAAACCAATAGATGAGAAAACATGTAAAGAAGATGAAAAGGCTGTTTTGTAAAAAATGTCCTTCACATAAATTGAGAAGCCTGCCCAAAATGGCTCTGTTACAGTTGCAAAGCAAAGGACAGTTGGAAAATAGTGAGCACTGCGTCAAATACTAATAATTTGTGCAAATGTGCATAAAGATGGCAGTCCAAAAGGGAAAGTGGAAAAGATAAGCAAGTGATTTCTTCAAATATTTCAGTATCCATAAATTGAAACAAATGTCATTGTATAACATGAAGCTTATATTTACACATGGACATTTGTTTTACAACAGTGTACCTTTAATTACAGTGGGTAACAGAGTGAAGAAAGGAGGACAGCACCAAAAAGAATGGCAGCAGAAACCAACCTTCAGCACTGATTCCAAACTCAGACACTTGGAGACTGGCCTCAGAACGCTCCGCCAACCTCCTCCTAAAATAGAAATGGATTCAATCAGAACAAAATAAAAGGGGTAAGCCAGGCTATTTAAAGAAATAATCCTGTCCATTCTGACCTTTTCTTCCCATCCAGAGAGGAGATGGCATCTAGTAACTTTCTGTGTTTTCTCTCTGAGTCGCTGTCTCCCTGCAGTAACAATGAGGTTGAGTGTTAGTGACAACAAAGCACATTCAATAAAATATATAATCAAAAAAATGTATCTGGAAATAAACTGCATTAAATGTATCATATTAGCACTGCAAGCTTCGCTCTACAGAAGCGGTGGCTAAACGGCAGCGCACCAGCTATTTGCACTGGAAACATATTATAGGAGTGTCTACTAGTTTAATTAAATTCCATGGCATTCCAAAGATACTAAAAGACAAATAGGGTCTACTTTGTCTTAGGGTAAAGCCTGATATCTACAAAAGGCTGAGCGAGTGACAACTGTGGGATCTGGGTAATGTTTCGCTTGTAGTGAGACATGATCTATGGAAGCTCCCACAAGATCCTCGACAGACCTTAGTGTTGTACTATCACAGATGTGCAAGAATACAGCACTGATGCGGCTCCTGGAAACTAAAGCACCAGTCGCTGAAAAGCATTTCCTGCAAGAAGATGTCAACAACCGCGAAGGTCAGCTTCCAGTAAGTATACCTACCTTCCACTGCACCGGGCAGCCACCAACCCCTTAAAGGAGATGTCATCTTGCAAAGACCCCCAAAAGTGACACTTTAAGCACCAAGACCACTACAGCTCATTGAAGTGGTCTGGGTGCAGGGTCCCTGTCTCTATAACTATGCAATTTAGTTTTTCCCCCCAGAAACTGTAATGCTTATATTTCAGGGTTACGTCCACCTCTAGTGGCCGTATTCTGGAGCGAAGCAGAATGATCCCATATTCGATTAGTATTATATAAAAATGTAGTATCTTTTAAAAGAGTCCCGCCTACCTCATCTTCACTTGCGCTCACTGGATATTCAGTGACAAACAGATCTTCGTCCATCTTGCCTGTTTTTAGAAGAGAACTGGAAAGGAAAACCAGTTCAGTTAGCGGTTTAAAGTAGAACATGTATACAGTGGGTTTACACATATTTGTTGATGCCACAGAGCAGTTGCAAATAATAACTAAACAAAAACAAATCATTTAGATTGAACAACATACATAACATGTTGGAAAAATAATATAGTACAATTTCAAGAATACACTAACTCACACTAGCTGAGATCCAAGCACGTAGAGTGCAGTTACTGATAGGAATGTGATTGCTGTCCTATAACTCACAGACAGACAACCCAGTACATTACAGTGGATTATTCATGGTCTAAGCTCTCTGCCTTCAGCTCTGCTCCGCATGTGGAGACTCACAGAGAGGAGTGATGTGAGGTCACATCATGGCGCTTCATTGGCCCCATGCTGGAGTTTGCAGATGTGGAAGACAGCATGCAGTGAAGAGGTGAGACCGATACCAATTTGCAGAAATATGCCAAATATCAGTTTATTCCTAATTTTAAAAATATGTACAAAGGATCATCGCTAATATACTAGACCTTACAGAGATAAATATAAAGCAGCACACCTGAAAAATAGGACTCCCTCACAGGCCCTATAGAGTAGACAAAGCAAAAAAAGGTGGAGCCGGTGCCACAAGTGAAAAAAAACCTGATTATAAACTATACAAGCACATATACAAATACATACAAAATAAAAAAAACAAAAAAGAGTTCGAAATATAGATAATGAATAATCAGGAGTCCAAAAAGTAAGTCCAAAAGAGTCCATCAGGCATATCTATATTTCAAACTCTTTTTGTTTTGTATGTATTTTCTCTTATGTAATGTCTTGTATATGTGCCTGTATAGTTTACAATCAGGTTTTTTTTTTCACCTGTGGCACCGCCTCCCCCTCTACCTTTTTTTGCTTTGTCTATTCCTTATTTTAGGCTATATTCAGCCTGTGACTACAGTAGAGCTAAAGCAGGGCTTGACAAATTGGCTTTCAATCTAGAAGTTTTCATATGAAAAAAATACAATTCTTAAAAGGACACTATAGTAACCAGAACAACTACAGCTTCATGTAGTGGCTCTGGTGTCTATAAATTGTCCCTGCACAATGTGCAGCACTTACATTCCGCATCTCCACACTGTGCATGGAGGCGCTGAACGTTCCCCATAGAGATGCACTGACTTATTGAATCACTAGGAGGAGATGCTGATTGGTAATTGATAATCTCAGCTATGGAGGCAGGCCAGCTGCAGCAAGAACAGCACGGCGTGAGTAAAAAGGTGAGTAAGAACACCATGCCCATGTAATCAGAGGGGACTGGTGACAAACATTCACTCATACCCTGACAGAAACACATTCTGTCACACAGTATTTATTATACACTCAAATGGATACACACACAAGGATTCATAAATACACACAGACATATACACATAACAGATACACACACAAAGAAACAATTACATATTTTAGCCACCCTCCTGTTTCCCATCGTTTGGGCACATTTGGTCAGTGGGGCTGGCTGCCATTGTTCCTCCTGTCTCTCCAGCTTTGTGCAGATCTCTGTGAGCTGGGAGGAAGTGAACTGTAATTACTTCCTCCAGGTGCTGAGGCCATGCAGGGGAATGGATGGGCAACCAACTCTGTGTAATAGGGGCAGGCTAGAGGCTAGCTCTGAGGAATGCAGGTGGGCCGGCTCTGAGAGGGGGAGCGGGCCACAAGCAGGCAGTCTTTACCTGCTGCCCTGTCAGCTTGCAATTCCCCTGCGGGGAATTGTTAAAGGGCCACCAAAGGCACGCAGACCACTTCAACTCAATCAGTCCCTCTAGTTTTAACCCTGCAGCTGAAAACATAGCAGTTTCTCACTGAGGGTTAATCCAGTCTCTCACTGACAGCTGCTAGAGGAGCTTCCGCGATTCTCGCTGTGAAAAATCACACTGAGAAGACGCTGGACGTCCATAGGAAAGCACTGAGTAATGCTTTCCTATGGGCGGTTTGAATGAGCCCGCAACTATTGCCGCGCATGCGCATTCGGATCGGATGTCGGCAGGGGGAAGAGAGGTCACTAGCGCCAAGGGAGCCCGGCGCTGTTGAAAGGTAAGTGGCTGAAGGGGTTTTAATCCCTTCAGCCCAGCGGGAGGGGAGCCCTGAGGGTGGGGGGAACCTAATGACCCTACTATACTGGTCCTTTAAATCTCCCTCCCTGCCTGTTCAGAATATTGTAAAGCGCTGCAAAACAAGTTGGTGCTATATAAATACCAATAATAATAATAATAATAATAATAATAATAATAATAGCACATTTTGATGATGTTAGGCAATACAGGAAAAGTGTTGCCCTTCAGTATATACACAAACAACACTTATAGAATAATGTGTAAACTCAGTTAAAGAACCTGACCTAACATTAGTTTATTTTTCATCCTGCTGTAGATCAGTTCAATATACAATAGTCCTGGACTTGTCATAGGGATTCTCTCTGGCATATTGCAGTCTGTGAAATAAACCTAGCTCACACCTGTTATGTGGGGGTCTACTCTGTACCTAAACCTATTGTGTAACAGACACCCCCCTCCCCCTCCCCTCCTAGCTGTGTGATCAGCAGATATCTCACAGTACTCAGATTGCTGTACCTGTCCCAGGGATGTGACCATAGAGGGTGTACTGAACCACCTTCCCCTGAGCATGGCAGTTTCACACACAGGGCATGCAATGCATTAGGACACAGTAAATAGGGGGAGGGGGAAATCACAATAATCCTGCTCACCCTCCTGATAAAGCCGCACTCCAGCTAGTGAAGTCCTAAAACTATTCCACGCTCACTTCCCAACACGTGTGGTCCTGTTCCTGCCATAAAGCAAGCTACTTCCTGTCCCTGCCAGGACCTGGACACTTCCAGGCGACTTCATCCGCCCACAGTGATAGCTACTTCACCGCTACGGTAGCCCAGGAAGGCCAATCCAGTTATTGCAAAACGTTTGTTCTATCGGATACAGTGTCCCCGCAGCACTCGGCAATCTCCGGATCGGCTGCCGGAATCTTCCCATCTCTCTCTGCGGTATCCGCTGGCTGTATAGTAGGGTTCTAAACCCCGCCTCCCAGATACAGAATTCCGCCACTTCACTACATCTTAACCCCGCCCAGTTCGTTTTAACCACGCCCCTTCAGTACCTTAGACAAGGAGTACCATGCCCAGCTTGCTCCGCCCCTCCCACATAAAGCTCAAAGTGTCAGTTCTCCACCTCAGTCTGCACAGCCTGCATCACTTCAGCCAGGGCCAGATTGAAAGCCCATTGGGCCTGGTGCTGCCAATTATGGTGGGCCTAATTATAAAATCATATCGACCGTAATCACTAAAACAGTCATATCGCCCAATCGTCATGTATCTGGTGGAGATGGATATCTCGCATTCACCCTCTGCTAATGTCTCGCATTCACCCTATGCTAATGTCTCGCATTCACCCTCTGCTAATGTCTCGCATTCACCCTATGCTAATGTCTCGCATTCACCCTATGCTAATGTCTCGCATTCACGCTATGCTAATGTCTCGCATTCACCCTCTGCTAATGTCTCGCATTCACCCTATGCTAATGTCTCGCATTCACGCTATGCTAATGTCTCGCATTCACCCTATGCTAATGTCTCGCATTCACCCTATGCTAATGTCTCGCATTCACCCTCTGCTAATGTCTCGCATTCACGCTATGCTAATGTCTCGCATTCACCCTCTGCTAATGTCTCGCATTCACCCTATGCTAATGTCTCGCATTCACACTCTGCTAATGTCTCGCATTCACGCTATGCTAATGTCTCGCATTCACCCTCTGCTAATGTCTCGCATTCACGCTATGCTAATGTCTTGCATTCACCCTCTGCTAATGTCTCGCATTCACCCTATGCTAATGTCTCGCATTCATCTTTCAAGTAAATCCATACCCCCTAACAGCAGTATCTGGCAAAGCAGGATTACGGTGGGCGGGGTACTGACGCGAATCACGTAACCAAAACTGTCCACAGGGGCAAACAAGCCCCCAAAAAACTGCCCCAGGAAGTAGGTCAGCCTGGCGTGAATACATGTCAGGTGGCCTGCCAATCATGCAGGCTGGCCAACTAAGGGCATCCTAGGCAGACAGTACCCTGAGCTTGGCATAAATGTGTCTAATGATGCGCTCGCTCCAGGCTTTCTAAGGACTGGCTCCTAGCACTTGCTGGTCCACTCCTCTGCTTACCTTACCAGCAGGCAGAAGCTCCTTTTACACAGTCTGGGAGAGAGAAAAGGTGTATGTAGTGAATTTTGAAGAAAGGAACCATGCCATAGAGTTAGAATGAAGAAGCAAGAGCATTTGCATAGTGCACAAAGTCAGCTTTACCTTAAAGAAACACTATAGGATCAGGAACACAAACAGGTACAGTGCTGACCCTATAGTGTTCAACCCACCATTTAGGTGGCTTCCCCCCTCTGCCCTCTTAAAAGAAATTGAAACTCACCTTATTTCCAGCACTGCGCAGGTCTGCGGCACTAGCTCTGCCCCCTTGGTGACATCATCAGAATTGCAGCTTTTTAGCCAATCCAATGCTTTAATCCAATGTTTTCCCATGGGGCAAGCATTGGATTGGCTGAAATCGGCAAGGGGGCTTGTCCAAACACCATTTTGGCCATTTAGCACCTCCTCATAGAGATGCATTGAATCAATGCATCTCTATGAGGAAACTTAAGCGTCCCCATGCAGAACGTTGAGACGCTGAACGGCAGAGCCGCCTACTGTGCAGCACTGAGCCAGGAAGCACCTCCAGAGGCCATCTGAGTGGCCACTTGGAGGTGTCCCTAGGGGCAATGTAAACACTGCCTTTTCTCTGCAGGCAATGATTATTCTCATAAAAATGCCTAAAGGCAATGATTATACTCACCAGAACAACTACATTAGGCTGTAGTTGTTCTGGTGTCTATAGTGTCCCTTTAACTAATTTCATTGTGAGCCAGTCCACACAAGTTTTGTTTCCCTACATCCACATGTGAGGAGTTTTTTTGTTTTTAAGCAATGGGCCTAATCCATGGGCATGGGCCTGGAGCCACAGCTCCATCAGCCCCTATATTAATCCAACCCTGATTGCAGCAACTATCAGTGTGTACTGTGCCAATATTATATCAATGCAGAAACCATTAGTGTGTACAGACCCCTCCCTGGACTGATAAGGAAGGGGGGACATGACTGATGCCAGGCTAAGGAGTCTTGAGGGAGGCTAAGCAGAGGGGTGGGGTATAGATAGATACAAAGTGGCCAAAATGGCAGGACAGTTATAAGGACAGTGAGGGGAGGGGACTTACTGTTGTTGGTTTCTGTTTTTTGTTTTGTCACAGCACGCGGGAGTCCTGGCCAGCGCAGGCAGAAGTGAAGAAGTTGCAGAGGAGGCTTGGGGAGTCGCAGCCTGCTGGGAGCTGATGGCGGAGACAGGCTGCTCTGGACTCGTGGTTTGTTGGGATAGACCTGTCTGTTTGGTAATCACCCCAACAGCTGACAGTATGGTTTTGCTGGCATGTATAATTAATAAAGCTGTGGCCGTTGCCCTTACCCAACTTAACATGGTCTCTTGTGTGTCATTGGGGGCAACGAGTTGGTTGGGGACATTCCATCTAGACAGCAGTCATGTTCTGTGCCTAAATTATATCAATGCAATAACTATCAGTGTGTACTGTGCCTATATTATATCAATGCAGTAACTATCAGTGTGTACTGTACTGTGCCTATATTATATCAATGCAGTAACTATCAGTGTGTACTGTACTGTGCCTATATTATATCAATGCATCAACTGTCAGTGTGTACTGTACTGTGCCTATACATTACATAAAGCAATCCTCAGATCCACCATGTCTTTCCTTATGTCAGTTCTGTATTTCAAATCTCTCTGTCCCTCTTTTACAAGAGCTCTGGATTGTTGGTGTCTCCAAGTGTATAACAGTGCTCCTCAGCAATAATACTCCCAGTAATGTGTCTTCAAACTACAATTAGTGTGTTTAGAAATCAGTCTGGGTAAATAGGATGTATTGTTCTTCTTCGTAGCATAAATCGTTATGAGTAAGTCACCTAATCATAGGCATACGCCTGGGTACACCCTAATCCCCGCGGCCCACGCTAGGTGCCTCACCGGCCCACAGCCAGGGAGGGAGGCAGTAGAGGACCCGGGGAGCTCTAGACGGCAACTCCGCCAGGTTCCTCTCGCGAGTTCGGAATGCTCAGATCTCACGAGGGTGAACTCTAGCCATAGGCTAGAGTTCACTCACCACTGGACCACCAGGGATGGCAGCAGCATGATCCCCCCTCCCTACAAAAGGTAAGAAGGGAGGGGGCCTATTAACTAAACTGTCCCCACCACCCCCACACAATACACACAAACAGCACCCACACACTAACAGCACCCTTACATACATACATCACCCTTACACATACACACACTAACAGCATTCTCACACTAACAGCACCCTCATACATACAGCACCCTCACACATACAGCACCCTTACACACACAGCACCCTTACACATACACACACACACACAGTACCCTTACAATGCACACACTAACAGCACCCTCACACACACAGCACCCTTACACACACACTAACAGCACCATTGCACACACACACAGCACCCTTACACACACACAGCACCCTCACAAACACACACACAGCACCCTTACACTCACAGAGCCCACACACACACACAGCAGGGTGCTTTAGGGTGCATACCCTTATGCAATAGGCTGCGCATGCCTATGCACCTAATATTCCTCAGCCCTGCCCTGGCCACACTCCCTCAGACACCATGGAATTAAACTGTCCCTCTTTGTCCAATTAAAATGTTGGGAGGTATGTTAAACATTATTATGATATGCTGCATCACGAAGACTTCACATGCTGCAACAAAAAACGTTTGATTCATTCATAAAGAGAAATGTGAAATGAGTTCCTATTTGCAACATCTGAATGCTAGTTACTATAGGAAAGCACTTTTCATGTACTGCCATCCTCATGGTGAAGAAATTAAAGCTGTACATGAAAATATGGTGGATCTGGTGAACCTTTCCATGACAATTTGGCTGCAATTGGCTTTATAAGCATTTTGGGAAGTGTAGTCCACAAGCACTGGTGTGCCAATAGGAGTATTATACAACTGTAAGAGAGAGGCACCATTGTGGTGCACAGGTTTACCACTATTGCTATTTATTTGGTTATTTATTTATTTTTTTATAGGTAATTCATAAATACCACAAGCGAGAGGGTCTTCTTATCAAGGATCTTCTAAAGGTGCTCTTCAAGGGCAAGTGATAAATAGGGGCAATAACCCTGGAATGTTTAGTACGTTACATACAAGGCTCCTGTTTTGCATTGCTATATCGCCCGCCACATGTTCATGGGTTTCACATGAATATTTACGAACTTTTTATATAAAATTTCTAATCTGCTCATCAAGGGAAATCAATCTACATCAAATGACGTGTGCTCTTTAAGATTTAGACCATTTTGTCCTGCGCTAGGAATGGCCATACTTCATCGTGTTTGTTTGTTGCCACTCACAACTTGAGTTACACTTTTTTATAGGGAACCAATAGATGGTACCACTTTTATAGCAAAAGCAAGTGTCTCACTTACAGTTACAGCTATTTTTACCTCCAATTTGAAATTTAGTGAATAATCGACTTTCAGAGCATTGAGAATTACACCTTGAGCACACAAACGGTTAAAATGTTAAAATAAAAATATGCGGGCCTTGTTTTAGTATGTTGATTTTTCTTAGCTTGCCTTGTAGCACCTACTTTCAATACCCTCTTCAGTTGAAAAGCCTGCAGCAGATGTAATGTTCTGTATCTTCCCAGCTGTCACACAACATTGCTTCGTCAATTTCAGATCACTGCAGTTCCAAAAAATGACACAACTGTATAACGTTTCCCAGAATGCCTTCCAACCACAGTCTGTGTCATCCTTTAGTGGATTATCTTGGCTCTTTCAGAAGTCAAAATCCACAATTCGTCTTCCCAATGTGCACTTAATGTATACTGGCAAATAACTTCAACTTCAGCCAGTTCAACTTAGATCCTTATATCATTGTGAAATGTATCTATTATACTTTCTGTAATTTGTAGGAATATGTTATTACTGTTGAGATATATATATATCTCAGGGTGACCCAAAAATAGGTATACAGTTGAATCAATTAAATTCATCACAACATATTATTTGGGTACACATACACACAACGCACAATGGTGCAGTTAAAGGGACGTTATAGGGATGCAGTGTTCCAGTTCCCTTAACCCTGCAGTGGTAATTATTGCAGTTTTTTATATACTGCAATGATTGCCTTGGAAGGTTAACCCCACCTCTAGTGGCAGTATACTATGATAGGTGATAGTTAACATATGTGATAGGTAATATATGTAAATGAGAATAAAAATCCAATATAGTGCAGATGGTATGTAAACAACGAGATAAAACGGTGGTGAAATAGGAACACTCACATTTAAGGGAGCCTGTGTATAAATACTGGATCCGTATTAGAGCTTGTATGCCCAGCTGACTGAGGATGCTCTACAGGAGAGAAACGCGTTTCGGCAATTGTAGGAATCTTTTATCTATATATTTTTTATTTTACTATATGCAACATGTTATTTTTCAACAAATAAATACATTTTAAATACATTTTAAGAAGTCCTCAGGAGCCTATTGAATCTTCATTGGGGTGGTGCCATCCCCTCACAAATTGGCACCAAGCAATTATACCTCAGAGCCGGGATTACGAGGCTCTGAGAAAGGTGAGTCTTTTACCTATTTCACCTTTTATATCCCTTCAAACAGACTGCACATTGGTCCATCTCTTTTTATGTTTTTTTTCTCTTTAAGATACTCCATACTGCGGATTGAGGGTGTGATGCTGCCTTAAAAGCATACAAGCTCTATTACGAGCCAGTATTTTTACACAGGCTCCCTTGAATGTGAGTGCTTCTATACCACCACTTTTTTATCTCATTGATGTTTACATACCGTCTGCACTATATTGTATTTTTATTCTCTTTTACATATATTACCTATCACAGTCGTTATTAAGCCACGCTGGGTAAGTTTACCTCGTCCACAATTTAGCGCTCCACTTATAGGTGTAGGTTTTTCACTTACACCATTTTATAACTTCTGAACTTTTTGGGTATGGAGAAGAGGATATTTCCACACAAGTGTTTAGAGTTGGTTCCATTTATATTTTGACCTTAGCACCTTGTTTGAACACACACTCCTCCCAAAAGGAGGTACACTTCACCTATGACTGAAATGAAATTTAAATTTGCTGCTAAGATGAACACTGCGCTTAACACGTTTTTACTCGTGTTGGTGCCTGTTCTGGACTGGAAATAGTGCTTTCATATAGATGAGACATAATGTTGTACCAAAATCTTCACTGATATCCCAAACTATCCTCCAGACTATCTTCTTTCATTTACACCAGAGAAGTTATGACAACTTGTTTTCGTTTTTTATTGTTGATGATTTTGCAGTTTGTGATTGAATCCCTTCCTAGACTGCTCCCTCTTTCATGTATTTATAGGGTGTTAAATCTTCACTTATATCGAACTAAGCTCCATATGAATTCCATTATCCTTTGGCTATTCCTCCGACTTTTGGCAGGGACCAGAACAAAAACAAAGTGATTTAAACCCGTAAGAAGAAACCAATTATATTATTTGCTGTAATAACAATCTTGTCCAAGTAGCTCCTGTGCTGACATGAAATATTATGTTTATTAACCATTAGTACTTCTATAGAGTACTAAGGTCATCAGACTAGTAGGACATTCCATGTCAGGGAATGGAATGCTGTCAGTACCCCAGCCCATCTCCATTTGACCTATATTTTCCAAACAGAAAATAACATTGCTTTTCCTGAACTCATGTTTTTATTGTGAATTGGTCAGCCTGTATCACTAGGAAAAGCAGTTTGATCATCAATCAGGTATGAGCATGCTCCTAACCGAGGGTCGTGCAAAGGCCAGCTCGTAGGTAGAGAAGACCTGGCAACCTGACAGTATTCTTTTAAGGACCAGGTAGGTATGTTGGCATAAACCACACATAGCTAACGCCAAAACCAAAAATAGATATTGTTTGTTGAGAATTCAAAGTGATTTAAAAGAGAATTTCAAATTTAGTTAGATAGCTAAATCGAAACAAAATATCCAAAATCACCAATTTTTTAAGCTCAGCTATTTTAAATACAATTAGAAAATTACTTTGAATTCTATTTAAATCCCAGAAAATTCAATGATGTTCAGTGTGCAAAGTCTAACAATAATACAACCCATAAAGAAAAACTGATATTACAATTCTATCTATCTATCTATCTATCTATCTATCTTTCTATCCATATATCCATCTATCTATCTATCTATATATCTATCTAGCTATCTATCTCTCTGTCTGTCTATCTATATATCTATCTATCTATCTATCTCTCTGTCTGTCTATCTATATATCTATCTATCTATCTCTCTGTCTGTCTATCTATCTATCTATCTGTCTGTCTGTCTGTCTGTCTATCTATCTATATCACATGTGTTATTTTCTTATTCATGACTTAAAACTGTCTCCACGCACCATGTGACGCAGAAACAAATGGTAATTAGAATGGGCTAGGGTAAAAAGATTTTGACATATTACCTGACCTCTGACCCTATCAATACATGTCCTGTCACACCTGAGGTGGCAGAGCTATGTATCATCTTACCGCCATTCTAACCCCCTTCTCTGTGTAGGACTAATTACTGGTAAAGTACACTGAGCCATAAATATTTATTAGACAAATCCTTTACAGTAAAAAAAAACCAAAAACAAAAAAACCTCCATTGCTAGTAAAAGAACGCTGTCTTTGCAAGCACAAAAATGTATCTGTTGAATTTTAAATACATGTGAAATTGGTGTGATACTAATCTATATTATTTCGATTCACAATAATGGGTAAATCAATGTAGGTTTTCTTTCTCTGGTAATACATTCACTCATGGGTTTATTCACAAAAGAAACAAATTGACTTCATAACTCCAAAAGAATTCATTTGGAAAAAAATCTATTGCAACTCATCTGTTGTAACTTAATGTGGTTGTCATCACCAACAGCTCACTGTTTAGTAAATAAACCCCAATTGATTTTATTTTGGTTTAGTTTTGAATATCACTCCAGTTTGTTTCAAATCAATTTTGACAGCACTAACTAGGAAATTGGTGTTGGGGGGAAGAGGTGGATGACCATAAACTGCAGAAGCTATGGATTTAGATAGTGTGTTTAAAAATAGTAAATATATATATATATTTTTTTTAGGTAATGCCTTAACCAAATGCATTAAAAATATACATTTTAAAAGACAGACTGTCTCTGTTCATTTGCAAATATGTGCTTACTAAATTGGAAAACAATTCCTGTCTGCATGTTTATCTTCTGCGTTTGTTAATTTTTGCCTGGAGTGTAACTTCGCAAAGTTACCAATTGATACAATATATTAATTAATCCAAACATCACATCTAAACTAATGATACAGACAGGAAACACAATACAGAATAGTGGGTCTTCCTTACATCAACTTTTTTTTTTGTCACAAAAATAAAAGTAATGAGGGCATTTGATTAATTGTATTATTAGCATTATAAAAAAAAATACTAAATAATGACTACAGTAATAATAATATTTTAGCGTATATACTTCTAAGAAAGTAGTTGAGATATTGAAGCTTTAACCCATGGGTGTCCAAAATGTAGACCCCCTCGCCTCCCCATTTTTTTTTAATTACACATTTTCTCTGATCTTCTCCATCAAAGGAGATACAGTTCTGCAAAAGATGAGGATCTACCTCTGTGATCACATCTGGTTTAACCATTTGGCAGCTTGATGTGTCCTCATGTCATACAATGGGAGATCAGTGGACAGATTTTAGGTAGTTATGGTGCTCTTGCGGTTATAAGTCTCAGCCCTGAAAGTGATTTGTATCCCCATATCCAGCAGTCACCCATTGGTTCTGGCCCAGGATGCAAGCATGCAGCTTATCCTGAATATACTTCACGTGATAGCAGACTGGCTGGATGGTGCTGCTCTCAGTGAATCTGGAAGGCATTAGGACCCAGCAGAAAAATAAGGGAAGGGCGACTGGCACAAATCTCGACTAATCAGAATGTAGGACAGGAGTGTAGGGGCTGGTCTTATGACTAGGGTGGGCCTATAGGAGTGACGGCTCTCTCCAGCTTTTGACGTGAAAGGCGTGAAATTAAAGAAGCCGAGATTCCCCTGAGCACAAGGAGAGGAAAAAAGGGACAGGGACAATGGAGAGCATGTCCCCCATCAGCTGAATGAAGGCTCTGGATCTGTCCATCTGAGGATCTTAGGGGGGGTTTTACAAGCTCTGGGGAGGGATTGCCACCTTGGATGCAGAGGGAGCCGGGGATCACACCCCTGGACCGACCGGGCAGGATCTTAAGGTAAATGGAATCCGAATGTATCCAGCATGTGTATTGATACAAATTGCACAGACTGTAAGATTCCAAGGGGAATGGGTGTGTATTGGGCCAGAATTGGGGAGAGGGGAGGGGGGGCTTGGGGTGGGGAAGCGATCTCCGGAATCCAGTGTGTGCATTTGTAGGGCCTGATCCCATGCAGACAATAGGGGATTTTATCACCCAGTGCAGACCTTTTATTCTTAGCTAGAATGCTGTGTAAAGGTCAGACCATGGGGGGTCTTGTCTGATTAGGAATAGGGGTGCCTGCCTGGCTGGAGGGTAGGGGTGCCTGCCTGTCTGGAGGGTAGGGGTGCCTGCCTGCCTGGCTGGAGGGTAGGGTAGCCTGCCTGGCTGTAGGGTAGGGTAGCCTGCCTGGCTGGAGGGTAGGGTAGCCTGCCTGGCTGGAGGGTAGGGGAGCCTGCCTGGTTGGAGGGTAGGGGAGCCTGCCTGGTTGGAGGGTAGGGGAGCCTGCCTGGATGGGGGGTAGGGGAGCCTGCCTGACTGGTTGGAGGGTAGGGGAGCCTGACTGACTGGATGGAGGATAAGGGAGCCTGCCTGGTTGGAGGATAGGGGAGCCTGACTGGATGGGGGATAGGGGAGCCTGACTGGATGGGGGATAGGGGAGCCTGACTGGTTGGAGGGTAGGGGAGCCTGACTGACTGGTTGGAGGGTAGGGGAGCCTGACTGACTGGTTGGAGGGTAGGGGAGCCGGACTGACTGGCTGGAGGGTAGGGGAGCCGGACTGACTGGCTGGAGGGTAGGGGAGCCGGACTGACTGGCTGGAGGGTAGGGAAGACGGACGGACTGACTGACTGGCTGGAGGGTAGGGGAGACGGACTGACTGGCTGGCTGGAGAGTAAGGGAGCCTGACTGGTTGGAGGGTAGAGGAGCCTGACTGGCTGGAGTGTAGGGGAGCCTGCCTAGCTGGGGGGGGGGGGGGGGGAAGGTGAGGGTGGTAAAGAGACCCTGCGGGGCTGGGTGGGAGTTGGGGAGCCTGCTTGGCAGGCGATGGGAAAATAATGGAGTATTATTGTCTGGCAAGGGATTGGGGTATCACTCTTGGCTGGATATAAGTGAACCAGCCTGGCTTTGCATGGGGTATCGCCCCCTTCTTGGTATACGGTATGGTGCCCGTCTAGGTATGGGGTTTCGTGCCTGGCTAGGTATGGGGTATCTTTGGTGATATAATTCATGGCAGTGGATGGGGTATCAATTTTGGCAGAGTATGAGAGTATCTTGTCTTGCAGTGTACAGAGTAGCTTGCCTGGCTGGGGAGTCTGGTAATAGACTGGCCTGCCTCTCTGACTGGGGATCAGGAAGTCTTTCTTTCTGGGTTTACTAGTTGTATTTAGCAAGCTTCCTGCCTTGCTGGGAGAGGGGGAGGGGAAGGGGGTAGGGGGGAGTTCTGGCTGTGGAGTGGGGGAATTTCTGGCTGAGGATGGAGCATCATGCCTTAGATTGGGAACCCTGATTTGCTGGATTTTGAGGAGCCGGCCTGGCTGGGGATGAGGGAGTGTGCCTTGCTAGATTTGGGGAGGCTGCCTGGCTGGGGATGGGGGACCCAGTATAACCTATTAGTTTGGAATGAGGGAAAATAATGAGGCCAAATACAGGTAATGTATTAACCCACTTATAGTTGTTACTAAAGGTAACTATCTGGAGTGCTGTTAGGTGTGACAAAGGAACTAGAGTAGAAAGAGGTGGGATATCTATTCTCAATTTATTTAATATTGTTATATTAATTTATTTTTTGATCCACACAGTGCTCCCTCATTTCATGGACTTCTGACCTTAAACAGCTCCAGCATGATACAATGAATCTCACTCTGCATGTTTACTACCCGTGCTTTGCAGGAGCATTCTGCAGGGTACAGAGTGGGTGCAGGGAGGAAATCTGCAGGGTACAGAATGGGTGCAGGGAGAGCATCTGCAGGATACAGAATGGGTGCAGGGAGGGCATCTGCAGGGTACAGAGTGGGTGCAGGGAGGGCATCTGCAGGATACAGAATGGGTGCTAGGAGGGCATCTGCATGATACAGAATGGGTGCAGGGAGGGCATCTGCAGGGTACAGAGTGGGTGCTAGGAGGGCATTTGCAGGGTACAGAAGGGGTGCAGGGAGGGCATCTGAAGGGCACAGAAGGGGTGCAGGGAGAGCATCTGCAGGATACAGAGTGGGTGCAGGAAGAGCATCTGCAGGGTACAGAATGGGAGCAGGGAGAGCATCTGCAGGGTCCAGGATGGTTGCTGGGAGGGCATTAGCAGGGTACAGAATGGGTGCAGGGAGGGCATCTGCAGGGTACAGAATAGATTACTGGAGGGCATCTGCATGATACAGAATGTGGGTGCAGGGGAGCATCTGCAGGGGTACAAGAGTGGAGTGCTAGGAGGGCATCTGCAGGGTACAGAGTGGGTGCAGGGAGGGAATCTGCAGGGTACAGAGTGGGTGCTAGGAGGGCATTTGCAGGGTACAGAAGGGGTGCAGGGAGGGCATCTGAAGGGCACAGAAGGGGTGCAGGGAGAGCATCTGCAGGATACAGAGTGGGTGCAGGAAGAGCATCTGCAGGGTACAGAATGGGAGCAGGGAGAGCATCTGCAGGGTCCAGGATGGTTGCTGGGAGGGCATTAGCAGGGTACAGAAGGGGTGCAGGGAGGGCATCTGCAGGGTACAGAAGGGGTGCAGGGAGAGCATCTGCAGGGTACAGAGTGGGTGCAGGGAGAGCATCTGCAGGGTACAGAATGGGAGCAGGGAGAGCATCTGCAGGGTCCAGGATGGTTGCTGGGAGGGCATTAGCAGGATACAGAGTGGGTGCAGGAGGGCATCTGTAAGGTGAAGAATAGGTGCAGTGAGAGCATCTCAGGGTAAGGAATATAGGCACAGGGGAGGCATTTGCAGGGTACAGAATAGGCACAGGAGAGCCTTCTAAGGAGCATATAGTGAACTCTGACAAGCTATACTGTTTCGCTAGATTGCCAATCTTCTTCATTTATATATACAAGTATTAAGTATACGTATATTATAGTAGAAAGTTGTACATATTTGAATTTTCCTAGAGAGCTACGAGATTATGTGTGCTAGCTGAAAAGGGATTTGTCATATCTAGCAAAAGCTTGTTTGAAAAGCAGGAGCCCTCATCTACCTATTATTCCTGTAATACTGTAGGCTATGCATTTGGCCTTAAATGTCCCCTTTCATAATATTGTAAAGCGCTGCTGATTTAGTTGGCGCTATATAAATACCAATAATAATAATAATATCAGTAGAGTAGTCTCTTTTCTGTATCATGGCATTGTAGCTTGCTCCTTTCTATATGCAATTAGAGCAGCTGTAGTATTTTCCTGTGCCTTTAGGGGTACTACAGTGTGCCTTTGGGGTGTATAAATATCATTCGTATAAGTATAGACCCTTTGTCTTATACACTAATACAGGAATACTGCATCACCTATACTGTAGATGTGAAGTATATTTACCTGTACCTTAGCACCCTTAAGGGTGAGTTTGTGCACTTGTTGGACTTTTAATATATTTTTAATATACACTGAGGTTGGTAATCTGCCATATGTAGGATCTGAACGTTATTGAAACTACAGATTGAAAAGTACTGCAAGTCAGCTGGTTTTATATAGCTTAGAAACTGTGTACTGTGGTAAATATGATCTCCTAGTTGTTGGGTGTTTTGCATACATCTATTTACACATGCATTACCCATTGATAATACATAATAAATGTATGTAATAGTTAATACAGTTTTAACTGGAATAAAAGTATTGCTGTTCAGTGGTTACTGACTCAAAAACTAGCAATCAGAAGGAAGGTTCCATGGTCTCCATGGTGATTGCTCAACTTTTAGTGTTTTTCCCACAATTGCACTTTATAAATAACTTCAATACAACACTTCACAAATGCCACTTGTGTGCAGTATAAATGCCTGACCAGCCTATATAGACTTTGATATTTGGACCCGGACACCTGACACAAAAAAAACTCCTTGTAGTACATAAAAAGTTCACATAAGATAATTATTAATATGCACATAATCTATATCAGTTTAGATAAGATTACAAGCCTGTACAGCTGATTTCTTGGTTTATAATCTTTATTGTATTACAGAAAAGCAATTCATGCTTCTAGCTAATGTAGGCTACATATATTTTTTTCGTCTGACAGAGCATGCTTATTGGCATTGGTTACCTACCACTTTTACATGGCTTTGTATGAAAGGAACAACCCTCCAAATCAAAGTTTGCCCATTCTATTTATATACATAATATGTTAAATAGTAATGCAAAACAATAAAAAACATACTCTGATTATATTCATGTATTTGCTACAATTTCCCAAGCTTTATAGCTTTTGCAGTGAGCATTCACCGTCCTAGACCAATATGTGACTTAGCCAGTCATAATGCCTCCTTAGCTTTTCACAGCAATTCTGAGCCTATGCCATAAGCAAGGCTTTGTTGGTACAGCAATGGTTTCTGGGAGTTGTAGTTCACTTGTCAGCTTTTGTAATGTACAAAGTTTATAGCTAAACTACATAACTCGGAATGCAAAGGGATACTCCAGGCACAACTGTAATGCATTTGATAGGTGTAGGCCTCATTGCTGTATTTTTTTGCATGCTCAAAACTTTGTTTTTGCACAAAAATAAATAAAAGTTTTACAGAATGCTGAACTGTAAGCCTGCCTCCTTAGCCACGCCCCCTAATGCCAGAAAGACTTCCTTATCAAATGTGTGCACATAGTCTCAGCCCGTCAGCAGCACTAAGTGAGCACATTTTAATTCACAACCTGGCTGCAGAAAAACTGGAAACAGTTCAGATCACTCAGTGTTGTCAGTGGGTGACTGAGCTTTGTTTGTACATATGTTTGAGGAAGTTTTTATTTTTTATTTTTTTGTTTGAGTGTGGGACGTTGCTACGGAGGCAAAAAAAGGCTCACCGTATTATTGAGTCCAAAGCCTACCAAATGTGTTAAAGTTATTTTGGTGCCCACAGCGTCCCTTTAAGTCGTGACTTCATGAATAGTAGTATTTTTAAGCACGTGTGTGGGTGCCAAGGAGTGCTGTATTTAACGCGAGGCAAACAAGGCATTTGCCTAGGCGGCACTTTCCAGGGACTTTTCGACTCCAAATACCTTGTTAGCCATGGGGCAGACAGGTAGCTGAGTTGCAGGCCGGCGGCGAGGCAGCACTGATTTGTGAGCTCTCTATGCTCACGCGCCGGGATCCGGAATATGACGTCACATTCTGACTCCCGGCATCACTCTGCTGCGTGCGAGGGAGCTGAGCAAGGAGAGCTCATATATCAGCGGTCCCCCACCGCCCGCCTGGAACTCACCTGCCTGCACGCCTGCCTCCCACCATACCCAAACAGACCGGCAAGCAGCACCACTGGAACCAAGGTAAAAAAAAATCAACCCAGCTCTCCCAAAGGTAGGTGTGTGTCTGGATGGCTGTTAGTGTGTGTCTGTGAGTGAGTGTATGTCAGTGTGTGTCTGAGTGATTGTGAGTGTGTGTATGCCTGTCAGTGTGTCTGTAAGGGAGCCTGTGTGTCTGAGTGACTGTGTGTGTCTGTCAGTGAATATGTGTGTGTGTCTGTGATGGCACCTGTGTGTCTGAGTGATTGTGTGTCTGTGTGTCTTTGAGGGAGCATGTGTGTCTGAGGGAGTGTGTGTGTCTGAGTAATTGTGTGTGTGTGTGTGTGTCTCAGTGATTGTGTGTGTGTGTGTCAGATTGTGTCAAATCAGTGTGTTAGGGGGTGCCCGAGTTCCGTCATTAGGGGGTGCCCGAGTTCCGTCATGCCTAGGGCAGCACAGATCCAAAATAGACCACTCATGTCAAGAGTATACCTTTAACTTAATCCCTGTATTTATACCCAGTTAACAGCAAATTAGTTCTGGGAAGTTGTACATTGCTGCATAACAGGCAGAGGCTTCTGTGTGATTTGCAATAAGATATTTCTACAGACTTCACAATTTTGTGGCCTTTATGTCAACAAGAAAGATGTGATGCTATTGCTTTATCATTGGCATTTGTGACACCGGTAACTTTGTATAATAAATGTTTCGAACAACTATATGTGATATATTGTTAAATGGGTGAGGAAAGGTGAAAAAATAAGTAAAAACATCTCAGTTCAGGAGAAGAGTTTTATAACTGGAGCAATTAGCAGTAACATTCCATTGGTTTCTATGGTGATTATAATACTTTTGAAAAGTATGTCCCATAATTTCTTTATATAAATAGCCCTAATTGACTAGATTGAGTTGTTTTTCTGAGAGCTTTGACAGATGATACGCTACTAAATGCATCTCAAAGCCGATCACTGACGTTATAAGAAATCAAGGTTTGCAATCCTTTTCTAAAGATACATTTTTTTTTTTTGTATGGGAATTGAATTTTCCCAAAGCCCGTAGTGACATTAGAGTCCAGTCCTTGATCTCTTGAGGTTTGTAGATGTGGACCCAAGGCTATTTGTTTTGTTTTATCAGACTGTTGGTCCAAAATGAAAATGACAATTATTTTATATAGCACCGACATAGTCTGTACGATAGGACACTAGACAAATATTTAATTCCAACAAAACATGTATTGCATATTGAAACAGTAGCTGAAGAGGGCTCTGCCCAACTTACCAGCTACCTACCGACAAATTACCTACCATGCATTTACAAACTACCTACTAAATTTATGCTGACAGTTATTCACCAATCTGTAAATTGTAGCAAATTTAGCAAATTGAATTTCAATTCACTACAATTGCATAATTTAGACCAGGCATAGGAAACCTTCGGCACTCCGCATTGTTCATGTAAGAGCATTATAGGGGATGTAGTCCACAACATCTGGAGCGCTGAAGGTTGCCTATCCCTGATTTAGACTAAAGTAGCCGAGCTGTGACTGTAGCTTAAGTTGATTTTTCTTTTTTTCTCCCAAATCTTCTATTTTAGTATCAGTTTTGCCATTCAGATTTAATTTGCTAAAATATGAAGTTCAGTGTGTGTATGTGTGTGTTTAATTGGGATGCGACAGCTCCAGTATGGGAATTAATTTCATTAGCAGCACAGTGCACACTGAATACAATTACTACTCTTCTGTGATCTCTAGGGAATTGACACATTCTATTTACTGTAATTGCTACAACCAATCATGTCTGTTTGTAGCTTATTACCCAGTGGATTGTATCACCAGGGGTTTTGCTCAGCAATTCTAATGGAAATACTCTAGATAAAGTCCCATAGCACGACATTATTGTGTGTGTGTTATTTCCTGAAAAGTCCCAATGCTCGGCTTATAGTAGTTGTCTTTCTTCCACATTGTATATAATAATTATTGTATAGTAACAGCTAAAGTGTTGTTAGGTGTTCTATTACAGTCTGATCGCTAAGCTTTCACATATGAGCAACAATTGTCGCGATGCTGTTTGTTTTCCCACTGGAAATTTTTCTGAGAGCAGAAGGTCTAGTGTCTCTTTTATGTACTGGAAAAATATATATATATATATTAATTTTTTCTTGCGAGCTGATATGGGAAATAGTCTTTTTGTCCTTGCTTACTGGTTGGCTTTCAGACCTTTGCAATTTGCTTGTTTTACCTCCATAAAGGTTACTTATTTTCTGTTTCTTTTATTTGTAAAATGCACTGTTCTCCCAAATAACAAATAAACAGCCTTAGATTTACAGGAATGCCTTTATTGCAGTATTCTAACAGCCAGCTGTAGGTCACACAGTCAAAACTATTTTTTATTTTTTTTCCCAAAAAAAAAAAAGACAGAAATAGCAGAGATAAATTACATTCTGTTCTCAGTAGAGTAATGTTTCAGAGCATAGTGGGGTGGAGAGGGGGAGGGGTGTGTGCATTAATAAAGCACTAAATATTCCACAGAGCTGTACCATTTGGGAAAAAACAAACAATACAATATAAGCAGACCTATAAAGAGATAAAAAGTTGTGTGTGTGTGTGTGTGTGTGTGTGTGTGTATATGTATGTGTGTGTATATATATATATAGTATTCTCTTTGCAGATCTGTGTGCTGCCCATTCTCCCTTGTTGGTTCTATGTATGGCACCTTAGCACACTGCCCTATATCCATATACCAATCTCTGTGTTGACTCATTTGACTCCACCGTGACTTGCACTGATTTGGAAACAGCTATACCTTTTGTATAATCCCACAGCCAAACTCCTTTGTATAAAATCTGTATTTTATAATCTGTGTTTTTGTTGTTTAAATCTCTAAAGCATGAAACATTCTTGTAAGTCCTTGTTTTAATTGAGTAATAAAGGCAGAGTTTAATGGTGATCATAAAACCAAGGTGGTATAAGGACATGAGCATTGACATGCAGCACGCATGGTGAGGTAAATAGACGGTTTCCTTGGATATGAGATGATCTGTAAATGCTCACTGTCAGAGAATTAGCATGGAGGGCTGCAGATTTACAGTCATTTCATGCTTTATATCATATCTTTACTCACTGGTTCTTGTATTGAAATGTATAGTGTTCTTATCAATGAGAGCTCTTATAAGGAGTATTGACACCACTTACTTGTGTTTCTTGAGTAGTGATGGCAAATTATGGGGTCTTTTCATCAAGTGCGCATAGGGTTAGATCAGTGACAAAATAGCATATGTTGTGTTTTAAAAAAAAAAAAAATTCCTATATATTCTGTACTGTTCTACAGTAGATCTGACTCTTCATTAACTTAAATGAACACTCCAATGCCCAAATATAAAATAAATAACAATTGCTGTTAAGTAGATATACCCACCAATGAAAACTTGCATGCATTTGATTATGCATTTTGTCATTGGGGTAAATCTAATAACCGCTTGCCGATATATTGTCTGCTGCCTTTGCCCAGACTTCCAGTGGCTGTCCAATCACAGATTTCCCAATGCAGCTGAATGAGAAGTCTTTGCAAAGCACGTGCTTTGGGCAATTACTGTCTCCTGAGTTTAGCTCCACTAAGCTCAGGGACACTATAGTAACCAGAACAACTACAGCTTAATGTAGTTGTTCTGGTAAGTAAAGTCAGTCCTGCAGGCTTTTTGCCCATAAACACTGTTTGTGTCTAAGAACTACTAAGACGACCACTACAGGTGCTTCATGGGACAGTGCTGCACAGTGTCACACTGAACACAGAATCAATGCATCTCTATGAGAAGATGCTCATTGACTAGGGTGACGTTTGACCCTGCTCCCAACCTGCCTCCTTGGCTGAGATCATCAGAATTGATTCCTATGGGAAAGCATTGTGATTGGCTGACATCATCAGAATTGATGATCTCTGCCAAAGAGGCAGATCAGGGATGGGGCCAGCGCTGATGGACTCACTCACTGGAAAAAAGGTGAGTTTATACTTATTTAAGGAATGAAGGGGGCACAGGGGCCCTACATGTGTTTTTAATGCTATAGGATCAGGAATACATGTTTTGTTTATGTTCATGACCCTGTAGTGTTCCTTTTAACAACCTTTAACAACCAGGAAGTAACAGGGCTGGTTGTCTGCTTGAAAGCCAAGGGGGTGTAACAAGGTCAAATTATAAAAATGTGGAAAAAAAGAAGACACACTCTTCACACATAAAGCTTGTCAGCACGCCAAAGTGCTTTAGGGGGTCTGGAGTGACCCTTTAATTGGATGCTTTAATCTACAACGGAATTTCGGGTTGATGAAAGCCCAACATCTGCTGTGTTGGAGATGAGTACAGTTGGCAAGTCAGGTTGAGTTGAGGAAACATTTTTAGTATTTTACTGTTGTATATGCATTTTAGAATCCATAAATGTTTTTTTTACTGAAAGATTTTCAAAACAATATGACAAATTTACAATAGTATACATAACTTATCATTCTAAAATGTATATTTTAATACCAAATAAACAATTTGATATTATTTGCAGTCAATAACATTAAACTTGAGAATAGTACAGTATCTGTCTGTCTTTCCTTCAGTTTTTAGGTGGTATCCCTTTAAGAACACATTAATGTTGACTTTCAACAAATCGTGAATAATGTTAGTAGCATGTATAATGGCTGTACTTGACTGTCCCTTATTTCCTGGGTTCTGATTTACTGAAAACAGCAAATGGCTACTTAATTGTAATACGAGTGGCAGAAGATAATAAAAGAAATGGAAGTTTGTTTCCACCAGGGCACATTAATAATAATATTTTGTGCTAGACCAGGTAGTAGGAAATATTAGCAAAATAATCAGTTAAATGGATTTAGCTGCTGTGAAAGCACTTCTGATATTACAGATACTTATCCCAGGAAAATACATTTGGCTACGGTTGCCAAATTCAACAGTTTTTAAAATGAAATTTTAAAAGCATTTTATATTTAAAGTGGGAGCAGTGCTTAATCATAAGTTGATCTTTTACAGAGAAAGGTTAGTGAAAACCAAATATACAGTATTTGTAAACGTAGGGGATTAACTGACGTTTTTTTTCCTTTTCTTTTATTGCATCAGAAAGTCTGCATTTTACAGCCGACAGGGGACAATAAACATTACTTAGGTTTATTCTCTGCCAGTTTACCATGATTTAAATTATAATTGTATTCTTATTGGCTTAAACCCCAAGCAGTTTATTAGAATACTGCAATATATTTCAATGTATCTTTTTTTTTCTTCTTATCCCTCCACACCTCTCAATGCCTGTTTTCATAATGATTTCCAACCTAGTCCTGAATCCACACCAACTGTCCAGTATTTGAACATTTGCCTGTTATGTTCCCGCTGTGGGGATAATTACAAAGCCTGGACTTTTGCTGTACTTTTTGATATGGTTTGGGAATCAATGCTTTGAAACACAGGGATTATCAAAGTAATATAAATATGTAACCTTTACATAAATGTGTGAACTTCTCTCCTTGATATCTTTTATGTAGCAGTCTTTCATTTAGGCATTACGTACGCTTTATTGAGAATAGCAATTTCAGGTTGAATAGAATGTTACATATCTAAAATATTGCAGAAGCAGTAATGAGCGTGATTCATTTGACGTTCAAAAGTTCTGATTTGCATAACAGTTTGAAACCTGCATCACATATTCCCACTTTACCCATCTTCTGTCCTTACAGTTCTGGAATGTTTGAGGTTCTCTTACAGGGTTATTCACTAACGTGAGACTTGTTGGGAATTGAAAGCAAATTTCTTATCTAATGTGAAAATATATGACAACCTACCTGTTGTTTTTATTTGGAGAGGAACTCTTAGTGGAACGGCAACTCCTTACAAACACGATCTCCCTAAGTGCCAGTGAGTGATACAGAAACCTGAGAGATGTGAGGGCATGGATGCCTTTAATTACTGAAGAAGCAAGGAATCCAGAAAGAGGCAGGCAGGAGACGAAGTCAGGTAAAGCAATGGTTAGGACCATCTGGCAAAGCCAAAGATCAAGGGTTGGAGGTTAGGCAAGAATCAAAGCCAAAGTTCAGAAACTTGGAAGTTAACAAAACAGGAACTGGAATAACAGGAACAAGTAATAACTGTATCAGGACATCAGGGAACTGAGGCAAAGCACTTGCACAACCATAAGCAGTGCTTGGGTGTTTACAGGCAGACTTGGTCCAGTGACCAGCCCCCACCACTTGCAGACAGAGCCCCCCAGAAGCTATAAAAGAAGCACTGGGACTTGGTGCCATATTGGCTGCGCAGTATTCTCTCCACTCTACTTCTTCAAACCCTTACCTCGCATGATGCACGGGCGTCCATGATGAAGCTACCATCTTCCAGCAGGGCCACCTTTGCAGGACCCACGCCAACGGTGGACAACGGAGTCAGGCAGAAGAGTGAGCCTCGGGAGCAGCAGTTGCCAGGGCCCTCAGCGATCTGTCTCCAGGAGCCATGGGTGCCCTTGGATAGGTAAGCGCTGGCGAGCAACAAGATAAAATAGCTAAGCAGGATATATTCTCCAAGTCAGCTATGCTGCCAGTACAGCTATTTTTGCCTTAGTTCCCTTCTATCCACCCACTTTGGTCCACCTTTTGCAATAAAAAAATTAAAGTTAAAGAATGATTACTCACCTCCTTTCCAGAGCTGATACTCCACTGATGCATCCACCTGACATGATCTGCGTTCTCATTCAGTCTATTGCAATGAGACATGCAGCCAAACGCCATGCTGCTATCAGCAGAATTTGATTCCAGGACAGAGTTTCTGGAGGGGGAATGCCTCTACTGGCTTTTAGTAAGACTGCCAATAGAGGTCTATTTAACTCTGCAATGTAAACATTGCAGTTTCTACAAAAAGGCAATTTGTTACATTGCAGTGTTAGAATGACAGGACCGATGCACCCAGACTACTTCATTGAGATGCACTGTGCATGCACAACCCTGTTGCACATGGGTTAACCAATGCCTTTATTATGAGTTTGTATCTAAAATGTAAATAAATGAAGGACAGACTTGACCTTTGAAAAAGGCCAAATTTACTCATGTTAACTCCCCAATCTTCCTGGATCTGGAAAAGTCCTGATTTGAAAATTGTGTCCCATGTTTTCTCAAACTTCTGGAGGCTACAGAGAAATATCCCCAATAAATATCTGCACTATTAATAAGCCATTCTGCCCACACCCGAGTACCTCCATCAGTTATCTATGGATGCCCACCTGATGGCAGAACATGTTTGGTGACACAGGTACATTTACCAGTGATGCACTTTGTGCCTCTGTTCCTTTTGCCCTGGATTCTGCCTTTCAATTGTGAACACTCTAAATGAGAAATGCTGTATAATTAATTTGACTGAAAAACGAGATGGAGGGAACACAACAAAAGCAGAACTTTGTGTCTCTTAATCACTACTTCTCATAGAGATAATACATATGTATGTATCATTTCTATACATTTAAAACCCTTTATTATAAATTGAGTTGCAAAGAACATTCCTAAAAGTATTCAAGTTACATAAAAAAACAAACATTGTCAATCTGACTTTGTGTTTGCACAAAATTGCCTAGCTGCACTTGTAGCAGGGAGGTGTATATGGCAGGTGCTGGCAGTGATCTGAATGCTATTGTGTGCATATGTTGCAGCCAACAAAGTTATGTGATACTAAGAACATCTCCATTGTAAACAGCAATTTAAAGGCATGGTACAGATTAACCAATATTACTGATTAATGCCACTCTAAAATATTTGTTGTCATACTCCAAAATAAAGCCAAATTTGAAAATTGTATTTTATTCTTCTTTGTTAGCTCAGTCTGAGAGAATGATTAGAGACCTACTTACTTATCAGGTTGACAAGTAGCTAAAATAAAAATAACTGAAGTTTTATTACTGTTCACTCTTCCATAGAATTTTAGTATCACAGCGAAATCACTATAGTTCACGTTTTAGTGAATATATCCCTTTAGTTAACCATGTAATTCAGTAGACACAATGTAAGATATGTGTGTTGGAGAGAAGCCCCTTCACATGTTACTCAGGTATAAAAGAAATTGGCTTCCTCCTTACTTTTGGGCAGAAAGGTAGAATCCCTGGTGGCCCAGGATATGATACAATCCCTGGTGGCCCAGGATATGATAGAATCACTGGTGGTCTGATAAGTTGATGCTGTGTCGGAACCACCATCCAGTGCAGATCAGTCAGAACTTGTTCGCAGCACAGTCAATGACTCAGATCTCTGCCATGTTAACCCGGGGGCAGCACTCTGAGTCATTAAGAACATGGGACTGCGAGGAAGCATCGGTTGTGAACTGCACTCGCTGGAAGTGCAGACTAAAAGCTCTTTTTCTGTTATGATGGGTTGCAGAACTGGAATTAAGATATTTTGAACTCCCTAGCAACTCATGCAGGCAGGGGTCCTCCTTTGACCCTGGGCTCCTCCAGGCAGAACCATTCGCAGTCACAACTGTTGCTACTCTGGTGATTTCACCACTGTTTCTGATGCCGGCACAGGGACAGCTGATCGAGCCAGCCCTATGGTGCCACATCAGACCCATGGGCAACTGCCCCACTCTGCCCCCCTCTCTATGCCACTGCTAAATTATCGAGCTTGACATTATTTTTGCTCTACATAACTAATGTCACAAACATAGCACAATGTGCAGAAGAAAGTTAAAGGGACACTGTAGTCACCAGAAGTACTATAGCTTTAAAATAGTGGTTGTGGTGTCAATAGCACGTCCCTGAATGCTCAGCAATGTAAACACTGCCTTTTTAGACAGCCACTAGAGGTGCTTTCTACTCTCTTTAACCATTCTCAGTTTAATTCCATATAGGTTCAATTCTTCCCTATCCTCAGTGATCAAGAGATATGTCATCAGTAGGCTCCATTGCTAATATGACATTCCCTTATTGTGCCATATCTTTGGAAAATCTTGCTACTTGTTCACTAATGCTCATCCCTCCACAACTTCAAGTAGTAAAACCAAAACAATATTTATAAACCAATATATATCTAATTCAATTTCATAGAAATCATATAAAGTCTAAAGTAAAAAGTTACAAAAATCTCTCTACCAATGAGTAAATCCACATATTTATCATTTAATATCTACATATTATAATTTCTCAAAGTAGTTTTTTTTTTTTTTTTTTACTTGCCATATACAGTTCTGCTAGACTACCAGAATGCCATGCAATGTATAGGAGTTAATTTTTGTTTCTCTAGTTGATATAATGTCATACAGAGAGCGTTCCACCCCTTTACCCTACTTACTGCTATTAAGTGTATATTATCATGCTGTTAGAGAGATTTTCAACTGAGGAACGAATACTGTGACATACTGTTGAGCTCTGGTAACCTGAAAAAGCTGAATATATTGAAAAGTGCTATGAAATCTAGCATAACAAAACAGCTTGTTTGGCACTGACCTCTATTTGTAGCAATAGTTATCTAGATCCTGGCAATTTCATCTGCCCAGAGCTGTTGCCACTATTCCATTTTAGTCTTGCACATGCACAACCGTACAAAACAAGGTGTATGGATGATCCTTGGGATCTTCTTTAGATAATCTACATTAGGTGTTGCACTTGCTCATTATTGCCAATGGGGTGAGACTGCTATGTGACAGAGGTTGCAAGAGTTCAGGAGACATTTTCTGGTTGCTTAGTGCAATCGTACTTTTATGTGGCACAAGGTGCAAAATCTGCAGACTGACACTCGCCATGGAAGACTGTGGGTCTCAGAAGAGAGACAACACTGTGGGGAAAAAAGGATAAGACACCTGGACCCAAAAGCAACTATCCCGCCATAAGAATCATTATATATTACATATTAACTCATGCTAGACAAACTATTTATTCTTGTAACCAATAAAATATTTTAGATGTAAGTAAATGTTATAAGAGTGCCATATAACATGTATGAGTGCCATATAAACCATCTCAGTAAATTCCATAACGTGTATAGTTTATTATGCTGCATTATCCTGAAACTACGAATGTGTAATCCCATCATTATGTTATTGAAAAAGTACTACAGTGGCTTACACTTGAATGAAGATCAACTCTTCGACTGTATTGCCTAGTTTAGAACCATTTTTCATAGCTCATAGAACTTTTGTTGCACTCACAGCTCACTATTCCACATTCTTAAAGGGTAGCAGATTGAACGACATTCTTCTACAATGTTCCCCAATTCTAAGGTAACATTCTAGAAGGAATCAAATCAGATTCACCATCAGATTAAAATTCTTAAAATATCTTCATGCATGATCAGACAGCCACACTATAACCCATAATACAATGCCTGACGTTGTGAGCCCTTAATCTTTTATTGTTAACAACGGTCTGGTTTTATAGGGCTTTTCCACAAGGACGTTCACAACATTTCAGATAAATGCAGGGTATAATCTTTGCTTGTTAAAACATGCAGTAGATTACAAACAAAACAGCAAACTCCAACAAAGTCCATTATTATGGAGACATAAGAAAACTGGATCCAACTGTACTTTTTTCTATAACTGTGTAAACTTTCTACAGCTCCACTTTCTGTCCAGTGTGCCAAACACACTTATTGTTTATAATAAATAATGTTGCTTTGTGCACGCAACCTGCTGGTTAAATACACAATTTTAAATGAAACTGCAAGGGGTCAATACATCCTGAAGGTTAGAAAACACAAAAGAAAATATGGAATGCGGTTTATTCGCATATCCAGATAGTAAATAAGATAAAGGTTATTTGGTTTACAAACACAAAGATAATGCACCACGCTTACAGCAGCAGTAGCTCAGTATCCAACAGTTTAAAATACATAGTAAAAACAAAGAGAATGTTACCTGCGCTCTGCCTTAAATCCCCATGTACATTTAAACAAAATGGAGGCTCTTTAGTTTTATTCCAATGGCCATTTGAATATATAAGCTAACCTGCCACGTCAAGGCAAGCCTCAATAGGTGAGTTCCTACACTAGCCATTAGATATGCTGATATCAGCCAAGAATCTCCAGTAAGACAGGAAGGCGTATTTTATAAACCCTTTCACATTTAACCCTTTATAGGGCTTCTACACATACAATAAACTTTGCTGGTATCAAAGTGTAAACATCTCTAATGAGACATGAAGGGGTGTTTTATAAACCCCTACATACTTAACCCTGAATAGGGCTATAACACATACAAATCACCTTGCCGGTATCATTTTATAAACCCCTACATACTTAACCCTAAATAGGGCTTGATACCAGCAAAGTCATTAGAGATGTTTACACTTTGTCTGATACCAGCAAAGTTTATTGTATGTGTAGAAGCCCTATAAAGGGTTAAATGTGAAAGGGTTTATAAAATACCCCTTCCTGTCTTACTGGAGATTCTTGGCTGAAATCAGTATATCTAATGGCTAGTGTAGGACTCACCTATTGAGGCTTGCCTTGACGTGGCAGGTGAGCTTATATATTCAAATGGCCATTGGAATAAAACTAAAGAGCCTCCATTTTGTTTAAATGTACATGGGGATTTAGGCCAGAGCGCAGGTAACGTTCTCTTTGTTTTTGTTATTTGGATTACATCTACCAAGCTAAGAGTGCGAAATCGGGAAATTGGGTTGGTGAGCCAAGGAGCTTCCTTCTATAAGAGATGCAAATGTCATCAGGTGCTTTAAATACAAGTTAGTTAAAGGGACACTATAGTAACCAGAACAACTACAGCTTAATGTAGTTGTTCTAAAGTGAGTATGATCATTACAGGCATCTTTTATGAAAAAAATCAGTGTTTACATTGCCCCTAGGGACACATCCAAGTGGTCACTCCTCAGATGGCCACTGGAGGGACTTCCTGGCTCAGTACTGCACAGTAGGCAGCTCTGCCATTCAGCGTCCCCACGCTCTGTATGAAGACGCTGAATTGTCCTCATAGAGATGCATTGATCTCTATGAGGAGGTGCTGATTGGCCAAAACAGTTCCTGACCCTATACTGTTCCTTTAAGAATGGATACAAGCACAACAAAGTCTCAACTTTTTTTTTTTTTTGTAACAAGTGATTTCATTCAACAAACATCTCGCATTGCAAAAAACCTTAATATACAAAATTTTGTCATGCATAATACAGTTACATTATTATAGTTACTATCTTCAAATACATGCATTTATAAAATAACCTAGTCATCAGAATAGAGGCACTAAACATGACACGGTGCATCATAATTACTACTAGTATAAATATGATCAGCACATATTGGTATACAAGTGATACACCATATCATTTTTTAGAAACACACAGCAACATAGAGTAAGACATAATTATCTTTTAACCCGCTACAATCAATATCATTAACCCGCTCCCAGAGCCTCTTGTAAAATGTTCTACAACAGGAGTTTGCTTCAGTATTGCATTCTAATGGAGATGTCACAAAATAGACATATTTTCTAAACAAAGTGTTTTGTAACGCTCATGTTTATTGATTCTTTGAGATTAATTTGCTAAACCATAAGTTACTGTGAATTGTGTAATGAAGAATAAAAAAAAGTTGGATAAAATATTTAATGGTGCACTATTAGGCACCATAACCATTTCAGCTCATTGTAGTGGTTATGGTGCTGATAGTTGATATGGGTTCTGTTCTCCATTTTTTTTTTTTTTGGTCTAGTAATATTTAGAACATATTGACAACAAAAGGTCTCTCCCTTGCTGCCCCCTCTTTAGCATGCAGTCGTAATAACCATGTGTGATTGATTTCTGTACTACCAGGATGGCATTAATCGAGATCTGGGTTAACCTTGATGTTTTCCCAACATATCAATATTGACCAGGAAATAGCATAAAAAAGAAAATCCATACAATTCACTGTGCAGTACATATTCCATAAATGTACAACAAATTATCCCTTTACACCACACCAGTGTATAAAAGGATAAAGCTACTTAGCTTGAAATTGCAGCATCCCAAGGTCCCTTCCCTGTTGGTGACCTCATACAAATATGATACAATATAGAAATTGGGATAAAGCTGAGTATCTAAGAAAAAAAAGATAACAAATAATAGTGCTAAATGTGTTAAAAATATATAAAAACAAATAGGTCACTGGATTGTTACTGAGAGTGTTTTATTTGTAATTGTTTTTACTATGGTCCCTGAGGAAGTTTCTTTGAAACGAAACGCGTAGGACTAGTGACCTATTATTTGTTTTTATATCTTTTAATGCATTTGGAATTAATAAATTCTTTATACCTACTACCTGGATCCTGATTGCTGCTCGGAGTACGATCAACATACTGAGGATCCTGACCTCCCACAGAGGGAAGGCAACCTTAAGGCGCCTTAAACATTTGGAGTCTGTGAGTTCCACAATTAGTGGGGGCACCACTCTTTGATTTTCAACAGTGTTTCACTATATTATTTATCTTTTTTTCTTACATATTCCATAAAGGAGTTTATTTTACATTGACATTGTGACCATTTTATATATTGTTCTCATATGAAGAATGGTAAAAATCTACAGCAGGAAATGCAGGATGCAAGGATTTTTGTTTTGTTTACTTCTGGATTATGTGGTTATGAAGTCTGTGCCTAGACTAAACATAGGGATTCAGAGCTCAGAATGCCTCAGTGATTCATAAAACGCCCACAATGTAAACATGCAGTGGAAATATAACTAACACGTAGAAACACATTCAAATATATCAGGTAACTGGTGTTTTGTTTTCATTCAACACTGGAAACCTACATCTAACCAAATGATCAATCCTAATTCAGTGAAGCCAGAATTAAATGAGTAACGTCACATTAAAAGTGCAGTTATTTGTGGGTAGGATGGACCTAAACCATATTAAAAAAATAATAAAATAAATACTAAATTAAATAATGTAAACTTGAGTTCTAGGATGCTCAGTTATCAAGTAGACTTGCTCAAAAATTAATTCACACATGGACGATTCGATGAATAAAACTTCACAGGTAAATCCTGGACAATCAGTTTGTCTCGATGTGGATTAAAACGCATTAGATTCAAGTAAACTGTCCGAAACTGATTTTTGCACAAGTTTGTTGACAAGTTAGCTGGCAAAGTGTTAAGGGCGTCCCACACTTCCTAACATATGAAAATAACCTCAGAGGAACAAACATGTTTTTCTTCTGGCTGGTGTAGAAGAACTCTATGATACCTATCACGCGTTACCATCAGTTGTATTTCTATTCGAGAACAGCGCATTGCATTAGGGCAACAAGATAGGCAACCTAGAGTGTTCAAGATGTTGTGGACTATATCTCCCTTGAAGCTTTGCCAGCATTTTGGCTATAAGGATGCTTTGCCAGCATTATGTCTATATGAGCCTTATGGTAAATGCTGAACACAACACCTAGAGTGCTAAAGATTGCCTATCCCTGCATTAGGGTGTGCACCCGGAGAAAATGACCATTTACGTTTTACTTGAAAAACTAACTAAAACATAAAAACTTGGTTAAAAGCCAATTTTGTTTCTGCTGGTGATAGTTGTGTGCAGAGAGAGTCATGATTATTGTTTCTTCAAAAACACCTAATATTAGGCACATCTATTTGAAGAACCCTGTGGTACCCATGCACATTACCGTCAAGGTGTTTGTTTGTTTGTTTGTTTTATAGTGGAGCTCTTTGATTCACTCATTTTAAATTTTGAGCACATACTAAAGAGAAAATTAAATAGAAAAATTTTGGCCTTACAGATACTCTTCTAGGTTATGTGCCAGAGTTAGTATTGTTAGCTTCTATTGATTCTGAGATGTGGTATATTGCTTTTACGATTATCCATTCTCTTCTTTTTCCTTTCCTTGTAAGAGGGAGCAGATTTTTTCCAGCTCTAATTACAAGAAGTTCCATGCGAAATGCGTTTTTCAGATCTATTCTTAGATATAATGATAGATTTCGAGATTCATTTGAGGTCTGGTTGAATTGGAGACAGATGACAACAATGAGGATGGAGAATGGAACAAGTACCTTAAAAGATCGCACTGCTTGCCAATTTCACTCAATGATCCAGTTTACAGTAAAGCCATAGTTAATGTCTCCTCAAGTAACAATGTGTAACAGAACAGCTTCCTTTACTTTCTGTAGCAGAATTGTGCCCATTTTTATGTTTAAACTTGAGACACTATAGTATTACTTATCATTTTAAAGCTAATCTTGTATAAAAACATATGGAAAAGATGTACCCTTAAGGCTTTCTATGTCATAGTCACCCATTAATGTATTCACTAAACTGGTAAACAAGTGGAATTTTTATTTAACTAATTTTAAGCTTAAAGGGACACTATAGTCACCAGGACAACTACAGCTTATTGTATTTGTTCTGGTGAGTATAATCATCCCTTCAGGCTTTTTGCTGTAAACACTATGTTTTCAGAGAAAAATCAGTGTTTCCATTACAGCCTAGGGATATCTCAAATGGCCACTCCTCAGATGGCTACTAGAGGTGCTTCCTGGGGTAGTGCTGCACAATGTGACAGCCATTCAGTGTCTCCACCCTCTGCACACTGGCGGATCCAGAGCCTTATCTCGGGAGGGGCACTCATAGATTATTTAAAGTAAACAATCCAGGCACAACAACCACTACAGCATCGGCTCTCTGGGGGAGGGGGAGAGCAATTGCCCCGTTGCCCACCCTCTCGATCTGCCACTGCCTCTGCATGTAGAACCTGAACGTTCCTCATAGAGATGCATCTCTGAGAAGATGCTGATTGGCCAGGGCTGTGTTTGGCTTGTGCTGTCTCTGCCCCTGATCTGCCTCCTTGACATTCTCAGCCAATTCAATGCTTTCCTATGTGAAAGCATGGTGTTTGGCTCAGAACATAACTTCTGATGATGTCAGCCAAGCAGGCAGATCAGGGGCAGAACCAGCAGCAGACTGGAATAAAGGTAAAGTTTTACTATATTTAGGAGGACAGGGGGGCTAAATTGTGGTTTTAACTCTATAGGGTCAGGAATACATGCTTGTGTTCCTTTAAAGGTGCTAAATATGAAAATAAATGAGTGGTACTCCTCACAAAGCCAGACCATTTAAGATTCTATATTATTTGTTGATACTAAGATCAAAACACTATTTTTAGTCTTCTCTTTTCTGTTTTTGTGCCTTTAATGGATGACTTTTCATTAGTTTAGTGAGCTCTCATTTGGTTTCTCTTGTTAGGTATCTTTTATTTCTGTTTTGCATTCGTGTGCTGTATCAAGTTTGTTGGCAGTAGTCTTATGCTATTCTCTTTTATTAGCTGAAAATATATTATATGTTGTGTTGCCAACTCCTATTTAAATAAAGAATAAAAAAAAAATCAAAACACACTGGCCATGTTGGAAGTTCATATAATGATTTAAAAAGAAAATGCAGACATACCACCATAATGAACAGATCATATCCATGCCGTCTCGGAGCCTTCATCTTGGGCAGAACCAAAAATATACATTTTCCACTAATCCAACATAAGATCATAAATTATGGGAAAACATGGGAGACATTATTCCAAAACACAAGACTGGAGGTCAAGTGATTTATAAATGCCTCCAGAACCTCAAGTTGGTATTATTTTCCCATGCTTCAGTGTTATGTATCTTTTATTTTACATGCTATTTTTTTAGGTTTTCAGTACTGTCATTGTATTAGGTATTGTAGGGGTTAGTGTTTAGTGTAGTTACTATAAGGGCAGCACTGGGATATACGTGTCCTAGTGCTGGCTGAGATTAGTGGCAGCGGCTGTTGCTCGATTTGTAATTCAAACTAACCTCGGCCAGACTGTGGCTGTCCTTTTTCATGCATGAGATTCGGGCCCCCAGACTGGAAATTTTTAATAAATAAAAAAAATAAAAAAATCTGTTTGTGTGTGTATCTTCTGTGTTTATCAGTTGTCACTGCTGTCAACCCGATATACGTAGTAATCTATTCTGCTCAAAATTATTCTAAAAGAAGCAAAGCCTTGGTGTTCATAACACATAATCTGTTTAAGAGCGTGTCGGGGAGAGTGGCGCCCACGGACGCTTCTTTCCAGATTTCCCTTTTGGTCTAAGAACAGTGGAGGACAGACCTTTGATACATATTTAAAAGGGAAATGATTCTAATCACTGTTTATCACTTTTTTCCCGGCTTTTTTATGTGAACAATAACTCATGTGAGCCAGCTCATTCTGGGAAATAGATAATTGAAATCTGATTTCTATAGGACATATAAAAAAAGACTGAGCCCTGCGGCACGAGATGCAAGATATTTAAATCTATTTGTTCCCCAGTTTTTGATCTTTAGTTATAGCTGTGGTGGCTAACCTTTGAGTGGGTGAGAATTGTGGCTAATATAGCACAAACATCTTCAAAGCTCTCAACATGATGTCTAGTTGAGACACAGTCACCATCCCCACATTTGGATTCAGAAAACTATTTATTGGTTGTAAAGAAGTGATCATCGGGGAGAATAGCAAAGCATTTAAATTTGTATGATTGAATATTCGTAACTAACCAGAATTTGTCTGTCGTTGGGTAATACAATATTAAAAGTGAGCAGCATTCACATTTTTGTAGCATTCTCTAAGAATCAACACATTTTTCCAACGTAACAAAGCGTGACATTCCTAAAGAGAGATCGCTCCCTGTGAATATCGCCCTCCTTTCAGTTCCCACTATATGCCATTAGTTTGGAAACAATGAGAGGAATATGTGACTGTTTCGTAATAGATACATTTAACAAACCTATTCACACACTCTCAGCACTGTGCACTGTCCACCCACTTACTACCCTACATATCTCCAAGATGTTTCCACACAGTCACTATAGTCACCATAACAACTTTAGCTTAATTAAGCAGTTTTGGTGTATTGATCATCTCCCTGCAGTCTCACGGCTCAATAATCTGCTTAGTTAAATGCACACTGTTCACACCCCCCAGCATGTAACTTGCACAGCCCTTCTAAGTGCTTCCTGTAAAGTGTGAGCTAATGTTTACACTTCCTTTATTGCGTATTCTGTTTAATTTAGAATTATTATCGCCTGCTAGACCTTGCAGGACCCTCCTGTGTGTGTGATTAAAGTTCCATTTACAGAACTGGAGATAAAATTAAGAACAAGTAAGTGAACATCTGATTGAATATTAAACATTTTTTAATGCATGCTGTGTCAGTCACAGCTAGGGGAGGTGTGGCTAGGGTTGCATAAACAAAAACAAAAGTGATTTAACTCCTAAATGGCAGAGCGTTGAACAGTTGGATTGCAGGGACATGATCTATACCAGCAGTTCCTAAACTGTGTGCTGCGGTGCCACGTGCACTCTTAGTTGTACTGTTTTATGGTATCCATGTTAAACTGCTTCCACAGAGCAAAGGTTAGCAAAATCACTGACTTATTTTTTCCTACCAAAGAGAGTTGCTGATTATTGGCAGACTTTGAAAGTAACTTTGGAATTGAGCAATAATCATTGGCAGGTCTGTCGACGAAGACCGGTGATCAAAAAGGAAATTCAAGGCTTTGTTGAAGGTAGGAAAATAACCGTCATCAGCCAGGAGTTAGATATTAAGTAGCATACTGAACCGATTGTTTTATTTACTTTGTGTGCAAGCAAGAGATACTGAAGTTTTAAACATGTTACTGAGCATTCACTTTTGACATTTCACATGGTTTCAAGAAGGACAAAGTCATCACAAAAGAAATCTATGAAACTTAAGAAATATGAACTGCAGTCTGGCTTCCTCCAACAAATGTCAGAATTTAAAGAATGAATTCTTTATTTCTGTGGTTACATGCTGTCTTTGACCTATTTTTTTTTTTATACCCACTCAGCCTTTGAAGGGACTACAGCAGAATGTCAAATTAGAGAGTGTATGTATAAAAATAACTATCCAGAAAATTCCGAACTGTGTAAAAGAACGTCATAAATTCCTTCATGTCAGTGCATTGTGTGAGGGATCATGTTTTATTCTATCATTGTAAATTCAAGTCAACCTATCCCCTATGCTATAGAATTTAACAGATGGTTTTATAGCTTAAAAAGACAATATAAATCAATAAATAAGTATAATATATATGTATTCCTTATTATTATTTTTTAATTAGTAAAGCAATTAAACGTACTTTTATTCCATTGCTAATACTGATGCTTATCTGCAGCCCAATCATCTTTGAAGCAATACATCTTTATGTCTTTGATGCTTCTCATTGAGAAGCATTGCAGACACGCAAAGCATGTGTGGCAGATGCCATAATGTACCAATCAGATGCTTATGTATGAGCGACTAGTACCAGCATACTTTACATTCCAATTCTCAACGTCAAATACACAATTGAATATATGTTAATCCAAAGTCCCTAGTGGTTGTCTGTCTGATAGCCACCAGAAGGAATGGAAATTGCAAAGTGTAAACCATGCTTTTTCTCAGAAAATGCACTGTTTTATTTGCAATGCTACATGAGCAGTAACTTGCCCCTACATCACTTCATCATGATTAAAGGGACACTCCGTTCACCATAACAACTTCATCTACATGACTTTATGGTACTAGGAGGCACCCTGGTGCACTGTTACCATTGACTGCTCTAACCCACTCAGTGGTGCCCCTGCCCGGTGGCACTCCACACTTCTGGAAACTGAGATTCCAAAGCTGGATGCCACTTGGGGGACAGACAGATCGTCCATGGAGGCACACTCTGGGGTTAAACCATTAGATAATGATTTAACCCCTTTAGGCAAGAGTGTGCCCTTGAGCCTCCTGGCACCATAACAACTTAATTTAGATAAAGTTGTTATGGTGACTGGAGTGTCCCTCTAAGTGATATTGGTGCCTAGAATGTCCCTTTTAAGAATCAGGCGTATTTAGGATTTTATTATGTTAATATTATTAGCTTTTAGTATGTTTGTTTTTTATTTAAATAAAATCTGAATGCATCATTATGTTTATTTCCTAAATCATTTGAAACGGTTCTAAGGTACTTTGGCTTTTGCTTTAACACATTGCATGCCAAAGGTGGCAACATTCTAAAGCAGTAGAGTGATGGTGCCTTTTTTTTTTTTTTTTTAAAGAACACTGCAAATCTTACTTTTATTGTTACAGCTGGTTAACCTCAAAAATATTTAATTTATTGCCTTTGTCTTTTGTCTAGGTCTTCTTTGGCCTAATTATGATGCCTTGCAAAGCAGGGCTACGGAGGGTGAACATTGGATAGCATAACTGGAGGTGTTTGAGGACTGAATTCACCAGAGAAGCTAGAACATCAGAAGTGGAACCATGTCGGTTATGATGGTGCGGAAGAAGGTCACCCGAAAATGGGAGAAGCTACCTGGGAAGAACACCTTCTGCTGCGATGGCCGAGTAATGATGGCTAGGCAGAAAGGCATCTTCTATCTGACATTAATTCTCATTCTCGGCACGTGTTCTCTCTTCTTTGCGTTTGAGTAAGTTCCTGATTTTACACATTTCTGCAATTTTTTTTAAGTTTAAAATATATGTATATATTTTTGTTAATTCTGGAAAATCTTTAAAAATAAAATACCTATGGTAAGGTTACAATGAGGGCATGCATGCCGTTGTGTAGTATGAATTTCCACTGTAGGCAAATTGCCATGTCACAAGTATCTGGTGCATATTTTGTAATAGAAAAGTAGGGCAAAGTTCAAAAATTGGAACAATCACCATGGAAACCAGTGGAATAATAATGAAGAATGGAGAGGCAGAAAGTGTGGTATGATAATAAGGAGCGGGCGGGGGGCAGTGCTGTATTCTTCCCGAGGCAAATAAGGCATTTGCCTTGGGGGGCATTACCCAGATTTTTGCCGGCCCCAAATACTCTCTGTCCCCCTGGTGTTCTGCAGCTTTCACCCACTGGCCACATTGGGCCACCCCGAAAGGTGTGCAGTGGAGGTGTGATCTTCTTGCTCTGCTCCATCACGCACCCTGCTGTGATGCTGGGAGCCAGAATATGAAATATCTCCCGCCCACGCATGACTAGATGGCCTGCAAGGGAACAGAAGAAGAAGATTACAACTCCATTGCGCACACACCCGGCCACACAAATGGCAGTAAAAGCAGCCACATTGGACCCCAGGGAAAGAATCCACACTGGACCCCAGGGACAGGATCCACTCCAGCTCTCCCAAAGGTAGTGTGGGTGGTTGGATAAAAATAAAAAAAAGTGTGAGAGAATGTAAAGATGACTCATGAATGTGTGTATCTCTCAGTGAATGTGTGCGACTGTGTGTGTGCCAAATCAATAAGAGTCTGTGTGTGTGTGCGTGCACGTGCGCGCGCCTGCCAGTGAGTGTTTGTATACCAGTGTGTCTGTAAAGTTTGTGTGTGTGTGTCTGTTAGGGATTGACCGATCTTGATTTTTTTAGAGCCGATACCGATAATCTGTGAACTTTCAGGCCGATAGCCGATAATTTACCGATAACGATATATTCTGTACATTTACCATTTTCCAAAAATAAACTATTTCTACACAAATCTACTGTTAACTGAACATGTTTATTATTTTATTCTTTTGTAAATTTTTTTTTTTTTTTTAAGGTAAATGCACAAAATATACATGCCAGTCAGAATTGTTTATGTTTTCAAGAATATATGTGTGTGTAGTGGCTGCAGTGTATGTTTGTGTAGTTGATGCAGTGTGTGTGTGTGTTTGTATAGTGAGTGTTTAGTAAATGCAGTGTGTGTTTGTGTAGTGTGTGTGTATAGTGAATGCAGAGTGTGTGCTTGTGTACTGTGTGTGTGTGTAGTTAATGCAGTATGTGTGTTGTGTAGTGTGTGTATATAATAAAGGCAGAGTGTGTGTTTGTGTAGTGTGTATATAATGAATGCAGAGTGTGTGTATAGTGGATGCAGTGTGTGTTTGTGTAGTGTGTATATAATGAATGCAGAGTGTATGTATTTGTGTAGTGTGTGTTTGTGTAGGTATGTAATGTGTATTTGGGGGGGGATTTTAATTTTTGTAATTTTTTTGTTGTTTGTTTTAGTCCCCCTTCCCTGCTTATTACCTGGCCAGGGAGGGGGGATATGGCATTCCCCGGGGGGCCCAACACACTCTTACTTACCTTCCCAGCAGCTCCCTTCAGCTCCCCTGCCTAACTCTCGTGGCCTGTGTGCCACGCGGAGCGTTGCCATGTTAACCTGTGGCAAAGCTCTGACCGCTGCGGGACTCGCGAGAGTTAAACAGGGGTGCTGAAGGAGGCTGCTGGGAAGGTCAGTAAGAGTGTGCTGGGCCCCCCAGGACCGCCACGGGCCACCCCAGGACCCTGATGGTGGCCCTGGTCTGCAATATCGGTATCTTTATTGGCCGATACCGATATTGCAGAAAATACACAATATCGGCTGATAATATCGGCCAGACTGATAATCGGTCGATCCCTAGTTTGGAGTAACCCTTAAAGTAAGAACTACATTTTATAACACTGGTACTAGAACCCATAACTGTGCTTATTCACACCTTGTAAATATAACTCTGTATGTCTGTGATATGTCCGCTTTTTTTGAGCACATAAGTTCTATCTTCAAGCTCTCCTTTTTGGTCTGAGTGTCAAAGTTTCAAATGTCTAGTGAATCTAATAAACTAATGCATTATTGACCCTCTTAACTACTGAAATATGTTTAATTCAATCCTAAAATAACAAATTATTATCTTGAGGGTAAAAAGTGTCCACCAAAATGTTATATATATATATATATATAATAAAATATTCATTGCACTCACGCTTAAGTGGTCCACTGTGCCTTATTAGGCTTGCCGGGTGCCAGTCTTTAGGGTCCTTCAGTGTAATACACAAAACAAAGCAGGCTGCACTCACGGACTTTTGAATTTCAAATGTGGTTTATTCCATCCAAGAAACAAAAACGATCAACGTTTCGGTCCACGCAGGGACCTTCATCAGGATCAAACAGTACAAATACAATCTATAACTACCTCAAATATATACCTAATAACATTAATCAAAAGTGACTTACCCCAGGTGATGTCAAAGCTTCACCGGCGTTTACTGCTAAACACCGCGCATGTGCGTACTACCGTGCGCCCCCACGCTGACCTCCGTTCCATGTGTAATGACGTCTTGACGTCGTGTCCATGGCAACGTTTACAGCTTTCATTCTAAGAAAGCTGTAACTACAATGTGACAAGCTATAACCTAGTGAAGAGCAAATCGTGTTACAGCAAGAAAAAGAAAAGGAATTAAAACAAAATGTTATCTGCATATAATTAAATAAATCCACTGGGTCACTATTAGAAAAATATTAGAAACAAGCCTAAATACTATACCTAATTTATTAAGGCTCCTATCAATATATAGATATTTTACTTTTACCCTTAAAAATTGAGGGACTGAATCCAACTTAATATAATACTGCCTTAATTATGCACATAAAGGTGTGGGGCTTTTTAGTCCTTTTACACCTACATTTGGAGACTTCTCCTTTACTATAATATTGATTGCAGTACTAAAGGTGGAATACATTAATTAACTCTATAAGTTAATTTAAAGGGGCCTATATCAAAATCTAATGCGACACAAATCGTGTGTCCAGTCACTCATCGGATATGCTAATATATAGAATCAGAGACTATTGCCAATTATATAAATTGTGGTATTCTGAATATATTATAATATAATTAACTAAGGGCTCTATTTTAATATCTGTTCATATTTTTTTTATTAATTATTAAATTAACCCTTATAATATATCTCCTACTATATAAACACATCTATTGTTGTCTGTACACAATTAATATTTACAAAAATTATCAAATATACAGTAACTATTTACACTATTATTGCAAGCACTAGAGAAAAGAATGATATGATATTATCTCATTGAGTCCTTTAGGTGAGACTGTATCAAGTCTGTGAATCCAAAATGTCTCTCTGTTAAGAAGTAATTTCCCCCTGTCCCCCCCCTCTCCGTGGTTCGGGTATGTGATCTATCGCCGTGAATTTAAGTGTTGTGAGGGGGTGTTGTAGGTCCAAAAAATGCCTGGCAACTGGTTTGTCACTTTTACCGTCTCTATAAGCAGTTCGAATGTTGGAACGATGTCCTCGAATGCGATCACATAATTGGGTTTCCGTTTTGCCTATGTAAGTTAAACCACAAGGGCATATATATATATATATATATATATATAAAAAACAAGAGGGGGTTGGCTGCACTCACTTGAACATGCATAAATTGGGGTGCTGCTGGGGGCCAAAAAAATACAATACACAAGATCCAGCGCACTCAACTATCCACTAAACAGCAACTTCAATGTTGAAAGATTTTATTTGTTTTTTTAAAAACACCTAATCTAGGCAAAAATAATGGGGGTTTAGTTATATTATATGATCATACATTGCATAAGCCTGCCACAACGCCAATGTACCCCATCTTTGTCAGGTCCTACACTAACAGCCTAATGTCTGCTCTTATGAGATTAACCCACTTACTTGGGGAAAAAAATTCCATCTGAGGCTCTCTGCAGTACAAGGCTAAATAGGGCCCTGGGATGAGGCACCTGTGACAGGGAGGGGTGCAAAACCAAGGAGTTGGCTAGACTCCCAAATGTGTGTATATATATATAAAACAAGAGGGGGTTGGCTGCACTCACCTGAACATGCATAAATGGGGTTGCTGCTGGGGGCCATCCCAGGGCCCTATTTAGCCTTGTACTGCAGCGAGCATATATATGACATGTCATTTGATCCTGAGGAAGGTCTCTGCGTGGACCGAAACGTTGATCTTTCTTTTTATGGAATAAATAAATGTTTTCATTCTAAAGACCGTGAGTTTCTATTACATTTCATTTCATTTATTGTCTGCGAATATATATTGACCCTTTAAAATGCATATTTAAAGCAGACATACATTGCTTAATTATCATGTGCAATGTGCTAGATACTTAATTAGTTCTTTGTTAAATGGGTCAGAACTAATTTGTTTGGCTGTCTGTCAAATCGCACGCAACAATATTTGTACGTACCAGTGCTGAACACTAAATAAGATTTTATTGCTTTTACTTTAAGTAGGAGCCCATTAGATCGCTAACAAAGTAGAAGAAGATCCGAGCACTCAGAACACTTTTTTTTTTTTTTTTGCAGTTTGTATAGGGGAAATAATAAAGACTGCACAAGAAAAAAGGTTTCTGAGTGTCCTGGATCTTCTACCTTGCAAGCATATTTTGAGGCATGTCAGCCCCTTGTTCTTGAACCCTTATCTGCAGTTGCTCTCCATAACTGTTATAGTGTAGGCACCAAGAGAGCAGACCCCTTTTTGCTACATGGAAATATTAGACCACTAACGACATTTGGAGAGTGCCTTGTACTGGATGATAGAATTTTTTTACAAGTACCATTAGTGTTCTCTTTTTATTTATTTTTATTTAACTGATTCTCTGTTTCTGATTGAGGTACAATGTGTCAAGATGTAAAAACATATCACTTGTCTAACTGTGAGTATACACCCAATGTCAGGCTGTTACAAACCACTTGGAGAACATGTTACAAACCGAAAACTAGGTCCCCTCGTCATCAGGTCATTAGTGGTCATGTGTACTCATGCCAGATTCTGTAGGGTCATCTTGCCTCTGTCCAAATTTTCTTCCCTGATGTGTCTTTTTAGGATTGTTGGTGTGTGTGAGAGTACTTTTAATACTGGCAATACTGTGTTCTTCTGCTATCTTGAGTGTTTGTGCAAATGACATTCTATGATATTTTTCAAAATCACATATTCATTGACATAAATGGCTTTTCAAAGGTCATGAAGCCCCAAGCACTATAACTAAAGTAGGAAGCGGCACCAGCAAACCCCAATAAAAAACAGTTTGATTATGTACAATGTGGGGTGTAGTGATTGTGGTGCTTGGAGTGTTCCACAGCTAGCCCACAGGTTTTCCTATTTTGCCATTTGAAATATTGAGAGGTATGATTAAGGTTGGGGTTCATTAACAAATAGACATGTGCAATTTGTTTCGGGCCGAATATGAATTCGGACAAATTTCGGGCTTCGGAATGTCCAAATAGCTGAAGTGCCGAATTGCCAAGGTCCCGAAGTGGCTGAAGCACAGTATTGCCTAAGTACTAATATACTTACCCAGTGGAAGAAGAAGAATGTTACACTGTATACAATTTTAAATAAAAAGTATACAAACATAGCCAGGATTCAGCTGTAAACATTTGCAACACTTACAACAATCAAGTAACATACATTCATATAAAATGTAAGTTACCTAGCCTGTCATGTAATGACATGAATGAATAAGTAGTTAACTCCCTAATTCCCACGGTATTAGGGAGCTATCTTCTAAAAGGCTGAAAGACCTACATTGGTCTTTCAATAATAATCTGAATTAGTAATCTGAATTATTTACCAGGAGCTGGTTGAACCCAAGCACACTTAACTTAGGCAGCCTGGAACTCTGTTCCGGGCTTACTAATATCAGTTTTGTGCAAAAATAACGTCTGTCATCAGGGCGTACTGCACGCTGATCACAGATATAAAGAGATTCTCCCTTGCAGGATCGCAAACTTTTTAGTTTCCCCTCCTGGGCTCCCCACCTCTTTCAGTTTTCAACACTGGCATATTATAGTTTATTTTTTATTTTTATATATAATTCAAAGCCCTCACTTTGTCCTCCGTTCCTCCCTCTGTCCTCCCTCACCTCACCGCCCAGAGCCCGCACATGCTCTGCAAGCCAGTGATACAGTCCAGTCAAATTATTCTCAATATGGAACACTTGATTGGCACAGTGATGGTGCGGCATGACGACAGACGGGAAATGGAAACAAAGTGAAGAGGACCTCACTTGCAGGAGTTAAGTTTTAATCTATTTAATATATATATATATATATATATATATATATATATATATATATATATATATATTTTTTTTTTTTTTATTATTATTTTTTTTTATAAAAAAAGTGAGGATGGACAAGGTCAATAGGGCATAATAATGCTGAAGAAATTTTGTCAAGAAAAGGATTCTAGTAATCCTTTAACATGTGGATATTAGGCATTTATACTGTACCTGTTTATTTTATTTTTTTAAATGTACATATTTTTCGTTTGTAGGTGTCGTTATCTGGCTGTGCATCTCTCTCCAGCAATCCCGTTTTTCGCTGCAGTTCTCTTCCTGTTTTCCATGGCTACTCTGCTACGGACAAGTTTCAGTGACCCAGGAGTTATTCCTCGGGCTTTGGCAGATGAAGCAGCCTTCATAGAAATGGAAATAGGTGAGTCATGATAAGGGAATCGACTGGGTTTGGCTTACAGGAGGAGGGTGAGCTCTCTCTCTGCTGGGAATTTCTTGTGATATTGATTTTGAGGTTTTGTTTCTGTTTCTGTTTCTTTTTTTTTTTTTTTCTTTTAAACAGAGGTTATTTTTTTATTATATTCTTATTTTATTTTTTTATGATCACTTCCTATTTGGCCTGCCCTCAGAAAGAACATCGTACGGAAATCATGTTTAGAATGCTTTTTGCCTTTTAGGTATAGTCTCTTAACCAAGTAGTATCTGCATATGGGAATTTCAATGACTCTGAAATTGTTATTTATGTTAAATTGTTCTCATAGTTCGTAAACCTATGTCATATACCACAGATCAAAATAACCATTGTTTATATACTTGAAATCTGTTTTCCACTATTAGCCGAAGCAGCTTTGTTATGCCGATAGATGCTTGTTGCACGGTTTGTTTAAATATGAATATCTCCACAAGGGCCTTAAAATTATCTAGAATTTGTGTACAAATGTTTTTTATCAAATGCTTCATTTACTTTTTACATTTATACTAAACATTTTGTAAATGGCATCTTAATCCAATTCATACATGGCAATGCAAATGAGGAGGAGAAATATCATCTCTGTATACTTTCTCTGTGCTTATTATCAGTTGCAAAATACAGTTTATAATAATAATCAGGGAGTGAAGATGGAGACGCCCAGTTGCAGGATACAGAGGTGTGGATTTCTAAATATTAATTAATTTTTTATCCCTTACAAGTACATACATTTGTTAAACAATAGGATACATAAATCTAATTAAAATTCCTGGGAAGTGGCAATTCGAGTTTTAAACATTTTAGATGACGTCAAACCATTAAGTATTGCAATGTTTAAAATTAAACTCCCCTTTATTCCAGATTCTATCTACTCAGATGCTTCTCACATAGAAACATTAGGACACACCAACAATGTTTCTCATAGTGAAGCATTAAAACCAATGCTTTTTTATGTGAAGCAATCACTTCTTCTGCTTTGAACAATAGTTCAAAGTGAGTGACGCAGGGAGCATGCCCAGATATTTTGTTGATATCCAGGAAGTGTTACTAAGGAGATTTACAAAAGCCCTGAGTACTCTTTAAATCAACACTTGTAGAAAATAAACCTACAGTGACATGCCATTAACTCCTAAATTAACACTTTTTTGCACACTGGGTTGAGCTTTTAAAGCTCTCCACAAGGGAATTTACCTAATTAATGACCTTCTTATTGCACTAATATTTCAATAGGGTCCTAATTATTGCAAATGAGTTAAGAAACATTTTGGAATTATATAGTTTCATGTATAATGATATAGTTTAGTTGAAATGATTAAAATGCAAAAAAATGGAAATACCTTTATTATATAAAATGGACAAACGTTGGTCAAACATCCCCCACCCCCCAATATAGAATACTCACAGAAGGAGCGTTCACAAAGAAGCATAAAGTAATTGTAATCATTATTACGCTTATTGCTTAATAGAAACAATGTATTTACCTTACGGCTCCACGGTAGCAAAATAGCTAGTTCTTATGGTAGATACTTTGTAAATAGCGGGCAAGATAATATCCGTCCCATTTAGATCACAAACAAGGACTATTGTACTGTGTCTCTTTAACCCCTTAAGGACCAAACTTCTGGAATAAAAGGGGATCATGACATGTCACACATGTCATGTGTCCTTAAGGGGTTAAGATAGGCTCTATTATATAATCTCCATCAGACCTTACCGGTGATCGTTCACGTTCCCTGAGGAAGTGAGTGCATACTCACATAACGCACACAAGCAGAACGATCACCAACCTTTCAAATTTGGCTGCTCTGAGGTTCTGTAGTTCATATCCCTTTACCGGCCTATCGATAAGACTCAGGAGAGTTTATTATATAAATATCAAGTACTTTATGCTTAATTAATTAAAATTCTGTGAGTACAGTGTTTTGGAGGGTTTTTTTTACCATTGTTTGTCCATTTTATATAATAAATGTATAATATACTATGTATGGAAGCATATGTCTGTTTTGTGCTTTTTAGCCATATCTCATAAAATTGTTTTTTTTGTGGGAACGTAAAGGACATTACTTCTAACAAGCAGCATTAATATACAAGGCTTCCTACAAGATTCTAGTGCAAGTATCCCATTACTAACGCTACATGGTTTATACTTTAACATTTTTAGCGCTCTTCAGGGTTTTGTTTTTTCATGTATTTAGGCACTCACGATAGCAGAGTGTTTCATATCCATTCTGTTTATTTTGATTGCCTAAATATATAATATTTTTTAGATAATGTTTTTTTTTTTTGCGTTGAATAGGTTATAATATTTTTATGTTATAATGACAAAGACCTTAACTTGCCCTTATAGTTATACTAGTCTAAACTTACATTTGGTCACTTGATAATGTTTCACAAACTTTGTTAGATAAGTAAGCAAACTTTGAATGGGATGTATTGTAAAAGTCATCAAGAGTCTGGGAATGTTTGGATGATCTCATGGTCATAGCCTGTGGACCTGACCCAGTAAAATAAATGAATTATTACAGTGTTCTCTAGTCATACAGAGTGTCATCTCCTCCCCCCACAGACCCTCCATAAGACAGATGGTCTTTAGGAGACTAACAAAGCAATATTCTTAAGTCTTAAAATTTTGTCCCAGTCAATGAGGAAGTTAAGTTGTGCAAGCTAGTCATTTAATGTACCATACAGGGATGGCTGAATTTTTGTCTAAGGGCTATTTCACTGGACTACAAGACCTTTGACCATATTACCAAATTGCTCCTGGTTTCTTTTCATTACTGCTAGTCTTTCTTACTCTGGTTTCCTGTATTTTACTTTTTTTATTGTCTTTTATAATTGTGCTATCGTGTGTGTGTGTGTGTGTGTTTTCAAAAGTTGTATATTGTCCTTATTGTTATCGTTTGATTATTTATCTTTCCTAATTTTATGATTTGCATACCTATTTTATACAATAAATGTGTAGGATTCCATTGAAACTGTTCTTCAATTCCTTTCATTTGTAAGCAGCTTCCCTCTGTTCGATAGCAGCATTTTTTCTTTTATAACATTTATATTATTCAGATTAATCTTTAATGCGTGTCTTTACAGGGTTTATAGAGTATTGTTATGAGTAATTTTGGTTCCCCTGATGTTTAAAAATCATCAAGTTTAACAGAGCCTTATAGATAGTGCAGTTCACAAATATTTGGAATACCAACAAGTTTAGCCGTCTCTGAATTCCCATCACCCAACAGGGTCTATTCATATCTCTTATTTACTGTTTTATTGACTCAGAAGCTCTGTAATGTTAACTATACTTCTGGTACTACCAGCTTCATTAGAACACAAATGTAATATTCGGCAAAAGGGACCAATGTTCTAGAATTATTTTAATTGCTGTTTAGCTCAGGCTTGTGTAGAATTCAGCCTTTGAGGGCTATTATCCTGCCAAAGTATTAAGATTTCTCCTTATTGTTCCCAACCTATTAACTCTAAGCTACATAGTAATTAATACTATAAAAACCTTGCAGGCCGATGGTCCATGAGGACCAGGAATGAAACAGCTTAAAAATAAAGCTCTATAAAATAATAGAGCTGACCTCTTTGAAAGTTTAACCAATCGGGATTTATTCACTAAACTTTGCGTGTTGACAATTGATTAGCAAAATATAGGCTAAAACTGAAGAGTTTTGGTCTACTTTTCATAACTCCTGTTTGAATTTATAAATCTTCATCAAGCTAATACTTAAAGGGTACCTGTTAAGGAAAAAAATCAACTTCCTTTAAATCACCCCCAAATACACTGATTAAATCATATATCACAAAGATACATGATGTATTCAATGTAAAATATTGTGATAAACTCATCTCCATTCCAGTGTCACCATCTTCTGAGATTCAAGGGTGTTATTTGTTTAATGCGTACCATCCACCTCTGGTCTGTCCTCGGCTCCTCCTGCGATCTGATATGCTTTCAGACCTCCTCAGTGACGTCGACAAGCTGGCTTTGCTGCCTGTATGCTGGCATCTTAACTAAGTGATATCGGTTCCTCCATCTCTATACTCCCTAGCCAGCACTAGCCAAGTTGGCTGGTGAGTTTCCATAGCAAATTCAGCACATGCGCAGTGGTTTCTATGATTTGGAGAGCAAAAAGACCTCCTGTTGGGGCTTTCCCTTGTCAGTCAAATTGTCAGCACAGAGTCTATGCTGATGATTTGACTGAGAAGTGGGAGAAAAACCTAATTTTTAATAGTTTTTATTTTTTTCTCCAAAGCCCTACATTTGCTATAAAAACGCCTAGCACAATGTATAGATGAGATTACATTCTTGTTTAAAGGAGTGTGAGTGGTTTGGGGCAAGACAGGTCCCTTTTCATGATTGAGAACAAAGTCTCTTAGAAATAAATGTATTGTTGCGTATTTTAGAATTTCCTCAAAAAATTCCCTTAAGTGGCAAAAATTCCTCCCGAATGACCGTTGGGAACATCGGAAATTACATTTTTGTCCAACTCGCCCTAATTTTTACACTGTTGTGAAATTAAAAATCCTTTGGGGGTATTTATGGGAATTTCCAGGGGTGAATCCCAACAGGGTCTCCTGCTTTAGATGCAAATTTAGAGCTTCTCTATCTGTTTGTTTGCTGATTGCATTGTATCTTGCTTTTTCTATGATCCAAACCTGCAGATCTTTCTGATTCACACTATGAATGTGTTACTACCAACCTCTGTTCTGCATTGTTCAACCTGACTTAGTATAATTACTATGCTGAATAATAAGGGTGTATGTTTTCAATGACCAAGTGTCTATATTTAGCTGGTATGATGTAGAACAAGTTTAACAAGAGTAAGTGCTTTTTTTTTCATTATCCCGAATAAGATACTGAAGAGTCACAAATCCTTGTAATTTACATATCTGTCTTGCTGAATTAACACTTTCAAAGTAGGAGTTCATCGTGTTTCCAACTGTCTCTAAAAAACACACCTTTTTTGATCGTGCTGTAATTAGAACTTGTGTCAATCACCCTTTTTATTACCAGTGAATTAGTAATGTTATTTCAATTCTCTGTAAATGGAGTAAAATGACTACACTGAGATTATGCTTGGTAATTTGATAAGGTTTTATTAAAAAAAAATCTGGGAAAATATTCAGAAACAAAGGAAGGAATAGGTGACCTGTGCACCAGACCTCGCAGACTACAACTCACACAATGCATAGGCAGCATGCTTGTCAAGATCTACAGTACTTAGAGTGCTAGAGGTTTCTCAGAACCCATACATGCTGCAATTTGGTTACAGTTCAAATTTACTGATTTATTAAGAGTGAAGGGGATTTTGAAAATGCTTTTATTGTGATTGTGAAAGCAAATTGACACGTGGACTTAACAATATGATGAACGTGTCCATGTATTAAGGTTATTTGATTCCCTACCTCTGTTGCTTATCTTAAGGACACAAGTTAAAGATTTGCAAGGCTGCAGATGATCTGTGCACCGCACTCCCTCTTGGCATTATGGAGGACAAGAGTGCCATTAAATCCAAGAATCCTCTGTTGGGTGTTAATCACTTAGCAGTGACTAGTGATCTCATGCTGCACAGATGGTGATGTCAGGAATGACTTATTCCCTTAAACAAATGGGTAATATTACACAAATCACCTTTGTGCATCTGGATATCCTAATACATGTCCCGATCTTCCTGAGATTAGTGGGAGTTCCACTGTAGCAGCTGAAACAGCCAACTCACCAATATGTAACTCCTACTAATCTCAGACAGTACTGGGACATGCATATCCCTGTGCTGCTCCTATAATAAAGTTCTCCCCTTAACCCCTACACTGCCCTAACATGCTACACTACACACTAACCCCTACATTACAATGACACCCTACGCTATCACTTAAACATTCTAAAACAGTTTAAACCCTACACTCCACTACACAAAAACAATCTCCACTGTACGTTAACCGTACCCTAATACTAGCCATTAATTCCTTACACTTCCTTAATACTCACCCCAACATGAAAATATAATGTAATCTAAATAATACAGAATAGTGAAGCATGGATTATTGTGAAATAAGGCAATCTGGATTCTGGAGACATTTTTAAACCACTCGACCTTTGGTCTCTATGTTTCTTTTATTGGCTCCAGAACCCAGAGATTGAATTATTTTCAAATAATAAAACAGTTCATTATTACGTATCATATTTATGTATTTATATCTAGGCATGTGATCAGTTCACGCGTTAATATTCCAATATTATTTAGTATACATTGAAAGGGGATTTCTAATCCATAACATAAGGCTATTCCTACCTTACCTAGGATATTTATTGTAACCTTCTTTGTTCTTAGATCTGGGGAACGTTGTGTTATATTTGAGCCATGGTAATTGGAACCTCGTGTGAACCACGTCATGTGCCAAAGTCAAACATTGAAGTCTCTTAGGGTGTTGGCCCTGTATTTTTAAAGTTATGTTTATGTATGCTTAGGAATTTTTTTGTGTTACGTATTGGTGCGGTGGCTGGTTTGTGAAGTGTGTGTGTGGATATGTAGCCTGTACATGGTTTTGCATATTTGTGTGTGAGCTGTCTGTTGTGTCATGTGAGTATATTTGTGAGCTGTGTGTTGTGTATGCTTTTTTTGTTCTGTCTGTGTGTTTTCAGGCTGCGTTTTGTGATATGTATGTGTGTTTTCTGTTTGTACTATTTATGAGTGTCTGGTTGTCTGTAGTGTTATGTGTATTTATGAAGACTCTGTGGTATTGTGTGTATGTTGACTGTATATGTGGACTGTTTTGTTGTGTATGTGTGTAGTCAGTGTGTGTGTGTGTGTGGTTTGATTTCAGTATTTGTTTGTGTCTAGTGTCTTCTGGGTGCTGAAGTGTTGTGTGTATCTGGACTGTTTGTGGCATTGTGTGTTCTGGGGGTTGTGTCTTTGTCTGTGTGTATGTGAGCTGTTTGTTGTATTGTGCATCTGTTTATATGGGCTTACGTTTTTCCATCAAGACAGAGCATTACCATAGTAGCCTGCGGCAATGCTTTGAATCACAGAGAAGAGTCAGAGCACAAGGGAAGATTCCTGCAGGTGGTGCAGGCCACAGATTCTCTTGCGCAATGGGATGCTCCAGACTGGCTGGGGAGGTCCTTTGATTTCCATAGCTGGTCCATCTGGGTCAAGCCACCTCATGTACCAGGGAAAGGCAACCCAAGTGCTATGCATAGTACACGTGCCTTAGGTCCCTGACCCATGTAATAGATGCAAATTTTTGCCACCTGGCTACTAGGTGGTTCCGGTGATCACTGCTTAGTAACAGGGCCCCACTGATTGTGCACCTAGAAGGAGGGGGGCATTGGCGCCAGTCTCTTTAATTTGGGTCCTAAGAACCCTTGTAATTTTGTTTTGTCAGCAAACATACAACAAAAAAAAGTATATATATTTTATGCGGACATATGTCTATCTTTAGTCACAATTTATGCACCACTTTGATACATTCATACAAAAAGATGTTTATGAAAGAGTGAGATGAGGTGATTTGACAATCACGATGGAAAAATTAGACCAGCCTGGAAAAAATGACAAGGATGTTGTATACAGGAGCAATAAACAAATAGACTAAATAAACATAAACATTGTTATACACTAAAGCATGAATTGCAAAGAACCCAAAGTGTGAATTTAAAGTTAAATTCAAATTTTAGGTCAAAGTAGCTGAACTGAAACAAAGGTTGATTTGGAGAACTTATCCTATTTTGCTGTTTTGGACAAAAATTTTAAAGGGACACTATAGTCACCAGAAAAACTACAGCTTATTATATTTGTTCTGGTTAGTATATTCATTCCCTTCAGCCTTTTTGCAGTAAACACAGTTTTTTCAGAGAAAAGGCAATGTTTACATTACAGCTTAGGGATAGCTCCAGTGGCCTCTCTCTTCGTGTGGCTACTAGAGGTGCTTCCTGGGGCAGTGCTGCACACTCAGCACACTCGGTGCTTCCTGGGGCAGTGCTGCACACTCATTCAGTGTCTCCACCCTCTGCATTAAAACGCTGAATTTTCCTCATAGAGATGCATTGATTCAATGCTTCTCTATGAGGAGATGCTGATTTTCCAGGGCTGTGTTTGACTTGTACTGGCTCTGCCCCTGATCTACCTCCTTGACAGTCTTTGCCAACCCAGTGCTTCTCTATGTGAAAGCATTGTGATTGGCTGAGAGAATCACGTCTGATGATGTCAGCCAAGCAGGCAGATCAGGGGTATAGCCAGCAGCAGCAGATTGGAATACAAGTAAGATTTTGCTTATGGGGGCCAGGGAGGCTAGATGGTGGTTTAACACAATATGGTCAAGAATATATGTTTGTATTCCTGACCCTATATTGTTCCTTTGAATTGAATTATTTCTGCAATTCCTGGATAAACCCCAAAACATTCTAAACTCCTATAAAAGAGCGGCAAATGCACGTGTTTAACTCCTTTGTCATTGGTTGCTGTCTGCTACTGATATATGCTAAAAAATATGTACAATCAAGTGATGTTCGATAATATCGAACCAACTAACAATATAGTAACAATCCCTTTTAATTGTTAGCCGTTCAGTGTGAAGACTGAGCTTGAAAATACATTGACCATGATGCAGGTGTAGTTCTAAAACTAGCCCTCCCTATGGCTGTAAAATAGTTAAACAATATGTGAAATCATTGTAAAACCGGTTTAAATAGTTTGTTTGGCTTATACATTTTACAGTTTTTTGTTGTTGTTTTTTTGTTTTAATAATGTTTTTTTTTTGTGTGTGTGTTTTTTTCAGAGGCGGCCAATGGAAATGTGCCACAGGGTCAGCGTCCGCCACCCCGTATAAAAAATGTCCAAATCAACAATCAGATTGTGAAGTTGAAATATTGCTACACATGCAAAATCTTCCGTCCTCCTCGGGCTTCGCACTGCAGTATCTGCGATAATTGTGTGGGTGAGTCATTTGATGATGGCGGGTTTAATAATAGGGTCAATCCAAATGGCTTCTATTGATTTCAGTGCTACAATGAGATGTTCTGCCTTCCTGTCTTGCTACATAGGGGTTTATTCTATAAAAGTGAATTGTGGTGAAAACCAGAATTATCCAAGTTTTATTTAAAACAAACAATATGGTAATATCATTTAGCTGGGTAATCATTCTAATTCTGTAATTTTAATGTAAATTCTGCAAATTCATATTTCAATTTCAATTACTCAACTATAAATTGTTTAGACTTGACTGTAGATTTGCACATTTATAGCCAAATTGCCAATCGTCTTATTAATTGAACATGTTTATTTAGCTATTTTAACCAAATATTCCCTGATCAGTTCCTAGCAAGTGAATGAACGACACTGAAGGCACCATACCCACTTCAATGGATTAGGGAGATTATGGTGCCTGATTCTTGATTCTCTATCGCCAGGTCCCACACTAATTTTAAAAAAGCCTCTCCTCTTCCTTGTTACACACACTAGTCAGAGAAGATGGCTAACCTCTCCCTCGAAAGCATCGTTACAGGACTTATTCAGTATAACGCTTTTACATTCACCCTAACATTTAATATATATTATTTGAGCTATATCTGCATACTATGGATTCTTGGGTGTGAGTACATACATTATTTTCTTTCTTTATTTAACTCTACCCTTCTAGTAACATGTCCTGCATTGTTTGTTTTCTCTCTCTACCTCTCACTCTGTCCTTACACAAAATATTTATGACCCTCTGTGAGAATGTTGTCTATTTTCTGTCAGACCAATGTATTATCTGCACTTTTGTCGCTTTAACCCCATTGTCACAACTCAAGGTTGCATTCAATGTGTTGTTTTTTTTCTCAGAAATGCTTTAACCCCTTAAGGACACATGACAGAAATATTCCGTCATGATTCCCTTTTATTCCACTTGCTGCGAATGTAATGCATAGCCCGACACTAGCTTCCGACAGGCAATGGTCTCAAGTATATTAATATTCTTGGGTTTGCGTGCTGCAACCACCTTTTTCAGAGATTTTCTATGGGGTTTAAGTCAATTGACTGTGATGGCCACTGTATAATTTTCCAGGACTTATTCTGCAACCAACTCTGGGTGGAATTTGGTGTATGCTTGGGATCATTGTCTTGTTGGAAGGTCCAATGATGCCAAAGCGTCCGCTTCCTCGCAGATAGCATGACGTTTTCTCCTAGGATTTCCTGACACTTCAATTAATCCATCTTGTGTCCATCGTCATTCAATGGTTTTCACAACCTCCCTTCTCAGAAATCTAGTTGCAGCCATTGATACTACATGCCCTGTCCATGTAGTATGACTAAACTTTCTTGTTGTTTCTTCAACTTTGAACTTGCTAATTATGCTTCCAATGCTGTCTTTAGGAACATTCAGTGCCTTCACTATCTTTTTGTATCCTGTTCCTTGTTTATGAAGGGTGATCATCTCTTAATTTTGTGGACCATTCTTTTCAATTATTTCTAACATGCAGTCAAATGTGACACTCAACAAACTCCTAGCCAGTTCAGGTATTTCAAGTGTTCCAGCTCAAGCACACCTGGTGCAACTAATGAGGCCCTTGATTAGTTGCATCAGATGTGCTTGAGACAACATCTGTTTTGCATATTTGTGCCGTTGTGAGGGATTCTATTAAGGTGGTTGATTAATTTTGAGACCGGAGAAGTCATACATTGCATTTTCAGTTACATTTGAGGATACCACTTAAAGCATCCATTGTGCATCGTGTTCAGATATTTCAATTGTTTCTGTTTGATTTGTTCATTGCAAACAGCTGAAAGTCTGTACATTTTGACATTAAATTTGATTTGCAATGGGGGTTGAGTAATTTTGATTATAACTGTATGTATTTCATCTGTTATTGTACATTTGCATCACTGGACTAATACAGCTACAATATCTAATATAAATATAAAAAAATATATATATAAATATAATATTATATTTGATTTCCTAGGGTGACAAACAATCCAGTTATCATTATTGCTTGAAAAATATAAAATTTAAAGCCAGTATTACTGAATTGTAAACATTTCTGCAACTGTATTTAATTCTCTGCCATTTATGCCTAAAATTTTGCAATTATTTCCAAGCAGCTCTTTTTGTAGTGAATAACCTTGTCTATGGGATCTTTTATTCTGCATTACTCGGGATCATGGGAAATAACATCAGCTTTTAGAACTTTTGTACCATTTGTCCTATTTTTCAGATAACTCTAACATGTTTGCTGTTAAAGTAGGATAAATGTGGCATTGATGCTTATTTCATGCAGCCAAAAGTATTATACACTAGGAATATATATGGATTCCCCACTTTAGGTCATGTAAATTTAGACGTCATAAAGAGTTATTTCCTAAACTGTAAATGGTCAGGAATTAACCAGGGGATTCAAGCTTTTAGGACAAATAATAGAATTCTTCAACTTTTTTCCTGCTATGATGTTTTGTCAGTTGCTCACAATTATTGAATGAAGATCGCTCCTGCTTGCTAGGAAGATTAATAAATCCAATAACTGTATATACTGTGTATAATCTGTGAAATACCAGAAATCCAGTCAGTATACATAAAAAATGACCACAGACAGCAGTTTAAAACAAATCTATAGAGCCACTCAGAATAGACAGCACATAACCAAATAGCAGAACATATAGTAAGTTTAGATTAGTGTGGTATATTTTGGTATAAACCACTGTTTTGAGAATATGTTCCAAGCTGGTATGCCAAGGTAGGTCTAAACACCACCTACTGACCTACCAATTATATCTCCAAAACCTGTTCCACCATTTCACATCTGGCAAGATGTGTTACCCCTCCAGTGAGCGCAGTGATATTTTATTAATATTAACCATATTAATGATATACAAGAACAGGTGCTTTTTCACTACGTGAATTGACTTCTTTACATTGATTTTCAGAGTTTTCTGAGTCAGCAGCTGTGGTATATCTTATGTCTATGAATATAACTATATTTGCAAACAGGTTAGATTGAATATTGATTGCAAGCCTCTAAGGTGCAAATTATTAATATTATATAAATGTCTCGAAGTCCATTGACCAGTTTAGCACGTGGTGTGACTAGGTTATGGATGTAACACTTTTTACGGTATCTCTCAGAGGTGAATTGATTTCTGTGTAACGTAACTAATCAATGTAAAATGATATGATATGATGTTTATTGTACCCAACACTGCTACAAAATAAATCACTATTTTCTTCACTTAGCAAAGCATGTAGGACAGATAATGTGACACATCATCAAATCACACACTGGTTTATATTTTATATTTCAAATTAAGAGAAGCAAATGTTTAACTTTAAGATATTGCACTAAAAATATGTGTCTGTCTATGTATGTATGTACTTTCAAGTCTGCCTATCATTGTTTAAAAGGACACTACAGTCACCAGAACAACTACAGCTTAATGTAGTAGTTCTGGTATCTACAGCATGTCCCTGCAGGCTTTTCAATATAAACGCTGCCTTTTCACAGAAAAGGCTGTGTTTACATTGCTACCTAATAACACCTCTAGGTGCAGTCACTCAGCCGACCACTAGAGGTGATGCACAACTCTGCATGGAGATGCTGAACATTCCTCATATAGATTAATTGATTTAAGGCTTATCTTTGAGGAGATGCTCACTGGTGCTGCGTGGTGTTTTGCAGTGCATGTGCAATAGTCTCCTAATGCTTTCCTAATGGGAATTAGCCATCATCAAGATTAATGGAGCACTATAGTGCCAGGAAAACAAACTCGTTTTTCTGGCCTCATAGGGTAATTAGGTCCCTCCCACCCTCAGGGCCCCCGTCCCGATGGGCTGAAGGGGTTAAATCCCCTTCAGCCACTTACCTTTCTCCAGCGCTGGGCTCCCTCGGCGCTGGGGAACTCACCTCCCTCTGCCGACGTCAGCTCCGAATGCTTTCCTATGGACGTCCAGCGTCTTCTCACTGTGATTTTCACAGTGAGAATCGCGGAAGCTCCTCTAGCAGCTGTCAGTGAGACAGCCACTAGAGGCTGGATTAACCCTAAGTGAAACATAGCAGTTTCCCTGCTATGTTTTCAGCTGCATGGTTAAAACTAGTGGGACCTCACACTCAGACCACTTCATTGAGATGAAGTGGTCTGGGTGCCTATAGTGGTCCTTTAACCCCTTAAGGACCAAACTTCTGGAATAAAAGGGAATCATGAGATGTCAGACATGTCATGTGTCCTTAAGGGGTTAATGATCTTTAATTGATTAATATATATATATATAATTTTTTTTTTTTAAAGCACCAGATGGAGACATGTCCTTTTACTGGTGTTCATGACAGTTACTAAAATCATGTCCTATTTATTCACAGAGCGCTTTGACCATCATTGTCCGTGGGTTGGAAATTGTGTAGGAAAGAGGAATTACCGGTACTTCTACCTCTTCATACTGTCCTTGTCCCTACTGACCATTTACATTTTTGCCTTCAACATTGTCTACGTTGCCCTGAGTGAGTTTACTTCCCAATTTTAAGTACTGAATATTGGGGGTAAAGCTCCCACATCAAGCATTTTCAAAGTCTAATTTTTCATATTGCTTTATACTCTTTTTCAGATACTTTGCAAGTTGGCTTCCTGAACACATTGAAAGAGAGTCCAGGAACATATCCTTTTGCACCCTCTACTTTGTCATTATTAGATCTGTTTCAACTCACTCTAGTTCTGTATAAGAACACTTTGAAAGTTAAAAAGCTTTCTTATTATCTGTAGGTCTTGTCTCAAATACCACACTTTTTTTTTTTTCAATGCTTTTTTCCAAAATATTCATAAGGAAAAGTAGGTACTACTTTGTCAGCCTGCTGGTTCTACAAATATAACATATACAAAGGGTGGAACTTTAGTCAAGCTCCAAGTCTTTTTCCAACTTTGTAATTTGCCCAGAATCTGTGTACTTGCCTCTCTCCAGCAAGTATACCGCATTATGTAAAGATTGCGGTGCCTAGGTAGAAGACCCTGTGGAACAGACAATCCTTCAAAAACAAGTGAAGTCGGTTCCAGGGTCAAAAAATGGTCCAGTAGCATCAGTGAGAACTGAGTAATGGATCCGCTAGCTCTCAACCGTGAGATCCAAAACATGACAGAGCCACTTCAAGTGGAAGACAATGTCTGCACTAATATAGTAGCAGAGCCCCAAATAACAGATGATAATTATCAATGAAATGGAAAGGTCTTTCTGTCATTTTCCAACATTCTTCTTTTTTCTCTACACTTTATTTAATGTGTGTATTCTGATCAGTTAAATGTACAATAGCATCTCACAGTTTGTTCAAAAAAATATATAAATTCATATTAATGGAAGAAGAGTCTCAATTGATATGCTTGCATGCTTAGAAATCCCCCTTATAAATGAATGGGACACACTTAAACATGGGCAGAACAGTTTTTTGTTCACTTGTTAAAAATGATAGGAGACGAACAGACACTTCAGAGCTGTATTGTACATGTTAAGTTTATATTTTATATATTTGTAATTATGTGTGATGCCCGAAGCATCTTTTTAATTGGTTTTGGCAAATATGATACTTATCGTGCTTAAGCAATTAGTTTTCTAATTGGTGTTGTTGGAAAATATTTATGCAATTCTAGATCTAAACCTTGTCAAAACACATTTTTTACACTTGTGGATGTCACTCACAATACTCTTTATTGCTCTACTGCATTTTGCAAGGATCCATTATTTTGCTGTCCTTGAAGTGTGTGCCAGCATTGCTTTGGGTGTGTTTTGGGCGTAAAATGACGTATTCCTCCTTAACAGATTCTTCACTGTTCTAGAAGTGTTTATCTGTTTCTTCACACTCTGGTCTGTTGTGGGTCTTACTGGCTTCCACACGTTCTTGGTTTCCTTGAACCAAACTACAAATGAAGATGTGAGTATATTAATCTCACATTCCCTTTACAGTACTTTACCAGTGGTTCTAATATATTATGACACAAAAAATACTTGTTTTAACCAACAGGGGTTTATGTATTAACAAGGCATATTTAGAAAACAAATAACAGTTATATATCTCTGTAAACTACGTGTGAGCCAGAATCATGTTTATGTAAGTTTCTCTTTTTTTTAAATTTAATTTTATTTTTTATACCTCCATTCTATTTTTTTCAGTGTCTTTCCTCACCTGTGGATGTGACTGATAACTTTAGTCAGTATTTCAAAACATTATTAAAGGGACACTTGGGGCACCCAGACCACTTCAGCTAATTGAAGTAGTCTGGGTACAGTGTCGCTTTTGCACTTAGTGCTGCAATGTAACACATTGCAGTTCCAGAGAAACTGCAATGTTTACATTACAGCTCTAAATCCACCCCCAGGGGCTGTCTCACAGAATCGCTTCCTGAATCCAAACGGACCTTTGGTCCGGTATCTGACGCTGGACATCCTCACACTCTGTATGATGACATCCAGCTTCAGATTTTTCCCCATAGGAAAACATTGCTTTAATGCTTTCATATAGGGAGGTATAATGCATGCACAACACTTGCCGTGCATGCGCATTAGCGTCCGCCTGTCGCTGGAGGGGACGACGACAATGAGTCTTTAAATTATTTTATTACATGGTTTGTCATTGATCATTAATGGTTAAAGGGTTACTCCAACCACTATGACAACTTCTGCTATATGAAGCGGTCGTGGTGGTAGGAGTTTAGATGTGCAGTCTTATAGCTTGAAACATTGAACATCTAGAGTAATTATCACTTTTGTACCGGTGGAAAGTTGCGCCCCAATGTCAGTTGTGCTGCCAATGTCAATACGGTGTATATCTAACATCTGTCGTCAGTGCACGCGGCACACTAGCAATAGACTTAAAGGGGATTTTGTTCCTCTCCCTTTCCTCACTACAGCCCTCCCACCTCCCTTTCCCGTCTGCATAGAGTTTTTTTGTTTTCTATCCCCTCCCTGTCTCCTCCCCTTGCTAGAGCAGAGCATGTGCATGCGTTCTGAGCCACTAAATGGTCAAATGAAAGGCTTCTGTAACAGTCTGCTGACATCATCAGAAGTGGTAGCCTGATCCAATCACAATGCTTCCCCACAGGATTGGCTGAGACTGACAAAGAGGCAGATCAGGGGCAGAGCCAGCATCAGGGCCGCCATCAGAAAATTTGGGGCCCATGACAAAGCACAAGGTCTGGGCCCCCCCCTCCCTCCTCGCGGGCCCGCCCACGCCCTACCTAGTCCGCTCACAATGATGCAGGACTGAATGTGGTGTGTGTATAGTGGAAGTGAATTAGAATGTGTGTAATGGATGTAGTGTTTGTGTGTATTAGATACTGTTTGTGCAATGAATGCAGAGTGTGTGTTTGTGTAGCGGATGCAGTGTGTATAGTGAACGCAGAGTGTTTTTGAGTAGTGGATGTAGTTTGTGTACAGTGATGTAGTGTGTGTTTGTGTAGTGGATGTAGTGTTTGTATGTACTAGATGAAATGTGTTTAGTGGATGCAGTGTCTGTAGTGTGTGTATCAGACGCAGTGTCTGTGTATAGTGAATGCAGAGTGTTTCAATTTGTGGTGGATGTAGTGTGTGTACTGTGAATACAGGATGTTTGTGTAGTGGATGCTGTGTGTACAGTTAATGCAGAGTGTATGTTAGTGTAGTGAATGCAGAGTGTGTGTCAGTATAGTGAATCCAGAGTGTGTGCATAGTTTAGTGAATGCAGAGTGTGTGTTAGTGTGTAGTGAATGCAGAGTGTGTCAGTGTAATGAATGTAGTGTGTGTTAGTGCAGTGAATGCAGAGTGTGTGTAAATTGTAGTGAATGCAGAGAGTGTTTAGTATGTAGCGGATGCAGTGTGTGTGTTAGTGTAGTGAATGCAGAGAGTTGTTAGTGTGTGTGTAGTGGTTAGTGTGTGCGGTGCAGAGTGTGTGTGTGTGTGTAGCGGTGGATGTGTGTTGCGTTAGTGTATGCAGTGTGTGTGTGTGTTAGTGTATGCAGTGTGTGTTGTGTTAGTGTGTATGCAGTGTGTGTGTTGTGTTAGTGTATGCAGTGTGTGTTGTGTTAGTGTATGCAGTGTGTGTGTGTTGTGTTAGTGAATGCAGTGTATGTGTGTGTTATTGTATGCAGTGTGTGTGTGTGTTATTGTATGCAGTGTGTGTGTTGTGTTATTGTATGCAGTGTGTGTGTTGTGTGTTGTATGCAGTGTGTGTTGTGTTAGTGAATGCAGTGTATGTGTGTATTAAAGAAAAAATTCCAAAAAGGCTGCTTTACTAGAATGCAGCAAATAGGAAAAGAACCCAGTCCAATCTCAAAAAGAAGTAGTATAAATAATACCAAAAATAATAAAACTTTATTAGGATAAAAAGTTGACCAAAAAAGTCTAAGGTCTAGTACTAGGAGGGGTATAAAACATATACAAAAGCCTGCCAGACTGCCAAAAGGAAAAAAGGCAGTGAACTAAGCTTGTATTGCATATACCTTAGTGAATAGCAGCATAGGTAACCTTAATAGGAGAGAGAGGCTGCATATATGGTATATAGTATTAGGCAACCCAAAAAAGGGGGGAGGAGGGGAAATGCCCCAATTGTAACATAAAGGGAACCAATAAAATACCAATACTCAAAATCAAAACCTCCCCCCACCTTAATACCTTCCCAAATCGAAAGAACAATCCTAAGGTAGAGACAACACTCTAAGCTAATACACTATCTCCTAAACAACACCTTCGTGGGTGTTCTAATCTATAATCTAAACCTAGACCATAGTCAAATAGATAATGTGCCCAGTGCTCGTTAGTGCAAAAACAAAAAACCCAACACGCGTTTCGGCGAAACTACACGCCGTCCTCAGGGGTATTGCAAAACGAAGCTATCCCTGCCCTGTAATTTATACCCATGCTAATTCTCTTACACCTGAACGGCGGCCAATGAGTGCCTCCTGCAATTAGGTCACCGCACCAATAATATCATTAGAGGGGCGGGACACAAATGCCAGCACCCAATCAATAGGTGTTCAGTCTCTCCGGTCGCTACACCAATAAGATTGTGGGGGCGTGATATACACGTCGCCGCTCACAAAAAAGAAACCGTGAGCGGCCGGAGTAATCAAAAAGCCGGTCCAGTGATTTAACCCCTCATGTCCCACAAACATCATCCATATAGGGCATCTCTTCACAATCAGGGGCAAATAAAACTGAGACAATACCATCTGACCCAATGACAAACCCTAAATGATCCCAAACGAAAAAATAGATCACTTAGGTTAAAAGGTCAGAAAAAGCAAAATAATTAACAATGTCTAAACAGAAAATTGCCGCTGAAAAAAGGTTAAGATGTTGCCAGTGTGTCCATGTTTGAGCACAGTACATATTCAAACAAGGTCTAAAGAGCAAATAAGTAACTGTGTCTAATTGTAAGTACTATGTTGCCACTAGGATGTATTATATTATAAGTGTATCTATGAACAAACACTTTACTTTATCAGCACAAATACAACCATAATCCATGGCATATAGAATAAGACACCTTAATATGATATGAGAATGAGGGTAATAAATGGGTGTAAAAGTAAGAAGGAAAAAGGGCAATAAGGGGTAGCAACCAAATAAATAAAAAACTAATAAAGAGTATATATACATATGTACAAACTTAACAAGAGATACCTTAAAGGTATTGCCATTCTATTAAATAAACGGGGAGTAAGAAAACCCTTCATTCAGCCCAAGTGGGGACAGAGTTTTGAGGCGATAAATCCAAAAAGCCTCTCTTTGTCTTAATCTCTGATCCCAGTTTCCTTTGCGCGGTGGTTGTGGTATATGTTCCAGACCCATAAACCGGATACCTGCTGAGGAATGATTGTGATGTAAATGTAAATGTCTAGAGACTGGTGTCTCCAAATGTCTCCTGACAGAATTTACATGTTCACGTATCCTGAGTCTGAAATGACGAAAAGTCTTGCCCACATATTTCAAACCGCAGGAGCAAGTCAATAGGTAAATTACCCCAGTTGTGTGACAGTTAAAGAAAGAGTGGGGTTTAAATTTCTCCCTATCCCCACTATCAGAAAACGTCTTGGAGTGTCTATTAATAAATGGGCAGGCACTACAGCAGGTATCCGGTTTATGGGTCTGGAACATATACCACAACCACCGCGCAAAGGAAACTGGGATCAGAGATTAAGACAAAGAGAGGCTTTTTGGATTTATCACCTCAAAACTCTGTCCCCACTTGGGCTGAATGAAGGGTTTTCTTACTCCCGTTTATTTAATAGAATGGCAATACCTTTAAGGTATCTCTTGTTAAGTTTGTACATATGTATATATACTCTTTATTAGTTTTTTATTTATTTGGTTGCTACCCCTTATTGCCCTTTTTCCTTCTTACTTTTACACCCATTTATTACCCTCATTCTCATATCATATTAAGGTGTCTTATTCTATATGCCATGGATTATGGTTGTATTTGTGCTGATAAAGTAAAGTGTTTGTTCATAGATACACTTATAATATAATACATCCTAGTGGCAACATAGTACTTACAATTAGACACCGTTACTTATTTGCTCTGTAGACCTTGTTTGAATATGTACTGTGCTCAAACATGGACACACTGGCAACATCTTAACCTTTTTTCAGCGGCAATTTCCTGTTTAGACATTGTTAATTATTTTGCTTTTTCTGACCTTTTAACCTAAGTGATCTATTTTTTCGTTTGGGATCATTTAGGGTTTGTCATTGGGTCAGATGGTATTGTCTCAGTTTTATTTGCCCCTGATTGTGAAGAGATGCCCTATATGGATGATGTTTGTGGGACATGAGGGGTTAAATCACTGGACCGGCTTTTTGATTACTCCGGCCGCTCACGGTTTCTTTTTTGTGAGCGGCAACGTGTATATCACGCCCCCACAATCTTATTGGTGTAGCGACCGGAGAGACTGAACACCCATTGATTGGGTGCTGGCATTTGTGTCCCGCCCCTCTGATGATATTATTGGTGCGGTGACCTAATTGCAGGAGGCACTCATTGGCCGCCGTTCAGGTGTAAGAGAATTAGCATGGGTATAAATTACAGGGCAGGGATAGCTTCGTTTTGCAATACCCCTGAGGACGGCGTGTAGTTTCGCCGAAACGCGTGTTGGGTTTTTTGTTTTTGCACTAACGAGCACTGGGCACATTATCTATTTGACTATGGTCTAGGTTTAGATTATAGATTAGAACACCCACGAAGGTGTTGTTTAGGAGATAGTGTATTAGCTTAGAGTGTTGTCTCTACCTTAGGATTGTCCTTTCGATTTGGGAAGGTATTAAGGTGGGGGGAGGTTTTGATTTTGAGTATTGGTATTTTATTGGTTCCCTTTATGTTATAATTGGGGCATTTCCCCCCCCCCCCCTTTTTTTGGGTTGCCTAATACTATATACCATATATGCAGCCTCTCTCTCCTATTAAGGTTACCTATGCTGCTATTCACTAAGGTATATGCAATACAAGCTTAGTTCACTGCCTTTTTTCCTTTTGGCAGTCTGGCAGGCTTTTGTATATGTTTTATACCCCTCCTAGTACTAGACCTTAGACTTTTTTGGTCAACTTTTTATCCTAATAAAGTTTTATTATTTTTGGTATTATTTATACTACTTCTTTTTGAGATTGGACTGGGTTCTTTTCCTATTGGCTGCATTCTAGTAAAGCAGCCTTTTTGGAATTTTTTCTTTAATTCATTATCTCTTGGGTTATCCCCTATTACCCAGTTTAGGTGACCATACTTACCCAGGGGAAGGGAGGGGGGCAAGGGATTTTTTCTCTGTCCCTACCTTCCGGTACCCTGTGTATGTCTTTCTATTTTTTTATTCAGTGTATGTGTGTGTTATTGTATGCAGTGTGTGTTGTGTTAGTGAATGCAGTGTATGTGTGTGTTATTGTATGCAGTGTGTGTTGTGTTAGTGAATGCAGTGTATGTGTGTGTTATTGTATGCAGTGTGTGTGTTAGTGTATGCAGTGTGTGTGTTGTGTTAGTGTATGCAGTGTGTGTGTGTGTGTTAGTGAATGCAGTGTATGTATGTTATTGTATGCAGTGTGTGTTGTGTTAGTGTATGCAGTGTGTGTTGTGTTAGTGTATGCAGTGTGTGTTGTGTTGGTGAATGCAGTGTATGTGTGTGTTTTTGTATGCAGTGTGTGTTGTGTTAGTGTATGCAGTGTGTGTTGTGTTGGTGAATGCAGGGTATGTGTGTGTTATTGTATGCAGTGTGTGTTGTGTTAGTGTATGCAGTGTGTGTTGTGTTAGTGAATGCAGTGTATGTGTGTTAGTGTATGCAGTGTGTGTGTGTTAGTGTATGCAGTGTATGTGTTGTGTTAGTGAATGCAGTGTATGTGTGTGTTAGTGTATGCAGTGTGTGTGTTAGTGTATGCAGTGTGTGTGTTAGTGTATGCAGTGTGTGTGTGTGTTAGTGTATGCAGTGTATGTGTGTGTTATTGTATGCAGTGTGTGTGTTGTGTTAGTGTATGCAGTGTGTGTGTGTGTGTTAGTGAATGCAGTGTATGTGTGTTATTGTATGCAGTGTGTGTTGTGTTAGTGTATGCAGTGTATGTGTGTGTTAGTGAATGCAGTGTGTGTGTGTGTTATTGTATGCAGTGTGTGTGTGTTAGTGTATGCAGTGTATGTGTGTGTTATTGTATGCAGTGTGTGTTGTGTTAGTGTATGCAGTGTGTGTTGTGTTAGTGAATGCAGTGTATGTGTGTGTTAGTGTATGCAGTGTGTGTGTGTGTGTTAGTGTATGCAGGGTATGTGTTGTGTTAGTGAATGCAGTGTATGTGTGTGTTAGTGTATGCAGTGTATGTGTGTGTTAGTGTATGCAGTGTATGTGTGTTAGTGAATGCAGTGTATGTGTGTGTTATTGTATGCAGTGTGTTGTTAGTGTATGCAGTGTGTGTGTTGTGTTAGTGAATGCAGTGTGTGTGTGTTAGTGTATGCAGTGTATGTGTGTGTTATTGTATGCAGTGTGTGTGTTGTGTTAGTGTATGCAGTGTGTGTGTTATTGTATGCAGTGTGTGTGTGTGTTAGTGTATGCAGTGTATGTGTGTGTTATTGTATGCAGTGTATGTGTGTGTTAGTGTATGCAGTGTGTGTGTGTTGTGTTAGTGTATGCAGTGTGTGTGCTATTGTATGCAGTGTGTGTTGTTAGTGTGTGATCTGGGGGGAGGGGGAGGAAGGGGCATTTTAACATTAATTTTTTATTGATTTAATTAAATGTTTCTCCCCCCTCCCTGCTTACCTGTGTCCATGGAGGGGGGAGATTCCATCCCTGGTGGTCCAGTGGGGGGCCCCCCGGCTCCCTGTTACCGCAGAGGGGGCCCAGGCAGCACACAGCTTCTCCTCTCTTCTCATAACTCTCGCGAGACCCGGTTACCATGGCAACGCTCCGCGGGTCTCGCGAGAGTTATGAGAAGAGAGAAGACAGGAGAAGAAGCTGTGTTCTGCCTGGCTGGGCCCCCTCTGCGGTAACAGGGAGCAGGGGGCCCGCGGCTGCACACATAGATAGCGATATGCGCTATCTATGTGTGCAGAAAGGGAAAGTGGGGCCCAGGACTGCCAGAGCAGTCCGGGCCCCCCAGGGCCGCCGGGCCCGTGACAACAGTCACGGTTGTCACCCCCTGATGGCGGCCCTGGCCAGCATGATTCAAACACAGCCCTGGCCAATCAGCATCTTCTCATAGAGATGAATTGAATCAATGAATCTCTATGAGGAAAGTTCAGTGTCTGCATGCAGAGGGAGGAGACACAGTGCTGCCCTGTGCTCTGCTGACAGCAGATCTGAGTGGATTGAGGAGTTTTATGCCTCAATCAACTCCGAAGTCCCTCTGGTGGCATTCTGAGTGACTGCAACTGGAGGTGTTCCTAGCCTTCAATGTAAACACTGTATTTTCTCAGAAAATACAGTGTTTACATGAGAGGCTGCAGGGTTTTCTCAGAAAATAGTGTTTACATGAGAAAGGCTGCAGGGAGCTATAGTTCTCACCTGAACAACCTCATTAAACTGAAGTTGTTCAGGTGACTATAGTGTCCCTTAAGATAGAAAACAGTGACAGATGGATTTGGACCCAAAATAGGAACTGTCATTTAAAAAAAGGATAAACGGGAGGTATAAAATCCTGGGATCCAACCCCCATAATAGGTATTGTGGTGTGCAACACACATTACAGTGGAGCTGTCAACGTTGACTATATTAAGTGATCTACATTTGCTAGCTAACAAGAACATGCAGTATTTTCATTATTCAGTTTCTGCAATGGTTTAATATTCTCTTTCCAGATAAAAGGCTCTTGGACCGGCAAAAACAGAGTTCAAAACCCATACAGTCATGGTAATCTAGCGAAGAACTGCTGTGAAGTTTTATGTGGGCCTGTGCAACCGAGGTACTGGCCATTTGGTTGCCTTTTCTAGTAGTTTACGTAATTCAAACTGATTTATGGTTATTTTTTGTCTTTTTCTTTCATTGAATGCACAATTGTTCTAACCCCAAATCGGGCCTGAAGCATGATTGACAGCATGATAGCATTGAGTTAAAAATGCCAATATAATGAAAAATTTACAATTAAAAATTAAAATTAAAGTGACACTATAGTCACCCAGGCCACTTCAGCTCAATGAAGTGATCTCGGTGCCAGGTCCCTCAGGTTTTAACCCTTCACATGCAAACATAGCAAGTTCAGAGAAGCTGCTATGTTTACATTTGGGGTTAAGCAAGCCTCTAGTGGCTGTCTTCCGGACGGCCACTAGAGGCGCATCTGCGACGCTGGAGGCATATTATGCCTCCATCACGCAGAGCGTCCATAGGAAAGCATTGAGAAATGCTTTCCTATGGACACTTTGAATGCGCGCACGGCTCTTGCCGCGCATGCACATTCCGCTCGCTGACGTCGGCGGGGGAGGAAAGGTCACCAGCGCCAAGGGAGCCTGGCGCTGGAATAAGGTAAGCTGCGCGCTATGGGAGGGGGACCCTGAGGGTGGGGGCACCCTTAGGGCACTATAGTGTCAGGAAAACCGCTTTGTTTTCCTGACACTATAGTGATCCTTTAAATCTTTGCCTTGCTAGCACAATATATAGATAGGATTTTACTCTCAAAATTGTGAAAACCATCATGCATGACAAGACTTTAGTGTAACATTGCAGTATACGTGGGAAGTTCAAGAATAAATTAAAACATGTGCATTATTATAAAAATGGTCCTAAAACACCAGCGGGCAAACAGATCAAAAAATAAGCCCCATTTGTTATTTCTAATATGCAGGACTGTCACAGATGGGATGGTGGCCCTGTCACTTCATGGGGTAAAAAGCTTCTAAATGTCTTTGTACAGTGTCTTAGCTATTTCTGCACACGCAATAGCTAAAGCACTGAGTGATAGCTCCTATTCTCACCCTGTGATTGAGCTAATTTGTAATTATATCATCACCCAGATTAATATGATACCTGTTCCTTCTGAAATGTTACCTTGTCCTTCCTTTCAATCTATTTTGCCCTTGCCATTTTAAAGGTTAATATGCAGACTTTCTCCTCAATAAATGTGTCCTTACACAGTAGGTTAGATGGTCTTAAGCTAGAAACATAGTTTCTGCAATTTTCCCTTCACCTTGCCACACGTTAGGGTTAAACTTTAAAAGTGATGTGCAATCACGTGTCCCTGGGCTCCAGCGGAGGAATTCAATCAAAGCAGAAGGAGTGTGTACCATAGCTGTGTCCATGAGCAAAATGAAACTGTAGCATCTTGAGTTAAAACATAATTTATTATCCAGTAAAGGAAAAAAATAATAATAAATTGACCCCAAAATGCTGCAATAAAATAGCTTAGAGGCAGCTCACCAACAGCAAGCTAATTCATTATGCATGATTGGCAGTCCAGTGCACAGGGTGCTTTCTGGGTAATAAAAACTAAGTCTTAACACAACATATTTTGAGCTTGTTTTGCTTGTGGACTTACCTGTGTTATACGTTTCATACAAAACTTACTGTGCTAAGATTAACAGTAATTGCATTAGAAAAAAAAATCAGAGTATTTGTTTTTTTTTACCTGCAGAGGGAGACGTGACCCTTCAATCCCATTTAATGCTCCCCAACACAACTCCTGTCCTCTAAACCCATATTTTGGTTCAGGTGATCCGAAAATTTTCACTAAAACGTAAAACTGTCATTCACTAAAGCAGTGGTTCCCAATCATGGCACACATCCTTCTTACAATTAGTAAAATACTTTATTTTTGTGCTAATGCATTTGACCTAAAAATTAATATAAGACACAGGAAGTAGTACAAAGTGTAATATGCTCATTTAGTATAAAACACAATTTGCAATATATAATATTCTCTCAAACACTAGAAACCCTTGCTATAACTTTACGTTTTGCGTTATCATTTAATAGCAGCAAATTGATGGTAAGTATTTTTCACAACTTTTTTTGAAGTCATGCATTACAGATTGTTTAAAAAATGTAAAGGTATTACAAAGGATGTAAATGGTAATGGGATCTCCAGCTATCTGCTATTCAAAAAGCCGTTCTGGAGAAATTAATGTTTTGCTTCATTGCAGCATGCTCGATAGAAGAGGGATACTACAGGAACAAGCTGGACATTCAGGACAATCTGAACAAGAAAATTGCACTACACAGCAGGATCCGGTATGTACCATGCCAAATGGTTTGCTGCAGTTGCCCTCCCCCTCCTTGGTGGATCAATGGAAAATAAAAATGAGGCTGTGTACGTGTAACATTGTATTAAGCTGAATTAAAGGAAGGCTCTATGCACCATATCCACTATAGTTAACCAGCACCCATTGCTTACAGCCTATTATCGCTACCATAGATCTTTTGTTTTTGTGTGTTTTGTTTTTTTTGGTTAGCTAACAGCTTGCAAACCTAGACAATATGTTATTATGTTTGGATAATAACTTAAGTTTAACAATTTAGGATATTTATGGTGACATCGTTATGTGTTTATGTGTGTGTGAACATATTTAGGGTTAGTTAAAAGTCATGACCACTAAAAAGGCACTTGATATATAATAATAAATAATGCAAAAACACATAGCAACCTTTTACTGCTAGCAGACTCTGTTACTGTACCTGTGTCGTAGCAGCAAGTCTCAGAAGCCATGTGCCATTGTGGCATCTCCTCCTCTGGAGCCAAGTATCATTTGACACAGACAAACTACAAAGTGTCATCTCTGTATCTGCCCCTACTTACCTTCTGGCGATGCACAATTAATGCTTTACAACAGGGGTGCCAAGAAGTTAATCCCCCAGATGTTGTAGAACTACAATCCCCATGATGCTTTGCATGCCTTCAGAGTGCTTTTAGAATTACAAAGCATAATGGAAGCTGTAGTTTTTAAAAACTGGGGATCTACTTTTTCGATACCCCTGCTTTAAAATAAGAGATCTGTGCACTATTAAAAGCCTTTTATCAGAGTATCGTAACCTTTTTGTTGATTTTTGCCCTCTAGCTCCTTATATTTACCTGTTGATTCAATGTTTGACCAAACTTACGTCTTGCTGCTACTGACTTCTGTTATCCTTGACCCGGTTTGACTCCTCAATGCTTTGTACCTTCCCCAGAACACAGCTATCCTATGAATATTTTTTCATTCCAGTTACCTCTCAAAGGTCTTTATTTGCATTAAAGGGACACTCCAGGCACCCAGACCACTTCTGCCCATTGGAGTGGTCTGGGTGCCAACCCCCACTACCCTTAACCCTGCAAGTGTAAATATTACAGTTTTCATAAACTGCAATATTTACATTGCAGGGTTAACTCCTCCTCTAGTGGCTGTCTACTATCTGGCTCTGACTCAGTCTAACGATATCTTGTTTCATACAGTATTGTATTATTGGTGACTGATTCTCTGCTGTTGGATCCAACCAGTTTCTTACACCTGCAACGTTTGGTGCAGGATGGATTTATAGCAAAGTAAAACAGTAAATTTATAGACTTACAGGAATTTTCACTCACCCTGTAGCTTTAAAATATAATGGCTTAAGCTTGTGATTAAATTCATATTGACCAATCCCCAAATGCTGATGTGTGCATTTTGCGTAGCAGCACGCTCTGAATTCTTGCATACTGTTATCGTCATTTGGCAATAGGCATACGTGCATACACGTTTTTAATATTTATACTTCTCTTCCTATAGTAACCTCAAAATAAAGTTTTAAAACATTATGTGTATTGTAGCCATTTGGATTTTTAAATGTAAAAAAATGAGGTACTGATCTATATGTTGGCATTTTATAAATGCAAATATTATTAATAATAATAATAATTACATTTTTAGAAAATGTACTACACCTGGCATTTGTTTGCTGTGTTTTCAGAGGGTTTAAAAGTCTTATATATCACATGGAGCAAATGACATGAACATTTTTTTTTTTTTTTTAAGGTTGCTGCTGCTGCTCCGCTGATGTCCACCGAGTCAACTGAAAATTCCCAACTCCCACAGGAGAAGCCACAACCCAACTCTCTTGAAATGTCCATTCAGATTCCCAAAGATGCCAGCGAAACAAAAAATGTGGAAAAGTAGCTGCATCCATTTTTTTTTAAATCAATTAATGAAAAAGGCAAATCTAACAAAAGAGAAGAGCAACAGGAACGTGACAGATGACCCTATATGCCATTTTCTTTAGTATTTGCTTGTGTTAATTATGAAGGTAATGTTTTTGCAAGATGGAGAACCCTCTTTATCAGCTTGGAAAAAGTGCTTATTTAAACAGACTTGAGGTGCTAGTTGAATATGCCAATAACATACCTGAAATCATTTAGTTGAAGAAAGAAATTAACCTGACTGAAAGTTGCAATTTCGCCTCATTGGAGCTGGTTCTTCAAGCTGCACCTGATCCTTCCTCTCGAAGGAATAAGAGAAAGTAGACATTGTGTATCGGAGCAAGCAGGCAGAGCTTGTGCGTTTGTTTCTCCGGAGGACAATATAGGTCTTACAGCTAGCGAGCTGCTTGATCTATAGTGGTAACATTGTGTCATATAATTGTCACCTTAATTGAAAATATGCATTGCTTTTTTGCTAGCCAAGCCCATTTCCAAGAGGCTGGTTGGACAAAACCCTGGTTCTCAAAGCTTTGCTAAATTCAGAGAACCAGAGAAAGGTGTTGAAAAGGAATATACTGGGAAAACCTTCCAAAACAGATAAACCAGAAAATTTGGCTTTCCTACATTATATACATAAGAAGCGCCAACCCTCCTCTTTTCTTTACTTATGTTTAATATGAGGGGAAGGTTCCAAAAATGTTTGTCATGTGGTGTACTCATTTCCATGTTCCCTTGTTTTATAAGGTTTGTCCTCAATATTTAGAGTTAGTGGTCTTGCAGAAGTGACATATCTATAGGTAGAAATAGGCTATGTAGAGGCCAGTTTGTGTCCCAATATTTTTTATCTCCTATTGATGCGCCTAAGAGGCTTTTTTGGACCTCTTCTGAATTGCAGAAACAATCTTGCTGCTGATGATCTGTTGTATTATAATGCTCCAAAGTGTTAAAATGAGTTTAAAATTTAAAATAATTTATTAATTGTTCATACAGTGTTTTTATATGTTATTTAATATTTGTTTTCTTTTAGATGAACATCAGTTTTATTTAGATTTGCATACACCAAGGGCATAGCTAAATTTGTGCTGATTGTACAACAATTTAGCCATGATTTAGAAAAATAATTGTTGATTAACAAAACTATAACGTATATAATGCGTACATAATTCTGGGTTAGAGATGCATCTTTCTTGTAGTGCTAATCATAAAAGATGGTCTTCCAGAAGCGAAATAACCATTGCAATTTTTTATAATAAATTTTATAATTTGGGAAAAAACTTTTTTTTCTTACATTAGATCTTATTATAGATGTGGTTCACTGGACTGAACCTACATAAGTTTTTTTGTTTTTTGTTGTTGTTGTTTTTGTTTTGTTTTTTTGTTTGTTTGTTTGTTTTTTGATTATTTTTTTTTTGGGGGGGGGGAGCAGATTTCGGCCTTTCAGAATTCTCCCTGGATAGTGGACCCTACTCAACCTTTAAATATAGAGCTCTATTCTATATCATTAAAGAGTGACCATTGTGGCATTATAATGCTGAAGCGTAGGTTTGGTTTTCATTGTTATGCAAGAGGTAGTATAGTGTTCCAAAGACCTGGATTAAAATCCTGAGATGCAGAAGACCTGATTTATTGCAACATGCCAAATGGTTGATATTCTTAAACTATTTATGCAAAGCCCATTTGGCTAGTACATGAACATGGAAGTCATTCATCAAAAAGGCTAACTGAGATGCTTTTATATGAATGTGTTGAAGCCTCCATTACCACGATGATGGAATCTCCCTTACTCTGCACAGTAGTGAGATTAATTTTGTTGACACATCTAGTTCACTTATATTGTGATGACAAAAATCCAGGTGGTGGAACCTTCGTTGACTCGGTAATGAGAATCCTTTTATATATATATTTTTTTGTTGCTTGGCGAAGAAAAGATAAAATATAGCACAGTGCTGTCTGGCATATTTAATGTCTAACTGCCACCGACTCCAGGCTACATGGATTTCCATAGTTTAACTAAAATCACCGTACACCTTTTGCTCTCCCAGTAATGAGAAATGACAGTTCAAAGGTGTGTCTTGTGTGACACATTGATTATATCTTAATGATATTATTTGGGTCAATAGACGTTAATAAATACTGTTGATGAACTATCAGTTTTTTGATATACTTCCTGTTGATGTGGCAGTAGTAGTCTCATCTATTTGCTTGCTATATTCAGAAAATAAATGCAGACAAGCATATTTTCACATATCTGTGGCAAAAAAGAAAAGAAAAGGGAAAAAAAGAGTGTAATATATCTATCATATAGAGGGGTCAAGTTAAACAAGGGACTGCTTTGTTCTGCAAGATTTCGATTCCTGTTTAAACATCTTGACAAGGTGTTTTTTTTGTTCTTTGTCTCAGGTATTTATTTCCATGAGTTGATGTGGAGTATTTTTGGAGCACTCTTTATAATTCAGGTTTTTTCCCCCACATCCAAGGGGTCTGACATGACAGTATGTCATGAGCTGCATCATGTGCTTCCCAGATTATACACCCCTGTCTATTAAACTCATGAACTGAATGGATAAGGGCTTTGTAAGACTATCAATCCTGTGCATTAGCATATCCATCTGTAGCAAGTAGCAAGCATCACTATTTGGCATGATTCTCATTTTATTTTAAAACAAAAAATCTTTGCAGCAAAAGCCATTTCACGTGGTGAAAAGCAATTTGAGCCATAAATGAGGTTGTATCTAAGTTGTACTCGGTGTGAAGTCAAGCTTGTCTTTGTCGTTTTCTTGGGTGCATTAGAATACAATGGTTTGTTTTGTCCCATCTTTGTTTCACTAACAAATACATACGTGCAATCAGAATAAAATTATTACAGGACGTTTGTTCTTATTTTACATTTCTGTATGTATCTCCCAGATTGTCTTCAATAAGCTGCACCATAAACAGTGGGTACTTTAATTGTGTTCTTTATCTCCGAAGCTTTGTGAAAGAATATTGAGAATCGTAATTTTGAAGAAGCACTTAAAGGAGGCAGTAATGGGTGTTCTTTTACACTTTTTTTTTTCCAATAAACAAGCGTGTTAATTGATGTGTAACAACCTTTTGTGTGCATTCTTGCTGCTATGACTTAGCTGCTTTATCCTCTTGTGCGTCTACTTCCTCTGCTGAGCTTCTACATCATGCATGATGGAGATCTTTGGATCTCGATGGTTAGTGGATGGATATAAATCCTGATCTAAAACACGGATGCAATGGCTCTTCCATCACATGGTGCATATTTATGGTAATTCTATGGTGTAACCCGTTGACCATGAGATTGATAGGTCTCTGAAATAAAAAATGCTTTTTATGTTAACTTTTTCTTTCTAGCAAAGTCATCAACTTATGCTTTTGGCAGTGATCGAGTTCGAAGGAGAACCTGGGAATATCTGGTAGGGTTTTTCACTAAAGTGAGAATTGAAAGAGGATCTAAAATTTAAGCCCAATATAACCAAACTGTAAAAAATATTTAAATTGACTATGTTTCCAGTTCAGTTACTTTGGCTTTCATTTTAAAATTAATTTTGAATTCTCACTCTAGTGAATAACCCTGTGGGTGTTGGTGTAATGTCATAACAATGGTAAATGTGACATGGAAGGCTGTTCTTTCCATTTAGATTACATCTGTTATCTATACTGCTTTTTTCAACCTGTATAAGACTACATACCTATTAAAAGTGATGTCCCGAACGGTTCGCCGATTCGCCGCGGACTCATCATTGAGTAAACTTTGACCCTGTACCTCACAGTCAGCAGACACATTCCAGCCAATCAGCAGCAGACCCTCCCTCCCAGACCCTCCCACCTCCTGGACAGCTCACAGTGAAGCTGCATTCTTAAGTGGATGCTGTCCAGGAGGTGGGAGGGTCTGGGAGGGAGGGTCTGCTGCTGATTGGCTGGAATGTGTCTGCTGACTGTGAGGTACAGGGTCAAAGTTTACTCAATGATGAGTCCGCGGCAAACCGTTCGGGACATCACTACCTATTAATATACAGATTTATTTCTTTTTGTAAATGGCACACTTTGTTAAAAGTTTCTGCATTGCAATGTGTAATTAAACTTCTATAGTAGATAGCAATCTGAATATATAATAATAGCATAGTGATATAAACTGATATCGAGAAATCTCCATCTTTCATATGGAGACTCTACGTCTGCCAGCTGGTTGCCAAGTTTAAAGATGTCTACTCTGGGTGCTTTGAGTGGCTTGTAGTTCTCTCCAGAACATCTGGTTTATTCCCTTTCCAGGTGACCCCATTTTGTGTCTTGCAAAGGACTGCCTTCTTTCTGGGTGAGACATTTTTTTTATTTTTTATTTCTTTTCAGTGGACCCCTACTTTCTTCCCCTAATGGAACTGACTTGTAGAAATTCTCAAGTGTGGTGTAACACTTGAAATAGAATCCCCACACTCTTTTAACATACTTTTAATTTTATATTCATTCCCCTGACCTGTGTTTTATTCTTCAACATTAATTTGTTTCTTTGTGCTTTGCACCAGGTAAGAATTATGCCAAATTTAGAGATAAAGGATAGTCAATTACACACCTCGTGCTAGGTCTTCTATTATAAACTAAATTAGCATATATTTTTCTCCACTCTTTTTTTCTCTATCCCTTTGAAAAAATGAATACAATCTGATTGCTTTTCAGGGAGTATGTAGAATGGACATTCACTTCAGTACATGCAAAGACATAACCCAGAACTGGCACAAAGCAGCACATTATGGATGTTAATTAATTGCTAAACTAATAACTATTATTACCTATGTTATGTGAAAAAAAATCTGCAAAAAAAAGTAATTTCTGATAATATGTAATGACACAAAAATTCTAAAATTGTAAGAGATAATATTTTTGTTTTGTTATGTTTGTTCATGTGTTTTATCATGTAATGTCTGTTTCTAGACTGCGGTAATGTTAATGAAGTTGAGAAAAGCAAATGAGATTCTTTCCCTACCTATAGCTGCAATCTTACTTATTCTCCAGTGCATCTGTTACTATTATCGTACAAAGCTGTCTGTGCCTTTAGCATTTCTGTTAGCAGTTTGTCTGTTGTTTGCAGTATATGATGCTATTTGTGCACTGAATTGCATTGGTGCCTCTGTTTTGAATGCAATATACTGGATACACATAACTCGTCAGGTCAGTGAAGGGGCAGCCATATTGTGTTCTGTAGAGACCGCATGCAGAGGACCTGACTGGAAGAGCGGACAGTAAGAGAGGGGACCTAACTTAAAAAGTGAGGTTTTTTTTTTTCCCCAGTACTTGTAGAGAGGAGACATGATGCTAGCTATGAGATAATAATATATTAGGTTTAGATATTTTTTTAAATCTAAAATTGTGCATATTGTGACAAAAGTTAAAAGGTTTCCTGTCCTTTGCAGTGCTAAATTCAGGGTTACTGCCTATCAAAGGAGGAAGAATCATAACATAAAAAGGAGCTGTCACTTCTCTGAAATTGAATAGAACATTTAAAATCAGTTATAATGTGTATTAACCTTTTTCTCATGAAATGCTCTGGGTTTTGTTTTTTTAAATTTAGATAAAATAATTATGGAATCAGATCATAATCCCATTCAGACAAGCCAAAGCCAGGGCAAACTTTGCCAAGGCAGCAGAGAAATAGAAACCTTGTTAAATTTGTCCCAATTTCCGTATGATTTGCTAATGCTAACTGCCAGGTGGAAATTGCATAGTTTAACCCCTTAAGGACCAAACTTCTGGAATAAAAGGGAATCATGACATGTCACACATGGCATGTGTCCTTAAGGGGTTAAAGGAAACTTATAGTGTTAGGAAGACAAACCTGTATCCCTAGCACTATACTGCTTGATTACCTATCTCCCCCTTTTTCCAAAATGGAGTTAAAAATTAGTTTTACTTACTTTTTTTCTAGAGCCGTGCTGGTCTCACCAAGGCTGGCCTCCCCTCCGTGGCTCTGATCATCAATCTTGATGATCGCAGCCAATCCAATGCTTTCCCTTGGGGAAGCATTAAGAGACTATTGCCCATGCACGACAAAACCCCGCCCTGTGCCAATCAGCATTTTAATCAATTCATTAATGTGGGGTGCGTTCAGCTGCTCCATGCAGGGCCTGAAGACACTGAACATAGGTCCTGCAAAGATTGCTGGACCTAACCCAGGAAGTCCCTTTAGTCACAGTGACAGCCGTTAGAGGTGTTAGAGGTGTTACTAGGCAGCAATGTAAAGCTTGCCTTTTGTCTGAAAGGACAGCATTTACATTGCTGAACCTGCAGGGACAGACTATAGACACAAGAACCACTACATTAAGTTGTAGTTGTTCTGGGTTCAATAGTGTCCCTTTAAAATAGTGATTTACAGGGAGATAAAATGGAGGTGCCCAGCTGTAGGGTAAACAGGTGTAGTTTTCTACCATTAATTTTATTTTTCACACCTCACAAATACGTTAATAAAATATATGGATGCATAAAAAAAAATATTACAAATCTAGCAAAGTGACAGTTCCCGTTTAAGGCTTTGCGCATGGGACATGTAACAAAGGCAAAGTTGTGATAACATGTGTATCAGATTTCTCCTGAAATCCTTTGTAAATTTCTGAAATGAAAATGAGCAATTGGATGACACACACCTACCTATTAATGATGGATTGCTAAGTTATGCATTTTGTGTTTATTGAAAAATAACTTAATCTTTTTTATTTACCAATTTTTATTGCATGCACAATACCAGCGTATTCTCAGGATAAATATGTTTGTGTGAAAGAATTCTTTCAGATTGTGTGTTTAAAATTTATTTTGTATTAGCAGTGGGACTTTTCTCTAGACCTAAAACATATATCTATTTAATGTCATAACAAATAATATATACATTCTTACAATTAAACACCTGCAACATTGTAACATGCACACATCAAAAATAAAAATGCAAGGCCTCAATCCATTAGACTCTTAAAGCAAAAAAATTATCCAAAATCGGATGCATTTGTTATTGTTTACTTTTATTATTTATTTTTTATAGAAGGACGCCAGATTTTGCAGCATTGTACTAAATAGTTACAGACAAGCTGACGTTAGCAAAATGCACATGCAGAAGGAATTGAAGCGCCCTGCTCCTGTTTGATAAAACTATTAAAATATATGCAGTCTTTCCTGCTTTTGTCACATGCACAATCTTTTAGTTTTGATCTTCCCTTGATCGTTACCACATTTTGGGGAGGTGCTGAGTTGCGAGAAGTTGTGGGTATTGTTTTAGAAAGGAAGGTGTTTTCCAAAGGGTTAAAGATCAAATGGATCATGTTAAAGGGACACTAGAGTCACTAAAACAACTAATAAAGTTTTGTGTATCAATCATGCTTCTGCAGTCTCGCTGCTTAATTCTGCCATTTAGGAGTTAAATCACTTTGTTAATGGAGTCCTAGGCACACCTCCCTGCATGTGACGTACACAGAGTTCCTAAACACTTCCTGTAACGAGTCATCTAATGTTTATACTTCCTTTATTGCTAATTATGTTTAATTCCAAATTTCTTATCTCCTTCTCTGTTAATAGCTTGCAAAACCTTGCAGTAGCTTGTGGTATGTAATCAAAAGTTCAAATTACAGAACAGATAAAAACTTTTAAATTAAGCTACCTCTGATTTAAAATGAAAGCATTTTGTTTTCATGCAGGCTGTGTCAGTCACTGCCAGTGGAGGTATGTCTAGGGTTGCATAAACAGAAACAAAAGTGATTTAATTCCTAAATGGCAGAGAATTAATCCGTGAAACTTCAGAGGCATGATCTATACACAAACTGCTTCATTAAGCTAAAGTCGTGTTGGTGACTATAGTGTCCCTTTAAATAAACTACAATGGATGCTTGAATCAATGTTTTTATTATAATTTTTCAGTGTTATTCACTAAAGTGTTTATTGAAATAAATTCAACGTGAATTTTAAATTTTCAGTCCGGTTAGAAAATTTTTTTTGTCAATGTTTTTATTTTGGCCTAAAAATTTCAATTTACTTTGAATTCACAGCAATTCACACTAGACAGGGTCACTTACTAAAGTGATAATTATCGGAAATTCAATGTGAATTTCAAAGTTAAGGCCAAAGAAGTCAAATGGGAAGCATAGATGACTTGGAGAATATTTCCAGTTTGGCTGTTTTAGTCTTAAATATGAAATACAATACAAACACAATGGATGGAGCAATATTTGTTCTCTCCTCTTCTCCAATATATTTCTGTGGAGAAAGAGAGATATACAAAATAGTGTAGATCGTTTACAATATATATTAAAGTGCAATAGGTGCAAGGAAACACTCACAAAATCAGAGCCAAGGGACCTGGCTCTGGTATAGATGGCTTCTGGATCTATTGTAGGGTGATCCTTAACCCTTCTGTGGCTGGTATGGTCTCCAATAAATAGAAGAGGATCCAGAGGATGGGGTAGCAAAAAAAAAACTACTTTATTATAAAAAATATACATAAAATATTAATAAAATATAGAAGAATAAAATATAAGTGTAGTATAATACTATTTACCACTTATATTTTATTCTTCTATATTTTATTAATATTTTATGTATATTTTTTATAATAAAGTAGTTGTTTTTTTTGCTACCCCATCCTCTGGATCCTCTTCTATTTATTGGAGACCATACCAGCCACAGAAGGGTTAAGGATCACCCTACAATAGATCCAGAAGCCATCTATACCAGAGCCAGGTCCCTTGGCTCTGATTTTGTGAGTGTTTCCTTGCACCTATTGCACTTTAATATATATTACAGCTATTACAGTCACCTACTGTGCCATTTGCTGTATTTGTGTTAAATATGAAATATGCTTTAAATTACTGAGTGCTCACTTAAAGGGACACTACAGTCACCAAAATAATTAAACTTTAATAACATACACGGGGCTCCTCCAGGGTCTACCAAGCTATTAGCTGACCTAAAGTTAAGAAACTCTAAATTAAACAGTATTTGCAGTAAAGGAAGTGCAAACATTAGATAACTTTTTACAGGACGTATTTAGGAAGGCTCTGCAAGTCACATGATTGAAGGTGTGCCTAGGGCTCCATAAACAAAGTGATTTAACTCCTAAATGAGAATTGAGCAGGGAGACTGCAGGGACATGAAATGTACACCAATTTATGAAATTTACACCTGCTTCATTAAGCTAAAGTTGTTTTGATAACTATAGTCCCTTTAAGTGAATAACCCTGTTTAGTGACTTGCCGTGTTAATGTCTGCATGCGACAAAAGCAGGAAGATAAAATTGGAGTTTAGCCATATTTTAATGGGTGCAAAGTCTAAAGAGGTTAATAATAGTAAAACCCGTACTGCCACAAAAACACCTTGGAGATACCGTTTGATTGTAATAAAGTCTTTGAAAATGAATTAATTACATCAAAATGGTTAATTAACCGTTTGTGTGTGATAGTCTAACATTAGTGCATGAATTAGTGTGGAAGAAGATCAAAATGTGTAGTGCTCATCTATATATTGGCTTTTAATTTTTTTTTTTGATTGTTTTGTTAATAAAATAATATATTCCATAACACTCACCTTCTCTTGGCTTATATGTGCTACTGACCAAATTGCTGTAACCTGCAAAAAATGTCAAATTTTTATTTAACGAATTTGTGTGTGTGTGTGTATATATATATATGCACTTTTCTTTTGTGAAATATTTTCCTCAATTTTATTTCGTATTATTTGAAATTATTTACCCAGTATTTTTAATTTCATAATGAAGGAATCTTAATCTGTTTAAGAATTTCTCTGACTTGTGTTTTTTATATATATATATATATATATATATATATATATATATATATATATATATATATATATATATAAAATATTTTTTTTTGGGGGGGGTAACTTCTTTTCTATTGGTTTAGGTTTTTTGTTTTGTTTTAGAAATCAACACAAACAATAACATTAATTGCTTTATTATTCAAGATTTATACAGTGTGTATGTCACTCAGCACAACAAAGGACTGTAAAAGGAATCTACAAGTAAACCAATCAACAATTGGTAACATTTTATGTGTTGTGAGTTAGAACACCTGTATGCAACAACTGTCCATTTAAATGAAAACTGACATGATTGTTTATCATTATTGTAAATAAAGTTTACATGTAATATAGTGTGTGTGAAATATTGTAATGTATACCTCTTATGTTAGTACCTAATTTCAGTACATCTCATGGTTTATGCATGCTCTGTGGAACATCCATTTTTAAATCCTTTGAAGGATCACCATAGGCACCAAGACCACTTCAGCTCAATGAAGTGGTCTGGGTGCCAGATCCCTCTAGTTTTAACCCTGCAGTTGAAACTGCTATGTTTCACTGAGGGTTAAAACAGCCTCTAGTGGCTGTCTCATTGACAGCTGATTCTCACTGTGAAAAGCACAGTGAGAAGATGTTGAATGTCCACAGGAAAGCATTGAGTAATGCTTTCCTATGGGCAGTTTGAATGCGTGTGCGGCTCTTGCCACGCTGCACATTCAGATCTGACTTAGGCAGGGGGTGGAGAGTTCCCCAGCACAGAGGGAGCCCGGCGCTGGAAAAAGGTAAGTGGCTGAAGGAGTTTTAACCCCTTCAGCCCAGCAGGAGGGGGGACCTGAGGGTGGGGGGTACCTAATGACCCTATAGTGTTCCTTTAAGGCTTTGGTTGAAAGCACCTTATACCTCTGTTTGAATGGCTGGATGCAGTCCAAACATCATTTTTCAGATGTCGGGACTTTAACATTACATCACAATGTTTTGATTGGTAAAACCTCAAAGAGGTTTTAAAGATACCTGCCCCATTTGAGCATGAGTTAGCCAGGAGATGAACTGAAATGTAGTATTTACTGATTGCATTATAAATTACACACAAAGGCAGAACTACATGTAAAATGTTATTAGTTTTCTTTTAATTTCGAGGTAATTTCACGAGACATAATGTGTTTTTCATTAAAGGGACACTATAATCACCCAAAACCTTTAGCTTAATGAAGCAGTTATGGTGTATAGATCATGTTCCTGCAGTATCACTGCTCAATACTCTGCCATTAAGGAGTTAAATTACTTTGTTTATACAGCCCTAGGCACATCTCCCTGCATGTGACTTGAACAGCCTTAAACACGTCCTGTAAAGAATCATCTAATGTTTACACTTCCTTTATTACAAATTCGGTTTAATTTAGAATTTCTTATCCCCTGCTCTGTTAATAGCTTGCTAGACCCTACAGGAACATCCTGTATGCAACTGACGTTTAATTTACTAAGCAGGAGTTAGAAACTGTTAAAGAAAGTTACATTTGATCTAAAGTGAAACCATTTTGTTTCCATGCAGGCTGTGTCAGTCACAGCCAGGGTAGGTGTGGCTAGGACTGCGAAAAAAGAAACAAAAGTGATTTAACTCTTTTTAATGGCAGTGAATTGAGCAGTAAGACTGCAGGGGCATGATCTATACACTAAAGCTGCTTCATTAAGCTAAAGTTTTTTTGTGACTATTGTGTCCCCTTAAAGGTTAATCCTTTTAAAACCAAGTAAAGTACTTGGAATTGTGTGTAAATCAGATAACTCTGGTCTATTATGTTGGCATTTTCACTATTCACCATAGAGCCCAGATATTTTTTATGTCACCTCTGATTTCAATTGGAAATTGGACATTTCTCTTCTTACTCAAAATGTAACAATGTCCTTGGTCAAATCTCAAGTACCAAAGAAACACGCCAAGTTTAACTTTTGACGTATGCTGATTTATTGCCAAGTACAATTTAATAGAACTCTCAAGTAAGTAAGGGTTGCCTTGTCACTATGTTTTGTTGATGCTCGTGAATTCTTAATTTTCTTTGGCATTCTTTCAAAGTTCTTCTCTGTAATGTGCGGAATTCAAAGGAGTATACAGTATAAATATATTCACTTGCAGCTATTGCCAAAATTGTAGTCTGAGCAAGATTAATTCACTAAATAATATTTCAGGTATCAATATATGCAGGGTAGGATAAAATCCAGGGTTGGGTTTGAGTAGTCAATAGCTTGATGAACCAATTTCAATTATATTACATACATTGAATGCTTAACTATTGTAGATTGGTTTGACTAGGTAGAGAAGATAACAACTTTTTAAAAGAGATCCATTAGCTGCCTCTCTAAGTCGAGCTCTGTCAATTGCATTGTTCAGAACAGTTGTTAATGTTTGAAGTTCATGCGCTCGAATTTCTGCACAGATATTTTCCTTGAGCTGCTAAAGTGTACAAGGTTTGTTCACCTACACCCTCTCCTTCAGATATCCCCAAAAGAAGTAATAGGAGGATAAAGGTCTGGCTAATGTGGTGGCCAATTAATCTGAGAGTTTCTTACAATTATCCCCTCGCCAAACAGATGTCTCAGTTTTGAAAATAAAATTCCACTATTTTTACTTACCCATGATGAATCTTCCAATACTCCGTTATAATATGTACCTGCAACAACGGAACTGAACTACTAACACATAAGTTATTTACCTGTCAAATCCTACTCTCAATTTTAGCCCACCCTGTACCTCTACTGAAGAACAGGGGGAAAAAAAAAGCACACACAAAAAGTGACAAAAGACACTATTGTGATAATGCCGTGAATACATCTTTTAAAACCTCCAGCATATTTTGAAGTTCACAATGTCCGCCTATTTAAACCCACTCCTTTAAGAATTTCTATCATGACTCATGACTGCCTCTCTGCTATTTCTAACTGGATGGCTGCCCACTTCCTTAAACTCAACTTGACCAAAACTGAAATTCTGGTCTTTCCTCCCTCAAGTGTTGCTACTCCTGTGTCTGTTTCCCTTCAAGTCAACGGTGCTACCATCAGCTCCACCACGCAAACTCGCCTCCTAGATGTTCTCTTTGACGCTGACCTCTCCTTCACACCTCATGTTCAGTCTATTGTCAAATCCTGCCTCTTCCATCTCAAAAACATTGAGCACATCCGACCCTACTTAACGCCAAATGCGACTAAGGTGCTGGTCCATTCCACTGTCCTTTCTCGCCTAGACTAATGTAATCCACTTCTCAGTGGTCTTACGTGCTCCCAACTTGCGCCGTTACAGTCCATAATGAATTCGGCAGCGAGGCTCATCTTTCTGTCCGCCCGCACCTCCCACGCCTCACCCTTTTGTCAGTCGCTACATTGGCTACCTGTAAGATATAGGGCTCAATTCTGGTTCTTGCTTGCAAATCTCTACATAATGCTGCTCCCACCTATCTATCCTCCCTAATACACAAGTATGTCCCATCTATGCCCTTATGCTCTGCTGAAGACTTACCTCTATCTTCTGTCCGTACTCCCACCTCTGATGCTCGCCTTCAAAACTTCTCGAGGGCTGCACCGTTCCTGTGGAACTCACTTCCTTCCTCTGTTAGATGCTCACCCAGTCTCCACTCTTTCAAAAAAATCATTAAAAACCCACTTCTTCATAAAATTGTATCAATTAAACTGTTAATAGCTCCCAACTGATTCATCTCTTGCAATTTTCATTAGTCTCATACTATCCTTTTGTGTCACTTTACCCCACTCCCTCTAGCTCATTGAGCAGGGCCATCAACCCCTCTGTTTCTGTGTGTCCAAATTGTATGGTTACAATTATATGATTGTTCGTTCACCCACTGTAAAGCGCTGCGGAATTTGTTGGCGCTATATAAATAATAACATAATAATAATAATTACATTTTCTGGGAAAATTGTCTCAGAGACATTAAGTTGACACAATAAAGAAGGGGCTACATTACACAGTAAAAGTTACGATTGAGATGTGGCATTGATGGTTGGATAGCAGATTCAGGACATGTTGTAGAGATGATTGGCAAATAGATAAATGTGGAAATTGCTGTATAAAGAGAGAAATAGGTAACTAATAGCTGGGAGGGGGAGGTACAACAAATTAATATTGGGCAAGGAAAGAGTGGACATGAAACAAATTGCCAGGTAGGGAATTGGTTTAAAAATTTTCGGAATGGAGTATAGAGGGGTGATCTAAAATTAATAAATGGGGGGCGTGGCTAACGGCCGCAGGAACAAGCTGCATGGAGTGGGAGCTCTTTAACCGCCAAGCCCGAAAAAGCATCCCAATCAGCCAAAAACTGATACATTTTATATCAATAGATTCATCAAGACCCTTAGGAGTCAATGGCACCCTCAAAACAATTGAAGATCACAGATCCTATGCGCCAAAATCGCAAAGAGCACCTCAAGTCCATTCAAGATGGCGACGACGGGGCGAACTCACCTGCTTCAGAGGAACCGTCCGAGCAAGACCAGGCTACAATTCTCCCTGGAGGACACCCCAGCCACAGAGAAAAGTTATTCTATTATGCTATTGGATTTAAAAAATGCGTTGCAAGCAGACTTCCAAAAGTTGGCGAGAGATCTCCGCAGAGAGATAGCAGACCTAGGAAGCAGAACTCGCCACCTCAAGCAAGAAACAAAAAAGTTATGTGTGGCCCAGAACTCCGCTGCAGACAAATTACAACAATTAGAGGAAGCAGGGGCGGACTGAGAACCCTCAGGGCCCCCGGGCAAAATAAATCAAGGGCCCCCTTACAGGCCCCACCCATACTCTGCAGCAAGAGCCACCCTTGTCCCGCCTCCATGCACCGCCTCCAGCCACACCCTACACAATCTTTAGACACAAGGAACAAAAGGGCAATAAGCCCTTCGAGGCCCCAGCAGAGACTACAATTGAGGGCTAATGGGCCATGGAGGGGGGTCTTTCTAGCGGAGGCTATCTCAGTGTCCTTTAGAGAGTGTGTTAGATAGAATCCCCTCCAAGCCCCATTAGAGACTACAATGGAGTCTAAAAGGCTTGGAAGGGGGTCTTTCTAACAGAGGCCATCTCAGCGTCCATTAGATATCCCCTGCTGGAAACAGTCGCCTCCAGGCCCCAGTAGAAACTACAATTGAGGGCTAATGGGCCATGGAGGGGATTTCTAGCAGAGGCTAGAGTCTAATGGGGCCTGGAGGGTGGTCTCTCCAACACTCTGGTTCCTATTCACAATATAGCAACACAACATAGCTCGCTGATACCTAAGCCAAGTTGGCTCCTCTTACCTTAATTACTGTTGCTGGCTGGCAGTC